CAACATGCTAAAAAGGAAACCAGGGTGGTGTAATTCAAGCAGTCTGGCACAGGGATAACTTAAAAGTACACCAAATGAGAGATATAAAATTGGAAAAAGGAGTGGCATTTCCGTACAGGATCTGGAACTGACATCAAAAGTCTCCTCAAATATAATAATAGTCACAACATATAAACCCACAAAGAATGAAAATGGGAGTGCAGAAATTATCAGCAAAAAAGCAGCAGTTGCCAAGTAAACAGGATATTGAAGTTCACAGTTTAAAGAACAATTTTTTGTAATACCAAGCCATAAAAAGCCATGAGAAACAAAAAGGTACACGGTCATTAGACAGGAGAAAAAAACCTGTGATTTTAATCTCCAAAAATATTGTACCAGTGAAAAGTTGAATTGGGGCTTTACATGTAACAAAATTTTGTAAACTGGATCAAGCAAAGATAGAAATAATTTCAAGGTAATAACAGCAGGGAATAGAAGCATTTCTAACAAACAATTTAAAGTTGATCTATACTTAATCATTTGCCTGAAAGAAACCATGCACAATACTTTCCTGTAAAACGAAAACGTCAGTGTAAAAAGAATGGTGGTTAAGCCTAAAAGGGAAACAAGGAAGTTTGAGGGGTTGAAGTTTTGAATTACCTTTACTTTGAAGTGGATAATAAAAAAGGACAAAACAGAGGAGACCAACATTTTTACTACATGAAAAGTTTTACTTTGTAACTCAAAGGAGTGAGGGATTTGTGTCTCCAAAAAAGATGGGGGCTTTGAAGGGATGCAGAGGGCACATGGAAGGTTTGAAAGGCCTGGGAAAGATATTGCAACCATTGCAAAAACAATATGGACACGCACAACAGCCACCACAAGATACTCAATCTTATGATTGTGAGGACTAAAAAGCCAAGCAATGTCAAAATATAAATCATACAACAAGAAACCCATTGTCAAATATATACATAATAAAATATTTTTATTCATCATGATGTTTTCTTCTTCTAAAGTAAATAATTATAGATATATATTACATAAATATGATCTTACTTTATTAATTTTCTCCTTAAGTAATTTTTCCTTTTTAAAATAATGTAACTTCTTAAATTAAGCTTTGTAATTTTATTTAAAATATTTTTTTCTGTCTCTTTTATATGTCTTTAATATTATTATTATTATTGTTTTTTTCTCAAGTAATAGTCACACTAAATTAATTAAAAGAATAATCTTTTTAAAAGGCAAATACAGAAGCCAACAACACTGCTAACAAGCAACAACAACAATGACACAGGCAAGTAAAATACGGGGAAAAAGCCAACAAAAAACTGCAGACAAATGCAAATAGCAAATTTTACCAACAGTAACAAAACAGAATAAAACAACCAACAGCAGTAAATTTTCAAAGCAGTAAAGGCCAGCAATTACTTTGATCAAAACAGAGGGGCACCAGATTAACCAGCAAACCTTAGACACAAGCAGTAAACAAACAAGCAAACTTAACACACAATGACAGCGTTAAAGTCTGCAAAATTTACCCCAGACAGTCAAGAAGCCAAGAAACCACACGCGATTCAACACAGTATCTTCACATTCAAAAGGATTGATGAGCAAAATGGCTCGTTACATCAACACAAATCAACTATCGTATCAAACTTCTGTTATTAATGAATTAAACCTCCTCTTCTGAGGAGATTTGGTTGGCAATTTAAAGAGAAAACGGCTGACGTTTAGGGTGGATTTATCTAGTTCCGAGTTCAAAATGGCGCCCACGTCACTGACCCGAAGTGGATTGGAGTAGAATTTAACACAAACGAGCGGACAAAACAAACACAGCTTTTACACACAAACAATATAAGCAACAAAGCTTGCACACTTACGACAAATTGTTTTACCAACGCTGAACAAAAGCCTGTATTAGCCCGTTCTTTGTTTAACTTCCATGGCTTCTCCACGCTAAACTGATCAAGCGACCCGAAGCTCTGCGTCGTTGCTATGTGACGTCACACTGTCATGATGACTCGGTCACAGACAAATACCCGAAAACAATAGAGACGCCTCCTCCCTCCTGGTTATTAACATGGGAAAGGAGCACTTTTTACCCGTTAACTTCCATTCACGAAACACAATAGCCCTCAAAACGTGTCTGACTGTGCACCAATCACAATTTATGATAGCTTTCACAGCATGAACCTTTAAATTAATTGAATCGTCCTTGTCCTCTTGCGTACTTCGCGCGCCTTGCGTGTGAATCTGAGCAGGGTTTTGGAGGGCGAGGCACCCCTTGTGGTCCAGAAGGCTGGGTGACGATTTTATATCCAGCACTCCATCTTCGATATGTGACGTTTTAGTGTAGTCTCTCCGGAGAAATCGTAGGGATTCCCCAATTTTTTCTTTTTAAATAGTGGCATTGACATTTTCATTCTCTAATTTGTGAAAAAGTAGTCCAACAAATCAAGTTGAACTTCCAAAAACTGAGGAAAAGTTTCGTTTTTAGGTTCTCCTTTGGCTGCCTGTTTTCATATCATGATATCAAACTGCCTTCAAAATCCCAGAGGGGTACTTAACAAAGTTTTATACCGGAAGGCTCGGCACCGAGGTCCAACCCCTTACCCTTTAGTAGGCAAGCAGCGTTAGATTTTGAAGGTGTACGTACAAGAAGAAAAACTAGAGCACCGACTGAGGCCCCCCAAACTGGGGGTTTAGGGGCATGTCCCCCGTGGAAATTTCAAGGGATAAATTTAGGGTCTCGGAATTACCATCTCTTGAATTTTTTCACCCGTTCACAGCTATAAAATCCTGATTCAACCCTGTTAAGTCCTTTTACAGTGTTTACTGACCAAAATCTCCCTGGTTTTTCATTTACTTCAAATAGTGAAATCCCTACCCTTTCATATACCAGTCGCCCCATGTACATGATGTAACGGAATTCGAAAAGCAACACTCAACAACAACAAGCTCCCTCAGACCCTCTCCTCTCGCGCGCCGGTTCTTTCTTGCGCCCATTATATCCAAGCGCCTGCCACGCAGGATGCAAAGAATGACCTTATATGCAGGCTTTTAATCCTTTTTCGTCAATCTCAGTAAGAATTTTTACTGGTAGTATACTCTTAAAAGTTTCTTTAAACTTTTAACTAATAGGGTGCTTTAATTTTTCACGGAAAAGGGCAGCGATTGAAAGCAAGGCTTAACTCCAGAATACCCTGCCATTTTAAAGCATCCCCTAAAAATAGGTGGATACGCGGATACTCAGTCACTACGTATCCGCTTACCCTGGGTACCAGAGGTTTTTCTCGCGTGCGGCGGGAATTTTCGGTGTTTGGCCGAAGGCCGACACATCTTCGGCCGTAGGCCGAAGCCACGAGCGGCGAAGCCGCGAGAAAAACCTCTGGCACGGAGCGGTGCTTTTTACCGTTCCCGTTGACCTTTGTGCTTTTTTATCGGATTACATTTACGCCAATCAGATTGAAAGTGTCCAACTGTGATCGTGTGGGCCGGCACGTGAAGAAGTGTCCAAAGACCCACATTATCCTTAGCAAAACAAATTCGAGTTTAAAATTCATTGCTTTAAGAGCAATCATCACTGGGTCACATCGCAGTTCTCCATAGTTGATGTAGCTTCAGTTTAAGCTGCAATCTATTCTTCAAGATTTGGATCTGAAAATCACTATCCGTGAAAATTTAACACCCTGTTAAAAAGGCTAACGAGCTGGGCCCAGCGTGACAAAACATTGCAGGAAACCGTCACTTTCACGGACAAAGAGAAAATCGCTTATAATAATTCAGATCCAGGAGGCACTTTGAGAAATAAAACAACCTAAAACCCTTATTTAGAAGACCTTAGCATTTCAAAAGAGGTCAAAGAAAATGCTCTTGCATCAGAAGGCAAATCATGTGCCGACCAGACACAATAACCGCAGAAAATCAATATGCGTGTCACGACCTCTCAGTATGAAATAAGCGGCAAAAATCAAATTTGCTTAGTCAAAACGTTTTTCTCCAGAGCATAATCTACCAATCACGGAAAAAAATTCATTGGAACAAGCAGCATTTTGGCATGAGGTAAAAGTCGTGTGTTGCCTTCTGACCCTCCTTTTATACTAAAAATACATGTTTTGTTCTTATATTCCTAACCCATCAACACAAACTATTTCAAATTATGTTGTAATCGTTTGAAATAGGAAACTAGTAAAGCTTAAACCGTATTTGCTACAAAAGCTGAATTGGTGATAAAAGCTTAATTGCGTTGAATAAAATTAAATACTCCTCTTGTTTGCTCAGAGCTTTTAACTTGTCCTTCTAGTACATTGCTTATCATGCTCTTTCAAAACTTTCCAAAGCCAACACACAACACAACAGCAACACTTCTCGCTAGTACACTTAAGTCATGTCAACGGCAAAGTTCGAAATATTCTTTCACGTGCTGGTCTATTCTTGTCAACCAATTGTAGCGTCTGTTAGATTCAAAGTTCCTCAGGTGGTCGTTGGTAGCCAATCAGCCGTCTTGTCCAAAATCTGGACCAACTGATTTATCCGTGTTAACGATTGGATCGGCGCCATCAAAGCAATAGCGCTCTGCTCCAGAGGCTTTTCGCGCGGGTCACTATAAAGACTTGACAGAAACCGGAAACCGCGCTAGAAAAGTCTCTGGCACCCAGGGTAGTATCCGCTTTGATACAAAAAAAAATAAATTAAGACAGCATAAAAAGCGTACAGTATGACTATTTGTCGTTCTTAAAGCCACGGAAGATAGAAAAGTGCATAAAAGGGATAACTGCGTATCCAGCTCTTTCAAGGATACAGCTTCGAAGTGGCAGGCACCAGGGTATTCTGCAGTTAAACTGATCTGGCTTGTCATAAGTAAAGGAACCGAGGATTTTCGATTCGCGAGCTTTTGTGCCTTAAGGCTAGCGTTGAAATATGGAAGGACACAAAATATATTGTTGTTGGTTATTGCTTCTAGTGATGTGGTGGCTCCTAAAAGAGCCGTTTGTTTTGTAATGGAAGCAATACACTTATGCACGCTCTCCTCGGATTCGGCGGGCCAACTGAATATCCTTGGGCATGATGGTGACGCGCTTGGCGTGGATGGCGCACAAGTTGGTGTCTTCAAACAGACCAACGAGGTAAGCCTCGCTTGCTTCTTGAAGAGCCATCACAGCAGAGCTCTGGAAACGCAGGTCGGTCTTGAAGTCTTGGGCGATTTCTCGCACAAGACGCTGGAAGGGCAGCTTGCGGATTAGCAGCTCGGTGGATTTCTGATAACGACGGATTTCACGAAGAGCCACTGTACCAGGCCTGTAACGATGAGGTTTCTTGACTCCTCCAGTGGCAGGCGCGCTCTTACGAGCCGCCTTTGTGGCGAGCTGTTTTCGTGGAGCTTTTCCACCAGTTGATTTACGGGCAGTTTGCTTTGTACGTGCCATTTCTGCTAACTCAAAAGTCAACGAATAATTTTTCGACAGTAATCCCTAATATTTTATTCTTAGCGCGCTATTTCCTGATTGGTTACAAACTATGCGATTTCATTGGATAACCGAGACTGCCAAGGTTTTTTCATTCGTGGGAAACAAATATTTGTTAGCTTCGTTCTTAGTTGTTAGAAAATATCAGCATAAAATCCGTTGAGAAGTTAAGTCGCACGTTTCTTGGTGACAATGTCAATGTTTTGCCCCTCTCACATGTCCGGTCTTGTCTGGTGAGGCAATATGATGGTAATGATTATCTTGACCTCATGGCTCTTTTGTTTCTATCCACCAATGGCGAACAACTAATCACACTTCTTTTAGCCTGTTTCCCGTGAGGTCATAATTTGTGGTATAAAAGGAATAATTCTCAATTTGAGCCATTATTCTGCTTCAAGAAAGATCATCAACATGTCTGGTCGTGGTAAAGGAGGCAAAGGTCTAGGAAAAGGAGGCGCCAAGCGTCACCGAAAGATTCTTCGTGACAACATCCAAGGCATCACCAAACCTGCTATCCGTCGTCTTGCTCGCCGTGGCGGGGTCAAGCGAATCTCTGGCCTCATCTACGAAGAGACTCGTGGTGTTCTCAAAGTTTTCCTGGAGAATGTGATCCGTGATGCTGTTACCTACACCGAGCACGCTAAACGCAAGACTGTGACCGCCATGGATGTGGTGTACGCTCTCAAACGTCAAGGACGTACTCTGTACGGATTTGGCGGTTAGATCTTTGCGTTACCCACTCAAACAAACGGCTCTTCTAAGAGCCACCAAATCTTTAAAAGTCATAGCCAATAAAGTGACATTTCTCTCGTATTCAGTGTACACCGCGTGTTCTTCGGCCCCTCGTTCGCGCGTTCTCGCAATGCTCGCTTCGCTTCCCCAAATAGGAGAGGGCCCAGGCTAGAGTTTTCGCGTTGAAGATAAGAGTGTCAGTGGTGTTAATTATCGTTATGTAGAAATGTTAGGAAATTTCTGACAACAACTGACCGTTAAATATTTTTGTATAATTTCGTTGTAGAGGTTCTAGCAAATATGCGTTTTTGCCCAAAAGCAATCAACTGTATAAAGGACGCTCCTTGATAACAAAAGAGAAACGAGTTGCGTGCCGGCGTCCTGAACAGATTTGCATTTGGTGAAGCGCGGTGATCTATGAGACATTTCGGAAAACCCATATTATTTCACTGATTTATCACAGTTTGCCCAATTCTTTCCCTCTCCAAAATGTGGTCGTTTCGTATGCAGTTCATTTTCTTTCTGTATGAAGTACAGTAAAAACCCACGAGTAAGAACCTACATTTTCCAGGGTTAGCCTAAACAGGCTCTTACATAAATGGTGGTGAACATAAATTTACGCTATCTAGGTTCTTAATTTCTTGCAAAAAATTATGTCGTTGCGAAGAAGATTTTAGTGATCAGCACCCTTAAATTTGCATATGTAACGATTGCTTATATTTTAATATGACCATAATAGAGATCTATTCTCACATGAATTTTAATTTCTTGAGTCAAAACAACTTTATATACATGATTGTGCTGTAAAACACAATATTATAAACATTTTCTCAATGACCTCAATCAAACAACGTTTATATAATTATGTACTAACTTGCCTTTTGCAATTGCAATTAGTAAATATTTTTTTAAAATGATTTTTGAAAATAAGAACAATTCTCCAAATTTTAGGCTAAAGAGGTTCTTATATAGAGGGGATCTAAATTGCAAATTTTAGCCTAACAGGTTCTTAAATCTTAGGTTCTTACTCGTGGGTTTTTACTGTACCCGAAACTGCTTTCTCTTTTCATCAATGGAGTTTTAACCGTAAGTTGTCACTGAGGATTATCATGCAGGCTAAACAGGGGGTTACTTTACGGCTTCACTGACTTATTCGCAAAGAATAGATGTACTAATTGGTTGATATATTTTGCTCTTTATGATCATGACTTTTGTTATATGTGGTGGCTCCTAAAAGAGCCGTTTGTTTTAACGCCGCGTAGGACTGTTTAGGCTTTTGGTTTCTTCTCGGTCTTCTTGGGCAGAAGTACAGCCTGGATGTTGGGAAGAACACCTCCTTGCGCGATGGTGACGCCGGCAAGCAGTTTGTTCAACTCTTCGTCGTTGCGGACAGCAAGCTGAAGGTGACGGGGAATGATTCTGGTTTTCTTGTTGTCACGAGCAGCATTGCCCGCCAACTCAAGGATCTCGGCGCTCAAATACTCGAGCACCGCAGCCAAGTAGACTGGAGCACCAGCGCCAACACGCTCGGCATAGTTGCCTTTGCGAAGAAGACGGTGGATACGTCCAACAGGGAACTGAAGTCCTGCTCGGGATGATCGGCTTTTGGACTTGGTGCCCTTTGCTTTTCCTTTACCTCGACCAGACATATTTTCAACACAGTCGTTTTAGCTCGAAAATGCACGAGTGAATGAACTGATCTTTAAAAAAACCTTGGAGTTTATACGCGCGGCAAAATTTGAATGGGATCGAAACGCACCAATTAGACTTAATAATTTTAAGTGTTTATGAAATATGATGATGTACATTCAAGAAGCACATGGACCTTGAAATAGAGTAACCAATTAAAACTTAAGGATTTCGATCCGTATGTTAATTGATCCCCTAATGGTTTTCATATAAATAGAATCTGGGTCAACTCATTGCATTCACTTCCATTCTGATCGACAGACATGGCACCCAAAGTTGCAGGAAAGAAAGGCGAGAAGAGAGCTGGAAAGGCAAAGGCTCCATCTGATGGAAAGAAGAAGAGGAGGGGAAAGAGAAAGGAAAGTTATGCCATCTACATCTACAAGGTGTTGAAGCAAGTTCACCCTGACACTGGTATCTCCAGCAAAGCCATGGGCATCATGAACTCGTTTGTCAACGACATCTTCGAGCGCATCGCCACCGAAGCTTCCCGCCTTGCCCACTACAACAAGAAATCAACCATCAGTTCTCGCGAGATCCAGACTGCCATCAGGCTGCTTCTGCCCGGTGAACTGGCCAAACACGCTGTCAGTGAAGGAACCAAGGCTGTGACCAAATACACCAGCAGCAAGTAAACTCACTTTGTGGGTTTACCGCCAAAACAAAACGGCTCTTTTAGGAGCCACCAAATGTCATGAAAATCATAACCAATATTAATGATAGTTTCCCCTTCCCGTACTCAGTCTTCCCCATGTTTGAACTCCAACGCTCAGTGTTGTTATATTATATTCTATTTACTATTTCGCCGCCAAAAGTGTAAACGGCTCATTATTTCAGCTTCATGACCCCATTTCCTACATACTGTGATTTTAATATTTCTACTGGTTTATGACTTGTTGTCATGAAGTTATTTCAGCGCCCCACATGGACCATATTTTTCTTCAGTTTAATGCCGAAATGAACCAAATTGTATATTCTGGGAGATATCGCGTGACAGGATAGGCTCCTGCGCGTGAGAACTCGCGCTAGAGTTGCAACGGGACCTAAATCTATTGCTCTTCTGCCGTTGTGGTTTCTTAAGCTCTCGCGAACGCCCAAACCGCTGCATTTTCTTCTCCATGTTTTTATTTTTTCATTGTTGTCATTAGTTATTTTTTTGTTGGGGGAGGGGAGGGACTGGCCTACATTTTGCGTCTTTTTAATCCAAGACTGGAAGAATTTGTGTAGCCTTGGGACCAGGCCCCGCATTGAGGGAAAAAGGCGAAAAAAATCGGCGTAGGCTAAAACTTGTAGGACTGCAGAAATTCGGCGCTGGACTTACCGTATTTCCTCGAATAATAGCCGGGGGCGATTATTTATTTTTTCGCACAAAAAGGAGACGATTCGAGGAAAGGTGATCATTTCAAATATTGCTCACTGCGCCTTGAATATTTTTTGTTTATTTTCCCATTAAATCAAAAAAATAATCACGAGCATGGGCTTTTTAAGTGTTCCAAATTTAGTTCCTTGATTAATTTTCAGAGCTTGAATCGTCATGGTCAGTTTTGATGAATTTCATTCCTCTTCAACTTGACGCAGAAGGGATAAAAGGAAGAGAAGATGGCGAAAGGGGCGGGGGAGGGGTGATTATTCGAGGGAGGCGATAATTTTAAGTATTTCCATCAAAGGGAGGCGACTATTCGAGGGACGGCTATTATTCGAGGAAATACGGTATCTGACGTGTGCATCATCGACGGGGCCAAGTTCCCTGGCTCTTGTATTCGCCACTTGTACATCTCCCATAACGCACCTTATTTGCCCTCCCCCCAAAAAAAAAAAAAAAAAAAAATTGGCATCACCTTTGTTTTTCATTTCTCCTGGGCATTACAGCCTAGCTATTTTTCAGGGGGAGAGAAGCGACCACCGGAAATGCGTCTGCTGTTCGCAGGCTAAGCCGTCCCGAGAGAAATTGAAACAATTCTTCAGCAAAATTTGGGACGCGGGGTGTCGGTAGGGGGGCAAATAGGGTGTATTATGGGAGATGTTCAAGTGGTGGATGCGAAGAAGGCCTGGGGATAGAGTTGCTGGACTTTGAAAAAGCTCCCCTCTCAAAACTTTGGTAGCCTGAATTTCATCCCATTGTTTCGAGTCGTTTTTCTGTTGTTACTAAGGGAGTAATAACGACTCGAAGTAATTGGATGAAATTCAGGCTAAAACTTTGGAAGATTTTTTTAATCCCACCAAAGTATGGAGAAGATTACCGTATTTATTCGATTAACCGCCCTGGGCGCTTATTAAATTTTTGGACCTTGAGAGTGGGCGCTTATTCGAGGTGGGCGCTTATTCGAGGCTGGGCGCTTACTAAATTTTCAACATTTTCAGCAAGTGTAGTATGTGTATTTTCCAACAAAACAATAAAAAAATTAATGGTAATAACAGAACGCGAAGAGGTAACAAAGCAAGGTTCCTGTAAAATACTTTGAAGAAAACTCCGTCTTCGAGGAAGTCTCTTATTAGTATTTATTCAATTTTAGGGGTGGTCGCTAATTTGAGTTTGAGTGGGAGTGGGAGGAAGGTGTGGTGGGGTGGGCGCTTATTCGAGGCTGGGCGCTAATTCGAGGTTGGGCGCTTATTCGAATAAATACGGTAACTCAGCCAGAGGCAGAGGCAAGTGGCTAACAAGGAAGCTCTCAAAGTGAATGAGGAATAGCTCCACACTTAGGTAAACAAAATATATTACTTTTAATATGACTAGACACTTGATCAATACAAAAGAAGCTTTTCCGAGCAAAAGTATTAAATAAACAAAGCACACATACAACAATTCACCAAACATTATCACACTCTTAAAGAGTGACGCATTTATACATAGTGGAATAATGCAAAAGCTATCTACTGTACGTGCAACTTTCATTGTGAGTCTATCTCTTTCATGTCATGTGCGCGTGTGGTTTTATTTTGACATAACCTTAAATATGGCCAACGAAAAAGGAAGCTAGAAATCACGATCCGTGTTCATTTGAAATTACATGGACATAGAGTTAATTGCCTGATGTTTCCGAAAACACAGTTTCCATGTCTCAATTACCAAACGCACAATATTAATCAGAATGGGCCTGAAAGTTGTAATTCTGAGAAAACCACGGAGTATTAGTCTTGGAAAGATATTTTGATCTTAATTGTGACGAGTTGAGGCGCTCTAAATAACTAACCCCTGAAACATTACTTCTTGGAAAAAGAATTCAATATTACATGTCAGTCATCAAGGGGAAACACCCTTTATCTAAGAATAAGTCGAGTGACAAAATTCATGTCTAAAATTTGACTAATGAACAACACACGAAAACACATTTTCTTGAAAACAGTGCTAATTGCCCAAAATTTTGCTAAAATGGAGAATAAATAACTTATAGAATTGCACAACCAGCCAATGACTTTAACTTTGTAAAAAAGAATCAGCCAATCGAAAAATTTTACATGACGAACAGTTGAGCTGTTCCTACATTACATGGTATAAATAATCAATTTATAATATTTATTGTATTATGCTTATAAACTTGTTACCTATATAAATTAACAAATACCAATAAATCTGTCAACCCTTCTCAGTGCACACAGCAGCCATCAGTATTTTGAACTTAAATCTACTAAGCATGTGCACGAAATATCATGGTGTTTAAAATACTTGCTCATACAATACACAATCACATTCACAGAGGCTGAAATGGTTTTGGTCACACTGGGCTGCACCAAGGATCACAGCCTGTTTCAGCTGACAGTCTCTGGGGATAAGACAAGTTAATGTAGGGTGCCAAAAAGTGATACAATTAAATGATTTTAAAAATCATTACCCTTAAAATTTCTTGATTCCCTAGTTTTTTTTGGAAAGGAGTTTACACTTAAGTGGCAAAATAATTCAAGAGATGGCTACTTGGATAATTTCACAATTTTTTGGGTCTAATTTTCCATCCAGATAATTGTAAACAAAAACCTGCTGTACTCTTTTTTTTAATGTTTGAGTTATTCAATTTTCTGACTAAATAAGTGATGAAGTTACTAAGAAACTATCCCCCTCCTCTAAGCACTAAATGTGTTCAGCATCTACTGTCTGATTTTTAATAACTTCTCCCTATGGATTCTGTAAGGAATATATGAGAAGTGTAGAGAAAATGCATGTTGACCTATAGTTGAAAGGGATAAGGGTGAACCAATTCATATTCTAACCTTTACTTAACTACTACAATGCTGACTGCTTTAAATTAAAGTGGACAGATTGGTTTACAAGCCTAATGTACACTGTGACATTTTGAACCACAAGATTACTAAATGACACAAGAGCTTTTCACTGTACACTAACAGTTACTGTTCAAATTATAAAATATATATATCTATTTATACAATTTAGTACTATAAATTATTCAGTAGAAAGCTACTGTATGAAAAAGAGTTCTTGACCACTTCTTTTCCAATTTGGGAATAACCTCTTCAATTTCATCTTCTAAGTCATCCAGGCCCTCAATCTAAGAATTTTAGAAGACAAAATACTTTACTCTTGAGGTCTAATATCAACATACAAATTCTCCCCACAAATCTCCTAACATTTCCTTAAAAAATTTGTTATAACATCAAATAATGTATAAAATCCTATCTTGCTAGTTCCTCAAACTTTTGTTTGATATAAACAAAATATGGCAAAAATAAATCAAATGCATGCCATCCTAGCTCATAGTTAAAAATTCTTTACCTGTTTCCTTAGAATGCAGTGACATAGGCATGTCCTCAGAGGGTCCCACAAATTAAAACTTTCCCTAGGGGAAGCATGCACACAACCCTGCTAGTCCCACAACTATACCCTACCACAGCCCCTGGGGGAGGGACTCCGCATATGAAAGGGTTGGGAATGCTTGTCTTCTCGCTTAGGGGTGTAAATTTCGGATTTTGGTCTCACTTAGGGTATTCTGGGCAAAACGCCATCACATTTAGCCGTGAAGGTCTGGTGTAGGGTTGCACGTGAAAAAATATAAAAATATGTGTATTGTCTGTGTTTTAACATGGTCCCTTTTAGGGGGCAAAAAAAGCTTGGGCTACGCCCGGATCGGTCTCTTTTAGGGGTTTAATTCAAAATTTCCAATGAGCATCCCCACCCCTTTCATATGAGGAGTCTCCCCCCCAGGGCCACAGCCATTGCAAAAAATGCTCTGTGTGTTTCAACCTAATTGATTACTTAACACTTATTTTTTCCCTCCTTCTACAGAATTTTGGAAGGAGCCTTTAGTAGTGACGATTGGTAAAATTTACTAAAAGGGACTGATTTTGAGGAATTCATACTTACAGCTTGGCACATTTCACATATAAGGAAAGCTCCTAATGTGGCTTCCTCATGGTTATCCTGAATGTCCAGGTTTACTACATGAACTGGCGCATAGCTTTGAGCACCTCTTGATTGTAGATCTGGAAGAATAACTAAATGTCAGTTGAAAGAGAAACTAACTAGGTAATATGACTGGAAAACAAGTAGGGAAATCCTGGTAGTCAGAAAGAACCATTCCACAATGGGTGGTAGCTAGGGGGTGCTAGCTATAAGGGTGCCTGTTCCCTCTACCGACTGTACAGAAAAAAGAATCAAATTATGAAGATAAAACCACCTGGCTGTAGCAAAAGGTAAACACTCCTTGCTGTTAAAGACTATTACTAATACAGTGGAACCCCATTAATACGGTCACCAATCGGCCAAAAAAATTTGGCTGTAACCCTTATTAACGAGGGGTTTTTTTGCATAAGAAATGTATGGCCATTTTGCCAGGCAGCCAAAAAAAGTGGCCGTAATAAGGAGGTGACCGTAAGGCGGGGTTCCACTGTATCCGGTGCAAGATGCTGTACCAATGTACGCATCAAGAAACACATATTTCACTAAATGAGAGAACGTTAGGGATAGCTGGGGTCAGAAAGTTAGGGATAGATCTAGTCTCCCTTGCAGCCGCTTTAGAGTCATCACGCAATGTTGTGTGACAACACTAAAAATGGCTGTGAAGGCCCTTCTCTGGCAAATTAGGACACCCTGATAAATCTTGCCTTTGCCTCCACAGTGGCACTATAAAATCCTAATTACAGAGGAATTTTGAGTCAATATTGTTTCAGCTTCTATGAACATATATAATATGTTCAGTTTACTATACACCTTATTCTACACTAGTGGAAAAATAGGTTAACATTTTGTCTTGATAATAATTAGCCCTTGATGCCAACAAAATAATAAAAAAGTAATACTGTCCCCATTTCTAATAAATAATGTGAATGGAAACAATGAGATGCAGCGGGTGTCTCAGAGGAGCATGATTAGTGGATGAAACCCAGGGGTGGTACTTCTGCAGAAACGAAGAAACATGTCTTATAGGGGGTGCTGACCGATGTATTGGCCAATATCTCAGGTAACTGTCTGTCGGTCAACATATATTCGGTCACCGTAGGGGTTGAGTGTTAATCGAGTATCAGTCCAGTCTCAGACAGGTCATGGTAGTCAGCTAATGCGGTCTATCGGTCAACAGTTGGTCATTACATAATGCCAACAGGTCACCAACATATCATCAGGTTTTTTTGGGTTTTGCTGGAAATTAGGCCTTGGGATTTTGGGAGGTTTTGACTTTTGCCCCCTTTCAATCATCCCTGTCACTTGAAACCTGGAGTACCCCCCTGGGTAATACGTTATTAGGTTTCTAAATAACATACAAAGGAAGGCAATCTTGTAACTTACGCTCTGTAACTTGGTCATAGACCCGTTCCTCAACAGTAACCACAAGATCAAACTCCTCCTCTGTTTCCTGAAATCTCTCTGGGTGTGGCTTTATTCTTCTGTTTCTATCAAGCATGTGAAGTATTCCATTTTGCTTGTATCTGATAGGCTTAGAGTTAAGGGTATTTTTTTGCACATATTTTTTGTTACCTAAAAATTATGTAGCAAAAAAGATTGAACTATGGTCATGAAAAGTTAAAACAATTTTTTACAGCACGTACGACACACGCAATAGTGACGACATTTTGATTTTTGTACAAAAGTACCCCTGATCGTGCACACTGCACAGCTTGTGATCAACAAGGAGGAATTTAAGGCTACAATTACAGGAAATGTTTTTGACTGGCTAAAAAATTTGACAAGACACTTTTTTCATCCTAACTGTACAATATTTTTCTCTGTTCACATGGAAGTCAAATCAGGCTGAATTTTATCTTTCGTAAGTGGTTTTTCCATCTTTCCCATGCGCACTGTGCTATATATTTTACCAAACTCACATAGCAACTCCATAAGGAGCAATACCAGGAATCCATGCAACCACACCTTGCAGTACAAAAATTTTGACTCGGTACTGGCTTAAGTTTCACATTTTTGGTGTCCAATTTTAGAACAGTCTGGCATCTTATCCTATGTTGGGGAATATGCATCTAAGGGCACAAATTTTCTCCCACTCAAAAATTCCTTCAACAGGAAAGAGTACTCTAGAGTAAGGGGTCAACAAAACCCAGATCAGACCAGATTGGATTAGGGATGCAAGGGTTACAGTGGTTGACCCAATCCAGGTTTTGTTGATAATGGTATTTTCTGCCAGTCTTATCTGATAGGCATGTCTGTATGAAGAAAAAACCCATTTCTTTGTCTACTAAACAATTTATGAGCTTTCACACATGCTCACACATTTCCTTAAAGCTACACTAAGACCAAGACCCATACATTGCACTGTCCCCCACTAAATAATGTATAGTATGTTTTAATGATGATAAATAATAATAATAATAATAATAATAATAATGCTGAATTAAATTTTGGAGAAATTGAAAAAATAGACCTCTATTTTGCTGAGCTATACACAGAAACTCTGAAGGTACAAAATTCTTGCACATTAGTTAGCCCTTACATAGTTAAAATAGTTCCCTTTGGTTTTTTACTAGGTACAGTCAAACGTCCTGCATTTAAAAGAGAGACATGCATTCAATTAAGTTAATAAGGCATGAGTGTTTGGATGTTAAGGACCTGCATGTTCAGGGGTCTGCATGTAAAGGACAGAAAACAATTCTTTTAAACCATACAGATGTCAGTCATTTTGTGTTGTGCATCAACAAATATCTGTGTAAAAAAGAAAACCAAACACTGTCATACTCTTGTCTGGGTGTGTATGGTCTCCATCAGGGGTCAAACAAAGCCTGAGCCACACCTAGAAGTCTCCTGTTAGTGTCAAGTCCCACATGCATCCCCATTCCACTCATGTGGGTGTCATCCCCATCACCCCCTGCAGCAGAAAACCAAGCCCAGTTAGCCGCAAAGCAAATGAAGAAAGCTAGCTCACTCTGTCACTCACAGCTTCCTTTACTAATTAGCCTAGCTGACATCAGGCCTGATATATAAATAAATATATAAATGAAAATCTTTGATTTGCATCCGCACAATTAGCGACTTAAATTACTATAGTGGAAATGATACCCAAAGAATTAAATTTCTCAGTTTAAACAGAATGTCTTGATTACTTTAATGTTATTTAGAAATTGCAAATGCCATTGAGCTTGGCATTCCGATTAGGCACTGTGATGTTTTGTCAACTCCTGTCACATTTAACAGATGATAATGGAACCTTCCCAGATCACCTCTGTCAGTTGTAATGGCAGGGCAGGTCTCTTTAAGTTTACAAAGGGGGATCAAGATAAGGCAAGAGTCCTCCTAATTTTCAGGTATCCTAATCAGTTCTAAATGTGTGTTGCAACACGTTCTAGTCTCCTACACACATTGACTTGTCTGATAATGCAGACACCTCAAAGTAGGTCTAAAAGTACTCAGCTATGTCTTACGTCCAAAGGATAACGGCGAATACATCCACCTCATGACTCTTCACCCATGGGAAAGAGGCACCTATGTTTTCAACTCAAAAATTTCACACTTATGACATAAATCTGTACAGAATCATCATCAGGTCAGCTTTGATTGGTTGACATGGTAATTTATCTCTTTCAGCTAAGTTTTTGAATGACACACAAAAGACAAAAACAAAGATCAAATGTTCAAGGCACTGAATCTCCTGCAAACTATCAAGAAGTCATTAGCTGGAAATATATCATTTTGCTTTTACAAGATGTTTTTGTATTGCTGATAGCAAATTTACCGCAGAATTAATTATTTTTTTAAAAAATTTTTATTCACAGCAAGGAGAAAACGAAAGTAAAAAAAAATTTACATCTGAAACCCCATGAATTCCTGGTTAATCATTTATTTATAATTGACTTATGTCATCAGTATGGAATTTTCATGGTCAAAATGGAGATTTGTTCATGAAGTCACCACCAACAGAGAGCTATAAGATACAGCTGTGCCGATCAGCCTGCATAGCAGGTGGTTTTTTGCGTGTGTCTTTTGTTTGCGGTTTGCAAAGCATAAGACAAAGCCTCGTGAAAGCTAACCAGAAGTCAAACAAAAAAGTAAGTGGGGAGGGAGTGAGTGGAAAAATTATTTCTCTTGCCCCCTCCACTACCGTTATCTCATTTGACCTCCTCACTTCCAGGAAACTTGACAAAAAATCAAAAATGCCTGTTATGTGGGCCAAAATGTATAATTGTAGAGTGGACAAGAAAAGTATCTTAATTATGTGATCTATCACCTAGATGCCCTGGGTAACACTTTGGATTGATCCCACCAAAAAGTTCTCAAAAACAACCCTGGGTTTGAATTTGTCAGTGCTGATGATCATGAGGCTGGAACCGGAAGTGTTAGGATTAGGACTAACGTTGGAGTTACAAAACATCTGGTCTGCACTTGCAAAATTAACCCTGCTTTAACATTCAACACATCCAGTCACCCTCAACAAAAATAAAATAAGTCTTTGGAATAGCATTTTATCCAACAAGGAAAAGATTTTTGCACTGCCTGGTGTTAAATGTTCTGTCACTTCTGGCTTTGGGGGGGAGGAGTTACAAGGTGAACCATTTTTTCTTTCACCGGCTGCACACTCTTCGGGAACTGGCTGTGTTAATCAAGGATGTAAAGAAGGCAGTCTGGGATTTCATCACCACATAATCTGTCGCAACAGAACTTTACTGCATTAGATCCTCGGCCAAACATTTCATCCAGAAGCAAAATTATTGAAGTGTGCATCACTTGACTGTACTTCTACCTTTGGAGGGTACCTCAATTCATCAGGATGCATTATTCTGTCATCTCCTCATTAAGATCTCTTTTAACTTCCTGGTCTGTCTGGACTCCGAAACAACACTTGTAAGTTAATGATCTAAAGGGCTGATTTAATTGCTCTCAGAAGTACTTCCTCCATGACCACTTAACAGCTCTTTCTTCTTTTGTTTGACGCAAGGCAATTCCTTCACTAAGTTGATATCATTCTTTCCCTTGGAATTGGAAATTCTTTGCTCTTGTCAGTCTAGAGCTCTGTGTACAGTTGTTTTCTCAGAATTATCCTGAAAGAAGTCAGATTGCCAGTGAAGCTACTGGTACCCCATGGAGGATCAAGACATCTTCACCACTAGTTTGTTCCACAACTGTTTTTTGTGTTGTCACACAATGCTCCTCTCCACAAACCACCGCCTTGTTGTTTTTCTTTGGACAAATAAATGGGAGGAGCTTTGCACTAGCTTTCACTGCGATTTCATTAAACTTTGAAACAACTGTAGGTCCTTTAATAGTTGACACTTGCTAAGGTCACTTTTTTTCCCATATAGCCATGTGAACCTATGGTTGACATTAGGAAAATGGCACACCACTGTCATTATACGGCAAAAGCTTTGGTGATACAGACAAAATGCATCATGTGGTAAAAATGCAAATTCTTCATGTTTGTCTACAATCCAAAACTTTCTGGGTAATAGTAATCAATAATAAGTCATTCATAACTTGCTTTCTTTAAATGGATGTTGTTGTTTGTCATAGCAGTGCAGTGCGTCTGTCTGTGGTTGATCAATCCAATGCAGGCGCAGAAGGCTCTACAGCATTTTTGACTCTGGTGAATTTCTTGAGCAAGTGGCAAGGAGTTCAATTTAGACTTGCACAACTTGCAATTCCCCTGCTAATCTGTTCTGCTCAATGGATAGAACATGGTTTGTGATGGGTATATGGCACCTTAATAAAGTAATAACTCTGACTTGCTGATCACCACCACTCAACACAAAATACATAACTATTTTAAGAAATATCCAGAATTTAAATACACAAGTGCACAGAACTGATGAAGTGATACATGAACTGTGTGGCAAGTAAAATAATATTTATTTAACACATTAAAAGACGGGAAGACTATAGCAGGTTCGAGCTTTTCACACACAAGCTATGCTGGCTTTGGTAACAAATGTGGCAACTGATGAGCAAGGTACAGCAATCAAATGCATTGTTAGAAGGAAAAATGCCATTTTGATGACATGACTTAAAACACAGATGACTGATCTCCAGCTGTGGTTGCTGATACACTGACCAAAAATAATTTTGACACTAGGAGGCCCTCCACCCTGCGAAGGTCACCACATCAGTGACTCACCCCACCCCATGGCTGGCGGTATGGGTTGTGCTGCTTGTCTGTGATGTCATAAATAAACAAAAAATGACAAGATGCATTTGATATTTTCCAAATATAATTTACTGTTAATTGCAAATAGCCAATTTCAAATACAGTACTACCATGACAAAAAGAACAAAGTATGAACAGTGTTGCTTAAATTCTACCAATTCATGCCCTGCAAATTTTGAGTGGTTAAAGGCCCAACTGGCAAGCCGAGTCTTAGGCACTGTTAATAACTGTGGGTGCATCAAGACGCCTATCACTCGGCTGAGACTGAGTATAACATAATGCCACAAACCCGCCAATAAGTTTTGGGACTCAAGGCTATGGCTGTCATTACTTTGTAGAACAAACTGACTCAACAATCTAATATTTCACAGGCACATGCATGAATAAGCCTGCCACTTCACACAGTTGTTACAGATAATCAAGCCCAAGAGCCAAAGTCAATTATATCATTTAAAAGTTCCAGTAAAAACAAAGAAAACAGAATTCGAATTGAATAAATTTTGACATAACAGCAGGTACTATAACTTGCACTTGCAAAGAATTCATTGAGGCCTCAAGTAAGACAGACTTGGAGCTTAGGATTGCAACATTAACTGAGGAACCATTTCCTACTGATCACATTTAGAAACCTTCACTTTATTTCTCAAATAAACATGCCTAATACAATACTATTATTTGCTTCAATTGAAAAAGAAGAATGAAATCTGTCCATGGATCCTAAAGAAGGGGGCATTGAAGCCTTTCAGAATAAATTTTTTTGAAGCCTTTCAGAGTAAATTTTTTCAGAAACTGCTCATCCACAAAAAAAATTGCCCAAAACTGCAAATGTTTATAAATATTGGCCAAAACTGCAAACCACACAAATTCTTTCTTGGAATTTTGTCTCTGGAGTTGAACTAGAGAACGGCAGAATCTGAATGCCATGTCTGAATAACTGCACTGATGTTGGTCCAAAACAAAACATTAAAAAAAGGAAGTGTGATATCTAGAAAAATAAATAGACAAAGCTTGCCAGGACCAAACCCAAAAACAGCCAAATTTGAAAATATAAAATACCTTTTGCTCTCCTACTCAAGTTAAACAGTCATCAATTACGTGGTGGATTTAACATGTGACAAGAAAACATTTTAAGGTTGACAACAGTTTTTTCCAAGGTAGTAATTTAATTCCAGAAACGTGAAAACCAGGATGTCAGAGAACCAGTAGAATGCCTAGGACCAGAAATGAAACCAACATTGTAGGAGGCAGTTTGATTTTGTCTCTGTCATCATTATGCTAATTTCCAACTACCACACATTGCAACCATAAATATTTCAACTCGAATGATGTGTTTACTGGTTTTCAACAAGTCTCACCAAGAGAGGAGACATGTATATGTGCAAAATAAACTTCCTCTAGCAGGGGTCAACACAGGATTCCCACTCTAGTTTTTTGTTTTCTGAATAGACGTAAGTACAATGACATTAATTCATTGCCTTTAAAAAATGCCTGAAAGATCTTTGTGAACTGCTGGACAGAAGCAGTTGCATATCAAATTGTGATTAATTACAAGATAATCTTGCTTTTTTTTATTTAACTGTGTACGTGCATCGAAAATTAAAAAACAAGCCACAATCATTGTGATTTTGAGGAGGGTCACTTTGAAAAATTACTTCATTTAGTGCAACATATTTGTGATGCAACTCGTTGGTTAATGTTGAATTCTTCACGACAACTTGATGAATATTTTATTGTGGCATTTACAGAGCTTTATACATAGATCATTTTTTGGCAACAATTAGAAAAAAAACCCAACAAACAAAAGAGAACAGGATAGCTCCGCAGAGATGAGCTTCAAACATTTAAGTCACTGGATTACAGGATTTAAAAAAATCTCATAAAAAGCACCAGCAGATATTCCCCAGTGAGCTGATGTGTTATCAGAAAGGTCCCACTATAAGAGAAGTATTGGTGATCAGGTCTCCACTTCTTGCAATGAGCAAGAGTTGAAAGCATGTTTTTCATCAACAATCAAAGTACAGAACTCAATGCTTGTTAGCCTTTCACCACTTCTGGGCTGCCAAATTGGAAAACTGGTTCACATCTGTGTAGCTTGTGTGCAGCAACTGCTTCTTAGACCTCAAGAGTTTTGTACTCGTGGGTCACTCAAAACCGAAAAGTTGACAAATGTAATTCCCAATCCTCCTGTTGAAAATTCTGCACACTTAACTGCTTTGTAAGCTCTGGTCTGTTTTTCAAGTGTCTCTTTAAATGTGATTCCATTTTAAGGCTGACTGCACATGCAGGATACACTCTGTTCTTTAAGGGCAAAACTGGCATTCTTTTTTGGAAACTTCACCTCAAAAATGGAGGCAATCAATAAACCTCCTAAGTTGACAACTTGGCTTCAGAATATATGATTTTTTATTTTGTTAAAGCGCAGGGGAGTGACGGCGGGAGAACCTCTTAGGCGTAATTTGTGACCTCAGTCATCCCGGTTAAGCAACCACCTTGCAAAAAGATGCCATAACACAGAGTCTTGTTTCATCGAGCCAAGATAGTTGCTTTGAAATAAAACGCTTCGACTGCTTACTACTGGCCTTTTGGACAATGGTGGTGTTTGACTGAGTGGGATTATCAGCAGTTCGGTTGATGTTGACTGGTGCACTGATTCTTAACAGACTGGATTTCAATTCTCAGTGCATAATTTTTCAGCATTCAGTAGAATTTGGAAGGACTGGGTAAAATCCACTAACAGTGTCTCACGGACTCTTTTGCCAGGGCCATTCCAGGGCACAAAAGACAATCATTCAGGGTAAGGGGTTTTGAAGTGTTCAGTGGACAGGTGAATAAGATGATTTTGAGAAGGTTACTTCACTGAAACACAGTGATTCATAACAAAATTTATTAACATCAAACACTTACTGCTTATTTCAACATCTTACACCAAACGTGTCTGATGAAAAAGCTTTACCTTTGCCAATCGGATCCATTCTGGCTCCGTCGTCTTACTTTGTCTGAGTTCACCACAATAATGTAAAGCACTGTGCCCTTCGACTACCTTAATATTTTATTACTAAACCTAGTGCTTGAGAACTCAATGAAAGTTCACTTTGCTTTTGTAGTGATTGCACAGGCTTTACACTCTTACGTGGAACCTTCTCTTCTTGAAAAATCTTCCTAGTATGCTGCAAAGAAAGAACATTCAGACTCCCTGGACAAATAAAAGGCCTGACCACTCCTGTTACCCAATGTAATGATCGACCAACTATGTTTGTTCAAAATCAGTGAAGGGAAAACCTTAAAGTCCTGTGGAAATCCATAACAAGCAGTTAAAATGTATCTTATTATGTGTATTTTAACTGCTGGTTAAGAAATTATCCACTTGATAAAGTAGACCATCCACCGACAAACAAAGCCTGGTGATCTAGAAAAACCCCCAAGAAAAAAACTCCCGTAACTCCCTATTTTCTAAGTAAAAACACACAAGATATAAAACCTGTAGTGGAGGGGAGACTGTTTTTGCGTGTCGTACGTGCTGGAATGCAAACAGAATCTGAACAATTTTTACCGGATTACCGCCCTTTGATTGCGTGCTATCCTCGAATAGCAACGCTTTTTTCAACTTCGAAAATCGACTGGATACAGTTGAGGGTCTTTTTTCAGTAAATCTCGGTACATTTCATCGTAGGTAGTTTCAAACGAATATATGTTAGGTTTGTCCGGGGCTGGGCCAGGCAACTTCACTTGTACTCCAGATCCAAAGGATTTGACGTTGAATCCTCGCTTGCTGAAATTAAACAAAAGAAACGAAAAACATTCCCATCTTTACCCTTGACACAACTTCACCTGCCAAAATAGTTGGCGGCTATTACACTGCAACATAAAAGGCATATTCCCCGGCGCGTTTCGAACGGCTAACCCTTTACCTTAGGAAATTATGTGCTTCCATACTTCGGTTTTGATTGCTGGAACAAACGACGGCGATTCTTAACTTTAGAACCATATTTTGCAGATTCAGAGGCATTAAAGACAAGGAAATATACGATTTGCGAAAACCTAAGGTAACGATGAAAGGAATGTATCTATACTAATAGGGAAAGATGGTTCACAGTGATGGATGGAAAAGGATTTTTCCACACCAAAAACTCTCACCGACCAACAAAGATGGACGCCTCAAGAAAACTGCAACGCAATAAGTCTGACGTCATAATGAAAGGATTGGTCAGTTCTATATTTGGTTTTATATCCGGGTAACTGCATTAACATCCGGGAGTGTCGCACCTAGTCCCCTCCAATCTTTTACAAGTAAAGATGGCGGACGGACTGGTAATTTTTGTTTCCCGCTTGTGTTGTTTCTTTTTTGGACATGTATTTTTAACAACTACATGAACTATTACTGTCATTTACAGCCCCTTGACGAAAGTGATGAGCCTGTTGTTTCAGCTAATGTGGTAAGTTGTGTGTAATTGTATTTTGGGGCTCATCCACTAGATATAGCCTTTGCTATTTGGACAATCCCAACTCGCTCCTTATATAGTCACTACAATTTTTATTCTTCACTTATGTATAATTGTATTTCTTTGTCTTCTTTTTCTTTATCTGTCTGAATCACATGTAAACGGAGCTGAGTGAAATAAATCTTGTTGTCATACGTTTCTTGTCATACATGCCAAATAACTAGGAAGTTTTTTTGGTCCTATTTTCCTTTTGGCTCCTTTGAAAGTAGCCGGGGTCATGTAGTTGGGGAAACTCTCTGGTTCCCGGCCCTCAGTGACAGCTCTCTTGTAGCTTTATGTGGCCTTCAACTGTGCTGTAATGCATCAGTTCTGGATACATAATGAGATGAGCACAGAACTCTCGGGGGCGGGGGAATACTTGGGTTTATTTTGACCTGTCAGAACCCCCACCTCATTGTTGTCTATTCTGTGGCCAAATGTAGACCTCATCTTAGTCACTTTTGGGAAAAGGTAATTCTAAAGAAATTCATGATCAGTCTGGAGAATTTAAGCCTGCAAAAACAACCATTTTTCCTTGCTCCTCGCCGCTGGGGACGTTTTGCGAGGAGGAACGTCTGCAATTCATTGACAGAAATTCCCTACTGATGATTTAAAATCTGTCCAAAATCTGGTCATAAATCGCTGATTGGGCAACAGACTAGTTACATTGTTTTAGCTGTTGTTTACAAAATTATGACTGACAGACAAAAGGCTACAAAGGTCAAATGTAAGCTTGATGATTCTAACACAAAATAGTCAATATTAATTGTGGAATTCCTCTCTAGAAGCAGCATTTGAGTTTTGCTGGAGCTCCTTTGTGGACAAACACAACACTTTACCAAAATCGACCAGAAGGAATGCAAAATTTAACAAATTTGCATTTGGAACCCCATGACTACCAAATTTACTATGTAGGCGAGGATCAAGGAGAAAGGGCTGTTTTCGCAGGCTAGGAGAATTTGTTTGTGGATATTGAGGATTAATTATTAAATGGTTCAGATGACGGATCTTATTAGTCTTATGGAACATTTTTTGTAAATACAAAATGTGAATCCATTTTATATTGATCGCAATAAGTCAACAGATATAAATATATATATTTTTTGTATTTCTCTTTGATTCAGATTGACTGCAACAGCGACAATTCTGAAAAAAGTGAAAAGAGGCAACTCTTAGAGTCATGGCTGAACAAAATAATGAGAATAAAGATTTCTGATGGAAGAACATTAATTGGTTCATTTCTTTGTACTGACCGTGATAGGAATATTATTCTTGGATCATGTCAAGAGTTTGTAGGCTCAGCAGGTAAGTGATAAAATAGAGTAGTGATAAAACTAGAGGTGATCATTGATTACAGATCCATGTTTGTTACTTATGGAAATTTAAGCGAGTCCAGTTTTCCAGCAGAGATGTTCCCCCTGACAAAATCAGTGGGGGCGGCTAATCGGCAGTCGCCCATGATACCTTGAAAATGTGTCGCTTTGTACTATAGGAACACTAAGATTAGGAAGCATTCTGACAAATGCGACAATGAGCAACGATTCAGTTAAGGGGTAACCTGTATAGCTAGTGGCTGTTTTGATTGTCAAGCATACAGATGAGCGGTGAAGCTGCGAGGAGGAGGAGGAGGAGGAGGAGGAGGAGGTCCTCACATGTTTACAGCTTTTCCCCCTCTCACGAAATAAGCCACTAGCTACACAGGATTGATAAGGGGATGATCTTCTGTGAATCATAGAAAGTAGCCTGCTTTGCAGACGTAATCTTAACCCCAGTTAGTAATGTCTGTGAAGCAGTGCTGATATCCTTGTTCTCAGCTCCTAACAGAATCAACCATTACTGGAAGTCCATTTCCAATTTCCTTTCAACCTGATTGGCAAATAGACAATGCCTTTTGTAACAGGCCAATCATGATGCATACTCAAAACTTGGTACGCAAGTGGAGACCCAGAATAAGGATTTTGGCACTGTTTCACAGATGGAATTAACAAAAGTTTAGTTTGGTCAGTGGCGCAGGCTACTTAGAAAGAAGCAATATCATAGATTTACTGTGAGGTAAAAAATCTGAGACATGAAGGGTTGTTTCATCTGATAACTGCACACAAAATTGTAGATTATTTCAAAGAGCAAGGGGCATGTGTCTTAGACTATCTTCTAAGTGTCCGCAGTCATTTGTTAAGATCCCGTATTTTCATAGAAATTATGGTGGTGCCTGGATATGTGATGAAACACTGAGTCTAGTGTGTGTCATTTTCTCAAATGAGTAATAATTTTCAAAGAAATGTGAAGTTTATTTTTGCAAAAAAAGTTTCTTTTATACATGAAATCCAGCACATAAACTCTCATAAGGCTGCTTATGGTTAGCAGTGAAGTTTGAGTCATAATCAGAAGCACAAAGCATTATAATGTTGTAGTGAAAACAGTGTTTGATTCCTCTTATGGCTCCATTTTCTTTCTTTTTTTGGTGGCAGATGAAAAAGAGGAACCAAGAATACTTGGGCTGGCCATGGTACCAGGAAAACACATTATGTCCATTGAAATAGATGAAGAATGACTTAAACAAAGCTTATCATGGAACCTAACATACATCAGATAAAGAAAAATAACCTTGATGGTTTTAATGTGGAAGTGTTTTACAATTCTGCTGTCAGATGGTTCATTTACAGTGGAAGTGATTAAGAAATTGTTGTTCCAATTAACTCACTTTAAACTGTGATCAGCCTTTACTTTGGTTGCGATGCAAGATTGCCAGTAATCTTCTGCTAGATCAATATGGCTTTGCTAGCAAGTTTCAAGCAGGTGCATGTACTCCTGCATGGTTTCTATGCATGTTCTGGGAATACTTCAACATGTAAATGGTACAAGGAAAATAACCAATTTGCAGTAACTAATGGAAAGAATTAAAACTGGCCTTTTGGTGAAGAGACAAATCTTATGCTACTGTTATCAAGTATGGCTGGGAAAATGAATGGAATTTTCAGGAAGTGGTAGCCTAACCAGTGATCAGGCAATCCCTCTTTCGCTTTTTATTTGGGAGACGAAAAAAAAAAAACACTTGATTTCAGGTTAGTGTTAGCAGTGCATTTGGAACAGCTAGACTGCAATTATGTACTTCCTTCTACAGGTGCCAGACCAAATAGTTGAAAATAAAAATCATTGTACCAAAATGTAATAAAGTGTAAAGTTGGTAAAGTACCATGATGACATTTTTCTTGTCAGCCAGTTATAATAATTGACCTGCAATGCAGACAGTCTAAATCCTTGATAAACACTCCACCAAAAAACTTTTTCTTGAAACAAAATACCTCGAATGACAGAGATTCAAGTGAAAAAGCAGGAAAACACAAAAGTATCACCAAGAGGAGGGGAGGTTACACTTTGCGGTGCAGAAGGGTAATGTAAAAAGGTAAAGGCGCACATGGGCCAAAGGCCAAAAATGACTGGAGCTTAATCCTGGTTTCCTTTGCATGAAACATGCCTAGGAGTATCGCTACTCCCCCCTGGACGGGATGCTAGTCCATCGCAGGGTTACCCCCCAGCAGTATATTGCTGGTACCCATTTATACACCTGGCTGAAGAGAGACAAAGAGGCGTAATATTCCTTGTCTGAGGAAACAGCATGATGGGCTAGGCTTGAACCCGAGACGTCCAGATCCGAAGTTGGAGGGGTTAACTGCTCAACCACACATGCCTCTACGTAGGGTAGAATGGCAAGGAGGTTATTAAAAACCAGACATCACATACACAAATGTTTCGATAACTTCCCTCTCCTTCTTTTTAAGAGATACTTGCCTAAGCCCATATTTTATCGGGTAAAAGAAACAGCAAATCAAGAAATTCTTGACAAGCCTTTCACTCCCAGAATAAATCACGAAAATCCTGTGGTGTTATAATTCAGGCAAAACCTATTTAGCATTTTTTTTTTCATATGCAAGGGAGGGGCAATCTTGGGTGCATACGCACCCACCTTATCAATTTCCCAGCTTCACCCCTCTTCTTCCCCAATACATGTTCATCACTTTGGAAACAACTTTTTTCTATAGCTACAGCAAAGTGGGCAACAGAAAACGAGCAACTTATTTTGCAACATTGCTGTAAAACGAGTTGTATAGCTATGCTCTGCATTTTAGCACCCACGTTCGAACCTGTATGGCACATACAACATCACTATTCAACTCGGTTTGCAGTCAAGTCCAAAAAAATTTGTAAGTTTTTTGTCGCTGGTTTTACTGTACCTTAAGGCAAACTCGACCTAGTGAAAATCCTAGACCTGTTCCCGAACATTGCATGGTTTTTAAAATATATTTTGCACTATTAAATTTGGCAATTTGAGCTTTCACACTCTAGGGAAGAGGGTAAGTGTTGGAATAACCTGAGATCAGGCTCTATTTTCGTGGTAGCCGTTAGAGAGAATGTATGAGAACCGCTAAAATTGGACCTGATCTCAGGTTATGTTGGAAAAGCAAGACGATATAGAAATCAATTCGAGCAAAGACTTTTGCCCACCAAAAACAACTTGAGCTATAACTATTTTGATTAACTGTTTCATTTTGAACTGCAAAATGTTAGATGGCTAGAAAAAAAACAAAACAAAAACAAAACAGAAAAACAACAATTCACAAAGAACAACATTATAAAAATCACCACACTTATATCTCTGGATGCCAGAGAATGTTGAGAAAAATCAGATTTCCAGCTTCTAATATAATTAACTATGAATCTAAAATTAAGAATCAAATCTTAATATTTCTTGATGCAGCTGTAACTGTGTTGACAATTACAGCAGAAAATAACACAAAAAACAACACACCATATTGTATTTGTCGCTGCTTGAGAGAAGTTTAATATGAAAGATTTATTTTGTTACTAGTTTCTAAAAAGTAATGATCATAATAAACTAATGTTCTAAAGGTGTCCTGTAGCAATACAACTACTGTATGAAACTTGAATTAATTTGCTACGTCACATTGCTCCTCTATACAATAATGTCTAGTGCCAGGTTTTGACATTTTTATAATTCAGTAGTCAAGGGGCGGGCTGGTTTAGCATCTAACTCTGCTGTCATCTTCTGAACCCTTATGGTGTTACAATCTTGACACAGAAGGTGTCCATCAAGTGGGTAGCACCCAGATCCACCTTTTTCCGAAGACAATGGGGCTTGACAGTCCTAAAAGTAAGACAAAAAGGAAAGCAAACAGTAAGTGTCTCCTCATTAGATACTCAGAAAAAAAAAATGACTGAAAACATACAGAGTAAAGTAGGGGACCACCAAAAAAGCCACAAAGTATGTTTCTTGTGTGGAAAAGCTTAAAAATACCGGCACACAAACTAGTAATAACCAAAGGTTACAGAGTGCGGGCGACACAATTAAAAGTCAAAATGCTTTTACTCTAACGCTGTGCTTTGTGTAAGTTTCAAGTGACAGATGGTCAAAACATGCGTCATCATATAATGAATGATAGAAGGTCCAAACATGCAAGATCAAATTGCTTTCTGAGCATCCATTCATTCTTAGTGGAAGTCCAAACGAATGCTGGGTACATACATGCAACGCATGTGTGGAGATTAGGATTGCAGTTTCCTCTTGTCGCCTGCAATAGACCCTGCACCTGGAACAGTGTGACTCCAGGAAACATCCATACTCACCCAACAGAGAGTCATTGGACATTCCTCAGGGGGAGGGGGCTAGGAAATTGACAAACTCAAATGGAATTTCCAGGGGGAGTGGGGGGGTGGGAGTAAGGTACAAACCAATAACCCCCTAAAGGAGGAATATGGATGCTTTGGTACAAGACAGTGAACCTTTTGTCTAATGAAATTAAAAGGTTTCAAAAGAATTCTATGTTATCCTAATCCAAAAATTAAAGCCAGTTGTTACTACTATTCAATATTTCAATGGAGACAATGTAAATTGTGACAAAATAAATTTCCGATAACATGATCATAATTCTCTTATCAGGCTCGAGAATTATTTAGTGGTCACGTGGCAGCTCTTCTAACCCTAAAAGCCGATATTTGGTTCAAATATACACTAACTGTGACACAATGGGAAATAATGATAGACAACGATGTGTTATTGTTTTTTGCGACCAATACGGATTGAAACTCCTTACGAGCAGTTCCTACATCATTGATTATTGATCACATGCTTATTACACATATACAAATAACTATTTCACTGAGGTTCACCAAAGGTAGATTCAGACTACCTGCACTAGTTTTTTTTTTTTTACAGAAGAAAGCTCAATCACAACTAACATCTAGTTGACTAAGCACTTCGTTGTCTACCTGATGTAAATACCGGTAGCTTGCACAGTCTTATATCCATGTAGGACTAATATAGCTAAGCATACCATACCACTTGTACAATAATTATTTGTGCACCACTATTTATCAAAAATATACCAGCTGTTAATCCTCTTTACAAGAACTGAGTTTCAAATATAATTACTTAGCTCTGTTTAACATGTTCACCTTGAGAACACATTCAGTAAAACATTTCTTTTAAACAACCTTTTCGCAGATACTTCATAACTTAGTTTTTCTATAAATTATTATTAAAATATAGTGACTTTTAATCACTGATCTAGCAAAATATAAATTTTATTGTGAACTTACTCTCAAACTGACAAAACCGTCAACACTTGAAAGATCAGCTAAGGGAATATTTATGGTGTTTCAACCAATCACAGCAAAGATCAGGACACATGAACTAGCCACAAAATCACAAACTAACTGACGTTGGTGCTTATAGTTTAGTTTTCTCATGCCTGAATGGCTTTTTCCTTGCAATCAACTGCTCAGAAATATTTCTGGTGTTTACATTATTGTAGGTTTGACTGTAAATCAAAGCTTAATTTCCTAAACAAGTCCTATCTTGCAGTTTTTATTTAAGAAGTATTCTACTAGACAATAATTCTGAGCCTTCTGAAAGACTGAAAGTGAAGCCATCGCTTATGTAGAAGCATTTAAGTGCAATTTTATCGAGTATATATAATGAATTATATTTTTAACTTTCACTACTCATTTTAACATAAAGGGCATGCAGGATTTTGATTAAAGTAGTTAAGGTTTTTAAAGGGTAGTATTTATTAGTCTGTAACCCAGTATCTGTCTGTATATGTTTGGCAAATAATTATGGCATTCTTGCTCTGTCTGTATTGAATAAATTTACCAAATTATGTGTTTAAAATTATTTTAATCATTCTATTATTAAGAGCAATGCTTATTAAAGCAAATCCAATTTAGCTTATGCTGGTTTGTTAAAATAGCGGACTGAATGCTTGAATCTATAATTATTACTAATTAATTAACAAATTAATGTTTAGATTACTAAATTCATTAATAACATTCACCTACTGGTCACTAAAATACATTTTACTGGCTATTAATAAAGGGCCGCCTTGGCAGAAACAACCATTCTTAAATTTCACGCATGTTATAGGTAATTCATTCCTAACCTTAGCCCTGCTTGTCCTTTTACAAGACAAACTTTGATATTAAGCACTGGCTGCAAGGGCTAGACAAAGAGGATCATAATTCCATCTTTTTTTTAGCCGGAAATTCTTTCCCAACAGCACACGCTTTCATTGGTTATTTCACAGTCACATGATATCTAACAATGAAACTGTTCCCACCAAAATCTCTGAGCGGGCAATATGGCAAAATCTATGAGGTCAGAGGTTAACAGTGCATTGTTACCCGGGAATGTTGACCGACAACCGCGTTACAGTGAGGTTTAATGAATTTCCAGCTTCCAAATTTCCACCTCAGGAAACACTGAGATTCTTGGAAAACAAAATTAACTGTTTCCCTGATCAGGACCAGTCACTTTTTGTCATAACTGTGGAAATTGTGTGAGTAGTTAAGGGGAAAGTGTGTGTATGGCCAGTTAGGCCAGCTAATTAAAAAGTATGATTCATTTTACGTTGCTGGACTTTGCAACCACCATTTGATACTGATTGCAAACTCAAACAGTAGCATATTTTTAATAATTTGACTGAGTTTATTAACTTATTCATTACTACTGTTTACCTCGCAAATGTAACACTTGACATGGAAATCCTTGTTCATGGAAACTATACGAATGGTTTCCTCTTGACCCTAACAATAAGAACAAATTCCAATGAATAAACAAGATTTCTGACCAGATCTTGCCTTCAGCTTCCTGAACACGAGATCTGGGTATGAGATTAAAAAAATGGTATTCTTGATGTTTTAATGACACTTAGTAGTTTTCCTTTAAGATATTTCATACATGTCTTTGAATGTGCTCATAAACGGAACGCACCTTCCATTGTGCATGATAAAGTGCTCTAAAATGTATGCAAAAATACCATAAATCCTCTATTAAGCCCCCAGGGGGGGCTTATTTATTTCAAGCCATTTGAGGGGCAGGGGGCCTTAATAGAGATGAGGGGGCTAATATTTAATTTAGAGAAGACAATGGCATCAGTTCTTCATAAAGAAGTAGAATACAAAGTGGAAAAGCTCTAGTACAACAAGGTTGGAGGTCGTGCAGCCGAGGATCAGAATCAAATGTGAACTTCATAAACCATCCCAGATCAGTCCATATGAAGTTTACAGTCGTGATTGATTAATTCAGTCTGTCATAGTAAAGAATACTTAATTAGGAGAGGGGAGGAGGAATTAATGGTCAGGGGGGGTAGGTTATTATTACTATTCCCCTGAAAAAGGGAGGGGCTTATTAGAGGGAGGGGGTTATTTGAGAGGGGGGATTAATAGAAGATTTATGGTAAACCTGCCCATAAAAAAAACACTGTGACACAGGCCTAGTTTCGGGTTGCTATTCTGGGCATAGATATTAAAGTGAAATAGTTATGAATCCCGTTAGACTCCTTTGTTATATGTTTTTGTTAGCTTTTGACCTGACCATGAACAACGTTCAATAGCATTCCTATCATTTTGAACTTACTGACCGATAGAAACATCTCATTAATTTATTCAGTCACAGTACAACTGTGCTGTAGTTTCTGTAGTTTAGGATGGAAGCTGCCTGACTGTGCACAATCCTTTGTTTTCACAAATTGTTGTCATCTTTGATGTTTGCCAGCTTTCATAACCAGTCTCCTCTACTAACGATGCTCTGGGTTATGGGGCTTCGGGCTCTATACGCTGGCTCCCTGTAGACAGGGTTGTCACTAAGATTTCAAGTTGTCGGGTGAATATAACAAGTAGGCGAGGAATCAAACAGCTAGGAATTTATTTAGGTTCTATTATTCTTCTATTTTTTAATGAAAATAGCTGGAGGCCACATTTTTAATAGCGGGGGAAATCCCCAGCCCCCTGCTCTTAATGACAGCCCCGCTGTAGATTTTAACATTATTCCTATATGAAACAAATTATCACTACCTCATCTGGAACTATCAGTTGGTTACAAGCAGCACATCTTGGGGAATATTTCCTGGAAAACACAACAAATTTATAACCGGCAGACAGATTATGATACATGCCCTTTACATCTAATTAAGACAACAACTCTGCATTGCTAAATTCCAAAATGAAAACATCATGCAGATACTACAAAAATAAAATGATTTTATAAAGGAATCTTGACAAAGACCCTTACGAGTCCTAATATAGACTATAATTTTTTTCACTGTCAACAGCAACATGTCCAACAAGTTTGAAGAATAAATGCTTTACAAAAATTCTGTTCCAGCCAGGGCTCAAAACAATTTTTGACAGTGGCCGGTCATGTTGACTATCATAACAGGTTTCAGCTCAGCCATGGCTCGTTTCTGACTGGTCAAATTCACAAAGCCACAGAACAAGTCCATCAGATGGTGTCTCATCTGTATTCTCCAAATTTACAACTGCAAGTAGCTTAACATGTTTTATGATAAACTCTTTTGCGATTTACAGAATTAATGTGAATAAATATATTCTCCCAGTTGTTTATTTGAAACCCAAGCACTAGGCCAGTCAAAATGACTGCTGGCCAACTGAAAGTTTTTCCTGACAAATGGTCATCTTGGCTGAACACTGTCCACTGACTGACTGTTATTTGAACCCTGGTTATAACCGAGTGGCTAGAAAAAGTTAACTCATTACAGTGGAACCCTGTTAATACAGTCACCAATGGGCCAAAAAAAATTGGCCATATTAACAAGTGACTGTATTATCAAGGGAACTGTAATGGTTGTTTGCCGGGCCACCAAAAAAAGTGGCCGTAATAACAAAGTGACTGATTACTGAGGTGGCCATATTAGGCAGGGTTCCACTGTAATTAAAATAAAATGACCAAATACCTATAGTAGTCCTCAATGCAATGAATTTTATTAAAATTGTCCACAGTAAACTGCACTCCATCAAGCTTCTTGTGACAAACTTCACACTTAAAACAGTCGGGGTGGAAACATTTTCCTGTTGCTCTCAAAATCTAAATCAAAAATAATATTTATACATATGTTACTTTAACAGAAGGACAATGTTTTATCAACTGAAGGTTTGACTAGGCATTTTATTACTATACAGTTTCGTAATACACGATGGTGTAGCAAATATGATATCTTTTTTAAAGTCAAAAAAGAAAACTAAGAGTAATATGGGTTTTGATCGAGGACTCAAGACTGCATATAACTTTGTGGTTGTTTGAAATGTTAAAGCCCAGTACTCTCGCAAAAAATAGTAACATTACATAAGTAGGTGGAGCATGACCTTCTGGGTGATTGTATTCCTGAATAACAGTGATTTTGCACAACTAGTAGTTATGGTGAGTCCTGGGACTCATCTTGTGAAAAATCACGAGTCCCTGTCAATAACCAATGAGTCCCAGTTAAAATAAAACCAAGGAGTCCCAAATTGAAAATGCTAAGCCTTTATGTAACCAGACAGTTCATCTGGAAACAGATGTCAAAACTCTTTATTACAATTTACTGAAATTAAAATATAGTCCTTCTATATATTTAAAGCACAAAAAAATATACAAAAAAAAATCACACAAACAGGATATTGTGTAGTTCCAGAAAATATCCATACTCTCCCCCTGGAATGGAAATTCCAGGGGGGTGGGGGTCTAAAGCAAAATGCCCTTCGTGCCCTTTTTGGACTCCACATTCTACCAAAAAATCTTCAAATCAATTGATAGTTTTTTGTGTCCTAAATACAGGACGCATGCAATTATTATTTTCCACCTGTAGCGATTTTTATCTGTCAGGGACGCAGGAAGCAGAGGTAACAAAATTGCTGGAATAGACTTAATGTTGTCATGCAGTGTGAAGTTGACGTTTTCAAAGACAGACACCTTTAGGACAGGCAATACATATGTCTGTCTTATTGAGAGTCAACTAAAAGGACTAAAAAAGGCTAGGAACAACTCTAGGTGTCTTGTTATTATTATATATTATTTTTTAAATTCTGAAGTGTTACTCAATAAAAGTGTTTGTAACTATGAGTTAAGAGCCTTTTTTTCTTGCATAATACATGTAATGTAACTCATACAATTAGAAATAAAATTAATGATCTTTCATAACAAATATGAAATAATCATTCATCATTTTTCTCCCCCAAACTTTTGAGCAATAAAAACTGGCCCTGGGTTTTGATTTGACTTAAAAGCCTCAAAAGACCTTTCCAGTTAACAACTAAGGGGTCCACTGGGACACAAGCTGTTCAGAGAGTCCAATTTTAACAACTTTCCAGAAGGGGAGAGTTCTTTAGACCTCATTCCCTCCCCTACTAAAAGATTTATGTCTTCAGCACTCATGCTTGGATCTAGATCTAGAATGCTCACATCAGGGGCACCCAACGAGAATATAGTTCAAAACCACTTAAACATAGCATTGTTAAACGTATTTTAGTATTTAAACGGTAGATATAGGCATATTTTTATCCCCTATTTTTCATCTGTTCGGAATTACTAGCTGAAAGTCTCGAGATCCGAAAATCATAGGGATTAAAACTTACCTTTTCGAAAATTTCAGCCAGAAAAAAGGCTCCCGAAAATTCTAGGTGAGCTTTTTAGGGTAAAAATCCGTTAAAAATGGGCAATTACACCAATTTTTAGATGTTCGAAAATCCTAGGAGAGGTAGGCAAGCAAGAAATTTTACAAAAAATGTTCCGAAAATTCTAGATCTCAAATCGTCTTCCGAACAGATATTTTCCGAAAATTGACCTTGGGTGCCCCTGTCACATCTGCTCCTTTCACTTATTAAAGGGACAGGTTCACGGTTAAGTGCATGTTCATTAATTAAATTACTTTCTTCCATTTTATTATTAACTCTATCCGTTAATAATCCCACTCACATGTATCTCAGTGATCTCAGTGTTATTTCAAAGTAGAAGTGTACTTCAGAGTAACCTGAAGTAGGATGGAGGAGTACTAAAATCACAGAAAAAATTGGAATTATATATATGCCAACACTACAAACATTGAATTTATTGACCCGACGGTTTTATTCCATGGTTGATTAGTTTACAGCTATTTCAAATATTTAAGTTGATCAAGTGCAAGTGACTGCCAGGGGAGTGTGCATGTAGATTGGTTCTTTAACAACGTTATGACGTGATCATATTGCTTGTATAGACGATACGGCATGTCCCGACAGAAAAACAGCATTTTGATAGATGAGCATGCGCTGAACCGTGAACCTGTCCCTTTAATCAAATAACTTAAAATGTTAACATACACAAAGCACTTACCCGGTCAGTAATAACCTGGACACAAACCCAACATTTCTCCAGGGTTGCCTACAATAAATTAAATAAATGTGAATGTAAACAGAACACGTACAGATAACTGATTCTACTAAATTTCTACAGCAGCTATTACCTTAATTAACGTTAAAACTAGTAATAACCAAAGGTTAGGGAGCACGGGCAACAACGATTCAAGGTCAAAACGTTTTTGCTCTAATGCTGTGCTTTTCAGTGACAGATGACAGATGGTCAAAGCATGCATGATCAAAGTGCATTCTATGCACTCCATACATTCTCAGTGAAGTCCAAATGAATGCTGGCTACATACACGCGACGCATGTGTAGTAACAACCTGGAGATTAGGATTGCGGGCTGACTTCTTGACGCCTGGAATTATAAGGGCTTTTAAGAGGTGTGAGGAAATAAAACTTGTGATGTTAGTTATAGGGATTTCAAGTTCAACTTTGGCTGTATCAGTCACAACTCCTGCCCTGTATGCATGGTTTGTTATAATGCAAATGGCAATGGTAAAGAGCCCTTATTTTACATCCGTAGTTGGAAATACATGTGCAGTCATCTTTTGACTAACAAACCTGGCCCTCGCCTAGTTGTTCAAAAAGTGGAGAGCGATCTTTATTCAGTGGATAATGCAATTGGTTTCTCAATCACTTATCCACTGGATAGTAATTTATACAGTGGATAGCGCTATCCAGCTCTTAAACAACCCAGGCCTGTGGTCCACACGATGCACTCACTTGACCCTCCTCCCGCCACCAGTGCCCTGATTTAAGTGCATTTTAATTACATTTAATGCTTCTTAAAGCTACACAGAAAGAAAAAAGTTGAAACAAGGATTTGAGGTCAAACCTGAAAATTAATATTATTGAACTTGTGACCTTGCATGGAAGGTCGTACACTAACTGAGGCTAAATGTGCTCTACGAAGAATTTAAGGGACCCCATCCCAGTGCTCTTAACTTGTGAAATCCAGGGTACCCAACATATGACTTCTACGAAAACACTAAGATTTATGGAATCATGCCTATAGAAACATGTCACCAGTAAATGCAAATCTTTCTCTCAATCAAATGTCTCCTATTCATTTGTACATGGGAATTGGTGAAACATCCTGATTGTCTTGGAGACAATAGAAAAACAAACAATATCAGAAAGATCAAGTTATGCGGTCTTAAAGCGTGTTGCTTGACTTTAACCAGTTACAGCATTTCTCATAACTTTCCCTCTGAAAACGTTGAAATCAAAAGTCTGAAGGTCAGCTAAAAAAATCTTGATATAGTCAAAATAATAAACAATATGCTAACACTTCAGTCTTGAGTCAAAGCATGCAACATGCGTCGGAATCCTTTGTGAGCAAGCAAAAAGTCATGGGACCCATGATTTTACAGGCAACATGAATATACAGGCAGTAGTCCACAACATGGAGCAAAAGTTACAGGCCAGGGGTTCCCAGGGGTTGCTAGAGCACAGCCTTGCTAACCAACTGTCTCAATCCTTCCTCCTCTCAATTAACCTTCTTACCATATAATCAGCTTCACACAGAGCTTGGTCTTCCACCTTGTAGAACACTTTTCCAGTTAACTGACAACCTTAAAAACATCAAAACAAAACAAACTCAGCTCCAAGAGCAGAGTGAGAAAATGAAAGACCCACAAAGAAAGAAATCCAGAGGATCTGAAGTCTCATGCGATCAACCAAGTCCTTCAGGAGAAACAACAAAAGGGCTGACAAGAACTGCATGACGGGCGTGAGAGCACTGGATTCCAAGCTGAATATTGAAATCCCCCACATATGAAGTGGGTGTCCAAGCAAGACATTAAGTGGACAATTGGATCGGGTGCCGGGACCTTCATGATCATCGCATTAGTCAAAGAGGCATCTGAATGGATATCTGATGGCATGCGCCTACCCTAGCTCTTGGGGTGGCTAAGAATTTCAAGTACTCAGATGACTCTACATTATCATGTAGACAGTGTTACATCATCAGAGGATGGTATGGAATATCCCCTTCAGTAGTTGTCTACATGTTTAAAGACATCTGCCCTCTATAGCTTGCAGGGTGGCTAAAAATCTAATATTATGCACCCAGGCCAGTTGACTATACAACAGACCTGTCTGTAGACTGTTACATCATCAGAGAATAAGTTTGAGTTGTCTCTTCAGTACATGTCTACATTCTATCAGCTCTAACTCAAACTCACATTCGGACCTCTTTCAAGGAATCCACTGATTCCTATCATAGCCTGCAGTTAGCACTGCACTGAGTACTTGAAAGGACCAGCTATCCCGGAAGAAAGGGAAGGTGAATGACATCGGCAGCCAGTCAGGCTTCAGGAACCAGTGCGATGTGGCACAGGGTCTTGGCTGCCTGAGTCATGTGGACACATGATCTTGCTACACCATAACCACACACAGTTGTGTCTTGTTACCACGGCAACCAGAAAAGTCATATAAAACAACTGCTTAAAAATTCAATCTGAAGCATATAATCCATAGTACAAACACAACCTACAAAGATAATGTCAACCAAAAATGCTGCACAACTAAAAGGTTGGAAGATTGGTAAGAGATCAACAAACCCAAAGGATGACTTACCAGTATTAGTACTGACATGTTACTCACCACATATATTACAAACAAAACATTTGATATGGAAAAGTTTATCCATTGCATTACAACCAGTTCCTTCACCAGAAACCTTCTGACCACATTTGCTGCACATTCCTGTAAAAAATAATCATCATTAACATTACTGCAGATGTGTAAAAATTAGCAGTGAAATTACTAATGGAGATAGTGAACTTAAGTTTGGTAATTTTGTTTCCATTCTTCAACTTTCCCTGTACTTGTTACTTCCTCCCTGTTCCCTGTTTTAAAAACATCCTAGAATTAGAATATTTTATCTTCTGGTCGTCAGAGGGTTTTGAGTTACAATAAATCACTATTCTCTGGAATAATTATTAAAAACTGAATCATTGGATAATGCAGTTGTAGAGATCTGAATGGTTTAGCCATCATGGTAATATGAGCCATTACACCATGCTCGCGAAAATTTAATATGGTAACTGTACACGTCTGCTTAAAATGAAAAACAAGCTGAAAATTGTTTTTTTTTTAACATTAATGAAGGCAGGAAGAATTCTGGATATTTTGAGAGTGTTTTTAATCAAACAGTTATTCCACTCAGCCTTGTTGGATATGCGCTGATCATAGCCAACTCGGTGCTACACTCCTCGTTAGCTATCTACAATCTTATATCCAATGCACACTCATGGAAAAATTGTTAAACATAGGATGGATAGCACGGCTGTCAACTCTCCCGGATAATCCGGGAGACTCCAGATTTTAGACTGTTTCTCCCGGTCTCCAGATGAGAGTCTGAAATCTCCCAGATAATCGCCAAAGTTGCCATTTTTTGTAGATTTGACTCTCTGACAATGAAATTTCAAATATTTTGCTTTGTTTGAGCTATTTTTCTGTTTATATTGAACATTTGCTCACAAACTCCGGTATGCCATTGTAATATAAGCAATAATGTGATTGGTGGGAAGTAAACCAATTACGTCAAATGTTACATTATTAAAACAACATCTTTTCGGCATGTTTTTTTCCCCAAAAATGACGTCATGTGCCCTGCATTATGACATCATCTATCACCCACTCCCCATCAATTCTCAATATTTGAAGACGTGAGGGATTGACAGCCCTGGGATAGACATAGTGATGGTATTTGTTATTTTTTTGAGAATTATACAGAGAATAATTTGAAGTGGGAAAACTGAAACAATTAAAAAAGACCAACATAGAAAATAATAATTTAGTAAAAAGTAATTCATAAAAAATGAGAGAAAGTAAATACCATAATGTTGTGGTTCCAATAATTTAATGATTGTTTAGTAAGTAATGAGTATAATTTATTATAGTAAAATTATAAAATGGGATTTAATAAACCCAGTGATAACAGTACACTTAACCACATCACGTATAGAAAGACGTACTCTTTCTAAAAATCTTGTAATCACAGAATAAAATAATAACAGAGCTAAGCCTGAGACTTCTCAATGAAGTACTTGAGAGAGACTTGAGTTAAGTTGCCAGGGGGAACTGTCTGGATGCAACACCCTTCAAAGGAATCCATTTAGAGATCTTTAACATTCTAATTCTTTCTCTAGGTTATTTATAAATCAATCACAAGTAATACTTAAATTACTTTCAAATTTGGCCAACAGTTCAAATTTAAATTACCTTATTTGTAACTCTTTTTAATAGCAGTAAAACATGAAGTATAAGTGAAGCTTGAGATGCAATTAACAAGTTATAGAAATTAAGCCAATCAACGCACACACGGCATGGAAGTTATGTCAAACTTATAGTAAGTGGTCTTCCATCATAGATTTCTGCGTGTATACCGAGACTGTTAAACTTAAGTTCTCTGTTTTTCAAGTTGAAATTTCAACAGATTTTCTAAAGAATACACTTCATAAAATTCAGCGTAAAAAGGTTGAAGCTTGTTTGGCAGTCTTGCGACATGTTTGCATGCACGAACAGTAATGGTACACAATTAACCAAAATCTGTTCGTTCTGCAGGCGTATTAGAACCCAAAATTGTTTAACTGTTAAGACAAAATATCGCGACAAGAGAAGTTCTAACAACAGCTGTGTGCCAAATTCCCCCACGACGTGCTACAAAAGCGAAAGTCGACTTTGAAGTTTTACACGCTCAATCAACACATAAACAGCATAAACAGCGGGGAAGCATCAACAGAGAGCTTTAATACATGTCAACTTACCGAAAAAATCTGGATCACCTGTGTTCTCCAAATTCTTTACCAGAAGATCAGTTAAGGCATCTAGTTCCTCTTCAGCGCTTTTTGTGCCTGAGGAAGGTGGTGGAGCAGGAGGTGGTTTAATGTCGGACTTGGTTAGCCTAGTCGCTGTCATTCTTACGGGCTTCGGTGAAACAGGCGGTGGAATTTTTTTGCCTGTTACTGGATCTAAGCGTACAGCAGTGCGAACAGCCATTGTTTACAACCAACAGAGACGATCAATGAAGCGCTAAATCTGTATTGTGCTTCGATTGTGCTGTAATGCAAAGTGGACAGTGGATCGCTTTGTTACCTTGCCTTGTTTGTAGCAGACAGATGACGTTGGAATTTTTGGAATTCGGATGTTCCCTGGGTGTGGAGGGTCACGTATGAGGAGAGAGAACATGTACATGAAGCGGAACACTGGTGTAGGCGATTTGTTTAAAGTGAGATTAGAGAAGTGGTGTTTTCCCGGGGGGGGGGGGGGATGAATATTTGGGGGGGGTATGTGCCGCCCGATTTTTTTTGTACCCCGTTCTAGAATTCGCCCTCAAACTGATACCCCGTTCTAGAAATGGGCCAATTTTTTATACCCCGTTCTAGAAAGTTTGTAAATTGAAATAGCCCTGTTTTTTTAAAAAAATATTTCTTTATTTGTTCCACTTGTACATCAAATAAATGCTTCTTCATAATCTGATCCACAATTTTTTATACCCCGTTCTAGAAAACGCCTCTAAAATGGATACCCCGTTCTAAATCAGGAGCTTCAAAATCACGACCCCGTTGGGCGGCACATACCCGTATAGGTAATGTATGGGAGTGCCCCCCCGGGGGTGTTTCAAAGAAAGGTTACGATTACGGACAAAAATTAATAAAATTTTCGACCGTGTGACGCGTTATTTTGACCGCATGGATAAATGTACCAATCCAGGGGTTCCCCTAACCCCATCACTATGAAGAAATCTCGACACTCAGCGTAAAGACTTTTCAAAAACATTTATTCATGTGGCCACTATGTCTTGCTTGGACACCCATTTCATAAAGACCAGTTTCATTGACGCTGCTGGAAAAGAGCTCCTTAAAATTAGCGAACTAGTTAAAACCAAGTTTCAAAGCGATACGCTAAAAGCGAGCGAAGCAAAAAATCGCGAAAATTTACAAACGCTTGTATGCACCATACAAACCTATGTAAGATTAAGCGACTTTGGGGAGCTATTAAACATCTTCGTTAGTTTTCAACAAATCTAGCTCGAACTTAACATCCCTACAATTTTGAGGCATTCTTTTTGGCCCTTAATACGCATGACCATGTTGACGGATTTTCGACGCTAACTGGTCCCAGTAAACCTGAGTGGAACTGTCTATTGACAAGGAGTACTGCGGCCTCTACCGACATATGGTAGCCTCAGAGAACGACGATAATTCCAAAATAAGAAGTCAAGTACCTTCTGGTACCACTGACACATGTCTAGATGCTTAGTTTCATTCGATACATCTGATTCCAAAAACATGTCAGTATGTCCTAGTTTAGCTTCAATTTGAGCATAACAACTTTTAAAAGCCAGTAGATTTGTACCAGGGCAAAGGACCTGCTGAGAAATCACCGCCATCCTCATACTCTATTTCATAAGTAGACCGGGAAATGAAGTCAGCCAAAGGACTGATGAGGAATTTCAGCGTGGGTGTGTTTGTTGAAATCATGCCCCTACTGATACAATCTTTTCATTTTTTAAACTTGGACCATTTGCGATCAACAAACACACCCAAACTCGCCTCTTCCTCTTACACAGAACGACAAACCATATGACTTGAGAAAGTAAAAAAAACATTTCTACTATTTCTGATTTTTATCATATTCGGTGGCGGAAACATTACTTTGAAGTGCGTTGGGAGGGAGAGCGCTCTCAAAATAAGAAAATTAATGTTTCAACTCTTCGAACCTTACACACCTTCAATTCCAGATGAACACAAAAGGGTTACGCGTCACATGAACCTAACGTTAAACAGACAGCTATCAGTCATATACTGGCGATCATTTCGTTTTGTCTTTAGCGCATTCTGAAAACGAAATTGAGCACTATACTGAAACGCCTGTCTAAAACCAACAAAACAAAACAAAAAGGACAGCCCCCCTCAAAAACCCAGCCACGCACAACTTTTATTAGTGTTCCCTACGTTGGAAACCAAAAAGGCGGCAAAAATTTACCACGAGAAACAATTGTATGGAACCATGGATGGATATTGGCCCATATGATTCACGCAAGGACCTAGAAAGTCTAGAACTCTAGTGTTCGCTGAAATTCGTCTACTTGTGCATCCCGTCGTGCTGTGAAGCTCGTTTCACGAGACTTTTTTTTCCCTTAGTTTACTTAAACAAAAAAGACATTGATGTATAAATTTTGTGAAAGAAATTTGTTCTTCTTGCCTCAACGTTGCGGATATTTGGAATAAGCATTTCAACAAAGTACAACACGCCAACAAGAACTAAATTATTTTATTAGCAAAAATAGGTCATTGCAATGTAGAAAAATACATTACTGTATAGTGAGTCTTTATACTATAAGGCGATGTGTCAAGTATTCGACAACTCTATAAGACAACCCAGTTGTAACTAAACTTACAGTCCGGTAACAGTCAGAGCCGGCAAAATGTTGAGGAGATAAATAAATAATACTGAGAGATAAAAGATAAATAACTAAACTGTTCTGACTGTTCTTTTTTACAAAAATAAAACCTAATAGTTGCTAATGTTTCCTTTTTTGGTTCACGGATTTAAACAGTTTATTTAGAATAACCTTATTCTTGACTGTTTTAGGAGTAATTTGTGTGAAATTTTCTTAAAATCAAACACTGTAAACAAATCAAGGTAATCAAATGAAGCTACGCTTTCCTTTCTTAAAAAAAATAAGATATTAAGTATCATATACATGATGATAGTACAAAATATTTACAGTTGTGGAAAATGATTGCGCATCAGAAGAATACTAGAAGATCAAGCCCGTTTGGCGACTGAAAGAAAACTGTCACGTGCCATGTGTCAAAACCCCAAAACTTCCTTATCTGCTAGTGGCAACAACTCACACGTACGTGATCAGGTCGTGTACCTTGAAAACGCGGGAAAACTGAGCTCTAGTCGAAGTGGTCATGGCCGAAAAATGACAATTTGTTTTTATACTTTGATTTGAAGGGTACGACAAAACACCTGCGGGAACAGTACGAGAAACTGTATTGTATTGACGTGGGAGTCAAACACCAAAAATATAGTTCTGTACAACGACAGTCTCGAGGGGAAATTGAGACGAGATAACGCCACTCCAAGCAAACAAAGCTCTCAAAGAGCTTTCTTGACAGGTAAACTTGCGACCAATCCGCCGGAGCTAGTTTTGGACTTGTTACTTGATAGGGAAGATTGTTTTCCCACAGGTTTAACGTTATGTAATTTCATGAGGCCGTGATCTGCCATGCGCCACGCATCTCTGTCCGATGATTCGTTCTTGATTTGTATCAACACCTCATCCAGGCCAAGCTCGACGATTTCATCCCTGAGAGTAAAGAACAAAAATAATCATAAAATAATAACCTAAATCTTCGCGTTTCGATCATCTTTCACGTGAAGCTTGAAGTTTTACGTGATTCCATCCATAGCTCAAACTGGCTACATACGTGCGGAGCATGCGTAATAGCAACCTGAAGATTAGGATCGCGGGCTCCTCTTATCGCTCGCAATTACCACTACTGACAATAACTGCGGAAATTTGCTCATTGGTCAATAGCTATATCAGGTGATATGATAGCGCGTTCTGGAAAAAGTTTAACGTTATTGTTAAACAAATCGACTGTTGAAACTAGGCTACGGCTTCTGAAGTATTTGAATTTCACGTTTATTCTCCATAATGTATAAGTTACTATGGCAACAACATAACCTCTTTAGACACCCTTAATTTTGGATTTAAGCGTTCAACGCTCGACTCAAACCAGCTATGTTTAATTCATTCACTTACTTGTTTTCATGAGACTCAATCATCGCCAAAACAATCTTCGCCACTACATTCTGCAGCAACGGATCAAAGCTGTAAGAAAACTCTATCAAACAAGGCTTCAATTCCTCAGACTCGACCAACTTCTGACAAGCCTAAAACAAAAAATATAGAGTTCATTAAGGTAGTTTCCTTACCGCTTGTATTATAGCCTCCCACGCAGGCGTTTTTAGGGGAGCTCGTATTTCGTCCCTCCCCACAAACGCCTGCTCAACAGAGGACAACATTCCCTTCCCATTGTTGCATTCGCGTGGTAAGTGACCAATCAACGGTTTTTAAATAAAGTGTTGACAGGCTAAACATGACTCATAAGCTCGTGATAGTGAAAAAACGTGACCCAGAACGTGACCCTAGAGTTACCTTTTTCCTTCTTTTCTTTCGTTCGCTAAGGTTGTGCAGTGCACGGAGAATTCTAAAATCTGACTGAGTAAATCTTACTTTTGCCGCTCTGAGACTAACATTTATCAGAGGTCATGAAGGTTTCTTAAAGTTTCATGCAGATCGCGTGATTATCGGGTAACCCTGCGGTCAAGGTCAACTTTCCAGAATTTGGAAAGTACAACGTGATTGGCTAAGCGTGGGAAAGGAATGTTGTCCTCTGTTGAGTAGGCGTTTGTGGGGAGGGACGATTTTATTACATTTCATTTGAAATACAGTCAAAACTCCATGTGCGACCACCTCACATAAGCGACCACTCATCCAAAACACCAAAATTTTCCCAGTCAAAGCCTTATAGTTAGAACTTCTAGTAAACGACCACCTCCCCTAACCGACCGCGACCACTTTTTGGGCCTGAAAGTTAAATGATTTTCCATTGTTTTTAAATTGTTGTAAGCGACCACTTGACGCATTCTCTTATCTCTATGTTCGCTGTGTACACTATGCTCCCTTTTTCGAGAGCACCGTTGTCTCTTAACGTAGAGGAACTCTTAGTATACAGCTCGTGTCAATAATACAACGTCGTCTTAAAAAGGTTTCAACTATGAAACTATGAAACCATGGTACTTTGGATAGGGGTTGCTTGTGACGGGTGATCTCACATAAAGTTTACGCTTAACTTGATACCTAGGATATAAATTTGGTACCAAAAAGCTCATTACTGAAACTTGGAGGCTGATTTAACAACAGACCGGGAACGTCAGTTGACGACGGGAAAGCGCGCGGAAAGGACTAAACGCTACTTCCGGTGCCCAATTTGGGCTCTGCCATTGGTCAAGCCAGTTGCTCGATTTGCGCGCGCCGTCGTCAGCTGACGTTCCTGTTCTGTTGCTAAGGGACAAATCATTTTCGCTGCAGGAAAGTTATGACGACGACGATGAATATTTCTTAGGGTTAATTGGCAAACGAGCGGTGATTTTTAGATGTCCCTAAATCAGCTAAAAGATGACGACGACGAGAAATGGCAAACGAGCGGTGATGTTAGATGACACCGCATATCCCAGTCTCTTGCTCTCAGACTTGTCGCCTAATTTGTTTGATGGCAACTTTCCATCACGTCGTTCTTCACTAACTTTAGAGCGTCCTCATCCACCTTCCCAAACAGATTTTAATCTTTTACCAACCTGTTCATTTTCAGCATAATATAAGATAATTTTCCCTGCCAGCAGGAACAACTGTTCATCATCAGTCAGTTTAGGAAGAGTCAACAGCAACTCAAGAAGGGATTCCTGTGAAAACATGCAAAATTATTGTGTCATCTTCACTAAACAACGTTCCCCTCAAACACGCACGCACACACACGTACACACCCACCCAACAGCCATAAGCAAGTACGAATACACCCACGCAACACCTGAGCAACAACCATCCCACATGTAAAAACGCAGAGGCAGAGAGAGAGAGACTGAAGATATATACACAAAACCATGCAACAATCCTGGTGTTTGACCTTTACAGTGAATTGAGAGTTTTAAGATTCTGAGTCGAGGACGACTACGAGTACGAAATTTTCTCAATACTGAGTATTGCTCGCATGTGAACGAGCGTCATTTTGGCGGGAAAGCGTGATAGCAGCCGTCATTCCACTACGAGTTCTGGCGCGAATGTCGTTTGTTGGTGGCGGGAACAAGTTATCAAATGTATGAAGTTTTATCATTTTGCCATCAGGAGAGGGCTTAGCCTCCTTCAGTATAAATAACCGTGCTAACTTCTTTTGTGAAAAAAAAGTAAAATGAAGCTTTTGGGGGGTGTTTTTTTTTCGGAACACTCGCGAAAAGTTTAACTTAAATCTCGTACCCGTACAAGCTTGTTCTCGTCCTCAGATGTAAAGCTCTAATAAATACATAATGCAAACAAACATAAACAAACATAACAACACACATGCTGTATGATGACATCTGAATTCTCGATCGCCAACAGCTCCAGTGTTTGAAGTGACAGTCGCTGTGTTTCTGGATCTCGAAGTCTGCACAAATGTACAAGTGACGTGGCTGAAGATAAAGCAAAGAGTTTTAGAGAAAGAACACAGCCCTTGGGGATGGAGGACACTTCCTTACAATTACATGGTTATGCATACGGGGATGTGCCATTGGACAGAGCGTGGTGTTTTTTTTGCTTCCTTGTTCAGTGAGTGTCACCAACCAGTGGCTTACATGTACACAGGCGCACTGAGAGATCGCGCAAGACAAGACAGAATGACTGGAAACAAGCAAAGCGCGAGGAATCGGAAGAAAGGCGGGCCGTCCCAACGTCCTTTGAGCCAAAATTTACATACAGAGAGAAAGTACCTGGGAATGACTTAGGTCACTGAAAACCCTATAAAGGACTACACACAACCAGAGTCATGTTCATATTAGGGCCATTAAGCCAATCGCTGCAGCTACCTCTAACTCCGAGGACCTGGGGAGAGTACGTCACCGTAACTCGCCAAATTTCAACTTTAAGCAAGCGGCAGGAGTGAATACCGGATTTGCTTTCACTGTTAGTAAAACGCAGGGAAGACGTAATTACTGGAAAACGTCCTATTGAGATGTAACTGCCATGAGCTACTGGGTTCAAAGCAACTGTACTCTGACTGTAGACTAGTCTCGCAAAAGTAATGGCCTCTTTTACCTGGAGCACTTTGCCGCGACAGCATAACTCTTATCTCCGCAGTGAATGCAAGTTCAAGGAAAATTGCAGCAACAATACGAGAAGCCGGAATTTGCACTGGAAAAGGAAAAAGATAACTTGATCAATCCGATTGTTTGTACATTCTGCTGTAGCTGATTTCATTGATAACAATATTATATCTTACCTCGTTCCGCTACATAACAGAGGTCATCCAGTCTGCAAGTCAATAAAAAAGTTTTTACAATGAAATATCACTTATGCTCATGGTTTATTGACGGATATGGCACACCAATGCAGTTCATTTATTTAGTTATTTGAATGTTATAGGCAGACATAGGACGAAGGGGGAATTCCCTTGAGAATATCACATGACCTAAACTGGGAAAACAAAACATACGAACTAAGGAGATCTATTTTTACGCCAGTATGTAAAGAAAGTCATGTCCGATAGCCTGTGACTAGTTGCTATCAGGCTGGTGAATTCTCTTTTAACTTGTTAACGTCCAAGTAATGTTTTTTGGGGAATTCAAATCACAGAAGAACTGTAATCGAGACTGTTCATCACAACATTTTTAGAGCTACAATCCTGGACAAATTTCCTTGGGACAGTACTGCAATATTCATGTTTTTCTGTCATTTCTTGGTTCCCTCTTAAAACAGTGCATCCTCTTCGAAATTTTCTTGTAGTTCTCCCTTCCCCCACCCTATACAAAGTTGAAACTCGGAAAAAACTCTGGATACACGCCTCCAACATTGTTTGTGGGGTGAGGGAAGGGGCTGGACCTGTGTGAATTGAAAAACGCCCCAGAAATACAAAAGTGTCCCAAGACTTTTGTCCACGATTGTAGCTATTAAAAATTACTCTTGGGCTAGTTCATGCTAGCTCAGTACAGCTTGCCCTAATTGCAAGCAACTGACTTTCCTGGCACCTGCGTATGTATGTTATGTTCACAAGTCACTTACCAAATCAAGTCGCTAACTTTTATTATTTAGTTCATGATATCAATGCATGAAAAAGAAGAATAAAAAGTGCAAGTTTTTACCCATTTTCAGCAATGACCACTTCTCTGTTTTCTTCACTGTCAGACACAATGTAAGATAGAGCTGTAACAGCTTCATTGACCACACGATTCTCCTTGGAGTGTAGCAGCGCACACATAGTACGAACCCCACCTAACTCTACAAACTGGTCCTGATAATAAACACATACAACACAACATGTCACAATGATGACCTGTAAATATCAAATATCGTAGTATTATAAGGATTGCACTGATGATCTGAAGGGTACTACTACTTTCTTGGCATTACAGTGCAGTCACCAGATGAGATAGACAATGGTTTAAGAAGTGGCCATTGCCTGGAGGGTTAATCAACAACATTTTATACGGGAAGTCTCCGCCGTGATGTCCTCTTATAGACCACTTCTGACTACGTAGGTACCCCACGCATATAAGTTCTATGAAAAATAGTGCCGCTTTCAGATACCTAGAAACAGTAAGTCTTCATTTCATTATATGTAGAATATAAAGTTACGTCTGCATCAGAGATAATTCAATTAAAGGTCCTATTCAAGTACCTAAATGAAAGATTTTTCTGCCCCTTTATATACCAGGAGCCCATAACTCGGAGCGAGCAGTTTATTTTCACAACGATTGTGGCGCGAATTTAGAATAAGGTATCTGTCCCACAAACCACTCAGCAAACCAAAACCCCTGAAAGTGGCATTTTGACCTTTTAATGATGTTTAGCTTTCTTTTGTCACATCTTTAATTTATAATGCGCTCATGAAAGGAGCGGTGTTTCCATTTTCGCGGGAAATTAAAAGTGTTTGCAAATGTATCTAAAAATAAACCAGTTCGTGAAAACGCTGTGACATAGGCCTAGTATGGGAGTTGCTCGCTCTGGGTTATGTTCTCCTGCTTCAACTCTTGAAATCGTTACCCTTTTATATCGCTGAAGCCTGAAAAAGATACCGTCTTTAAGCGGACCCTTCCCGTACAAGGCATTATATGGAGTCCCCAAAGGGGGAGAAGGGTATTGCCACAATAAAAAAATTACTTAAAAAGGCAACTCCCCATTGCCTGTATGAGTGCAAGCAAAGCTGGGAGCATTGACATGTAATCCTACATTTTAAAGATTAAACATTGGCTGCTATTCCTATACAGTATAATCAAAGCAGTCCTAGAACAACAGAGTAAGTTTTCAGTTCGAATTAAGTACATAAATACCAACCTGAATAACAGGGACAGTTAACAGCTCTGATATGGCCTCGATGGCATATTCTTGAGTAGCCTGACAGAAGAAAAGAAAATCATTTCGATGATGCTCTTTTTAAAATCCCCATTTGGAAAAGAAAAAAACAACAACAACAACCTCAAATCCAAACTGGACTATAGTCAAACCTCTATCCATAAAGCGGCTAGTGTTTGGGAAGGAACAGATGGTCATTAAACAAGTTGACCACTTAAAAAAAGTTCTGTTTACAGAGGCCTAATGACAATTTTGTCCACTGAAACTCTGTAACGGGTTAGTCCATGGTTTTGGTCAAAAATTGGCTATTTTTCCTTTTTTTTATGCGAGGCAAAATACATCAGGAAAATGTGTTTGAGAATATTCTAGAAAGAAAAAAAGGTCTTTCCCGACTAGCAACTATAAAAACAAGAAATTAAAAAAGTGGAAAAAGTTGGATTTTTCCAAAGGGGTTAGTCCATGGTTTTATTAAAAAATTGGCAATTTTTCCATCTTTTTATTCTAGGCAAAATAGGCCAGGAAAATGTGTTTGAGAATATTCTAGAAAGAAATAAAGCCTTTCGAGACTACAAAAACAAGAAATTAAAAAAGTCGAAAATTTGGGACTTTTCCAAAGGGGTTAGTCCATGGTTTTGGTTAAAAATTGGCAGTTCTTAGTGACCTCTAAATAGAGGGCAGTGTCAAATGTATTTTAATGATATGACAAATACAAAAAAACCATAAGAGGTAAAGACTACTAGAAAAAGAAAAGCGGCAATTCCGCATTTGAACCACTGAGCATCTGATAACTGGAAGGAGAGTTCTAGTCATGACTGAACCATAGACTCGAGAGAGTACCCTGGCAGTTTCAAAAATCAAACCCTGGGGTTAAAATTTTATATGAAGGGGCTTGATTTCAGATTTTTAATCGTTGGCTCATTGCAAGAAATATTTTTTTATTATATGGACTTATCTAATTTGAAAAATAATGAGAAAATAACGAAAAGGAAGAATGATTATTTTAAGGGAAAGGCAGAAAAGGATATTAGTGGAATATGAAATTTCTATGATTGTGTTGAAAAGTATTTCGCGAATAAACGAGTGTAGTGAAATATTTTTTCAAATAGCACTGTTTCTGATAGCCCTGTAATGTTCTTTTAATTTAAACACCAATGAACTACCAAACCATTTCACTTTTAGTTTTTTGGTGTGAAAAGATGACATAGCAACAGTGAGATTTTATTTGAAGGTAACATGTTGACCAGAAATATCAAGTATGAAAACTCACCTGGTATTTCATTGGTGTTTATATAATAAAACTGGAATATGATTGCCTATATGTGAGTGTAGACCTTGAATAGCACTGTTTCTGATAGTGACAGGTTGCAACAACCTAGAGAGAGGTGGCCAAACTTTAACTCTGAAGATGACTACTGCACAGATATTTGAAAGATCAGTGACCTTAAACAACAGTCCTATTCAGGACCACACTCACCCAGACGATCGTACTCCACCTTCATCAGAAAATTAATATTAACCTGCAGGACAACTGAATAGGTGTCTGGAAGAATAGTCATTTCAAAATTAACTTGTTTAAAGAACAAAGAAAATGAACAATCTGATATAACCAGTACCTGGTCTTGTGACAAACATAAATTCATCAAAGCTTCAATTCTAGATAGAGGAAGAGAAAGGAAATGTCTTTACTACTTTGTAACTATGAGTACAGGATAAAATTAAACTATTTTACAACGGCAGTTCCACATTTTTAGAATATTCATTACCAGGAACCTTCTTTTTTGTAAGATTATTTTTTGAGATCTAAGTGATCAGTGGTTAAGAGCATTCAGTGTGCCATCATAATTATTTTAAACGACCTTCTGGATAAGAATTACTCTTAAGGTCTCAATATGATGGTATATTGACTTCATATGTTTACAAATATTAAAATACCATGTCCTTGATCACAAATTGTCCCTGTTTGCCCCTTTTTGTACCACAGTCTAATTAATATACATGGAAGTTGAGCACAGAAGATTAATCAGTCCAAAGAAATGCTATACATTGTGCATAAATAAATTATTATGCATTATGAATTATAAATACTAACTAAATAATCATTCTTGTAACTGTTACTGATATTAATTAATAATTATTACTTTACACTTGGTTTAAATTTTATTTTCCTGTGTTTAAAACTCATTATCATTATTAACATACCCAAAAACAAAGGAAAATAAAATTAAAACTAGGGAAAATAATAATAATTATTATCACTATTTTAGTAATTAATAGTATATTAATAATGCAAATTTAATGTTTGAGGAACTGGGATAGAAAGGCTAAAAACCATACACATAATTTGCTACTATGGTTCCAGAGCTTTCTATCGCAGTTCTCCAAAACAACTGCAATTATGTAACAGTTTCATGCTAAGTATGCAGCCATTGAACACATATTTAGGCCCTTGAAAAAAAAAACCCTCCAGTAATCTAAGAAAAGTAGATTTTCGTGCTGGGCAAGTAACTTTTAAAGCTTACTATCCCAAGACAAGCTCTAACAAAATTATTATTTATGACACACAAGAAGTGACCACAGGTAAGCAAGATGTGATGAGCTTCTTGGGAGAAACCACACTTTATGGACACCCCTTAATACGGACACCTCATCATTTTGGACAGCTTGCTTTTTCGCTGGGGAAAGAAAGCCCTTTCATTTTCTCTTAATCCAACCACTTAATACAGACACCCCATAAACACGGACACTTTCTATGGCCCCCTTGCTGTCTGTATTAACAGGGTTTGACTACACTTGTCTAAAGATGAGATATTTTAGCATCATAGGTTCGTCATAGGCTTTATGGGTGAAGTACAACTGAAACTAGAAATATATGTATTGCAGAACCTCGTGAAGCTCAGGGAAGGAAGAACACAAAATGTTAGGGATGGGAGGGTGGGGGCAAAATAGAGTAAATTGTGTAACCAGGGAGGGTGGGTCTCAACACAGTTCTAATAATGGAAGTTGAGACATACTCAATCTCCATTTGGTTGGAGTAAATTAGGACCCAGTGCCTTGGCTTTAAAAGGGATATGGAATTTAAATGGGGTTTCTATTATTACGGAAGGGTAGCCAAAGGGTGTTATCTGCTGAGGCCTATGGCCTATGGTCTCGGAGGAAAACACCCTCCTCAATCTCCATAATTCTTCAGATGATACTCAGCCTCATTCAATAATTGTTAGTCAAATATTTATACACGGGCTAACCAAGTTTGCACTCCACTAAGACCATGTGCAATCTATGCACTTTGTGTGCAATGAGTTTAGACACTTGCTTTCACAATTTAAATAAAAATGTTACCAGCTAGCCTACCCTCCTTCCTGTACAATTCTAAACTTTGTATCATCTCCTGTGGCAGCTAAGCTGGCCAATTCAAATGCAGCATTTCTTCTTTCCTTTACACTTCCAGTTTTGGCACTTTTCATCACTTTGTCAATGTCTCTGATCTGGACCAGGTACGTCTCAATCAAGTCACCAACCTGTTGGTAGGCCACACAGAAAAAGTACACCTCCATTAACATTGCTTCTAAGAATGCCCAGTTCAAAACAGTTCACCCGACATAATAAACTCTCACTACTTGACAGTCAGTGAATACCATCCATCTATCACCTAGCTTTGTTAATTACAGCTCAATTAATTAATATCTTTGTATCCTCTCCACCTTTGATAAATAGATTAGTAAATTGTATGATGAGCTCTGTAACTAATTTTGCAAACAGGTGATTTTGTTACAAAAAATAGTTATGTCAAGTCCTGGGACTCATCTTGTGAAAATTTATGAGTCCTAGTTCAGAACCAGTGGAGTTCCAGTTTAAAAAAAAAAAAGTTAGTCTGAAATTGTTAATGCTTGGACCTTTATGTAACCAGACAGTTAATCTAAAGACAGACTCCAAACTCTGTATTACAGTACACTGAAATTAAAATATAGTCCTTCTATTTTGAAGCAAAGCTAAGGCTAAAAGAAATACATGTATGCATCGTTCAACAACAGCCATAATAACTGCCACAGAAATTGAACAAACGGGATATTTCTACAAAATGTTCAGATCGATCGTTCGATCTTTGTGTCCTTCCTACAGGATGCATGCCATGAATTATTATTTTGTGTCCAGCGTGCAAAGAAAGTAGTGTCCGATAGCCTGGGGCTAGTGGATTTTGCTATAGGGCTAGTGAATTCTGTTTTTAACTTGCCTGACAGGCAAGTGATATGTTTGTAATCAATCCTGTTCATCAAGGATTTTTGCCATGAATTTTTATTTAGGGTCTCTGGGGCACCCTGGTGTTTTTGGGCACATTAGGGAGGCAAGACACAGAGATAACAAAATAACTGCAAGTGAAACCATCTCCCATTAGAAACTGCAAGCTGTGGTAGTGGCAGACTCAAAAGCTTTGCTTCTTTAGCCACTATGACTTTTCCACAGTAACACATATAATAAAACTAGCTCTGATTTTCTTTTCCTTTTGTTCCTATTACTATTGTATTTATGTTCTTTTGAATAAGTGAAAATAAAATGAAATGATTGAAGTACTGTTGTATTGTTGTGTGGCAGACATATGGCATTCAGTGTGCGAGAACTTAAACTTGAACAGATGAAATACAACACATTCACAACTCTAACCTCTGTCTTGAAGTTGTGGTAAAGAATGGCACAAATCAACACACTGATAACCAAACAAACAGTTTGTCCACAATACAAGACAACTGCAAATAAGAAATACAATAAATTGCAACTACATTCTCTTTGGGTCTTTTGCTAGGCATAATTTTTTTTAAAACTGAAGTGGACAACCTAGAGTGATTTACAAATGAAAATTAGATACCAGGTGACAGGGGTAGGGGGTTCAGGTCACATGGCATTTCAAATTTCAGTTGTATTTGTTTCATGTCTTCCCCCCATTCCCTGACATGCCCCACCCGCCCACCCTTGATTTTTTTGGGGTTGTTGTGGGATTTCAAGTAGTGCCTTAAATCTGGTTTTTCTTGTATGTTAGACTTGTATCTAGGTTCAGTTTCAGTCGTTTTGTTAATAGCGAGCTCTCTTTGTGCTGTGACGCTAATGATTTGTCTGTTGATATAATAAAGGTCAAGCGGCATTGTCGGCTTGGCACGGCTCCCAGTTGTGTGTGAGAGGGGTGTTTTGATTAGTGATGCAAAGCTTCTTTCAAAGTGCTTTTTCTATTCTGGTTATCTACCCCTTTGGATATACACATGTAAGCCCCTCTGTTAAAAGCCCTCCTAAAACACGTTACAAAAATGTATAAGCGACATTTTGTGGTCGTATTCTATTGAAGTAGACCAACTTACTTGACCAGTACATCAGCTCCTTCTGTCGTAAGCAGGTTTGTTCTTCGGTGTCACACTCATAAGCCTGTAAAAGAAGTTGATTAGCTAATCCATTCTTTACTTCAGGTCCAGAAACAATTAACTCAAGTATAAGTCCCCAAGTCTTGGATCAATAGTCATTTGGTTTGGGCCAGTAAAATGTTACGATCATATACTATATCTTTCTTAGAGGTAGAAAAAAGGCTCAGTGTTTTAATGTTTTGGTTTAATGTTTAACTTGTAATTTGCTAAAGAAAGTGTGGCTTTATGCTACATCCTGTACTCACCAGTAATTCCAGTAAAACATAAATTCCCATCAGCAGTGAAGCAGTGACATTCATAATGGCTCCAACAGAAAATGCAATCACAAAGGTGTTTTTACTGCAACACAAACCAAATACAAGGACAGATGCTTAAGGATGCCTACCATAATACTTGCCTAGTCTATTGAGCACATGGCTATGACCTTATGTACCCCTACATGATTCCTGGGGGGGGTTACTTTAGGAATTTCCGGGTGGGAATGTACCACTGGGACCCTGGAACCCTTAACCTATACCAGAGCTAGTTCAGCTGAATAAATTATTTTGCTACCCTAGACTAGAGTAAACTCCCCAAATCCCCCCTATCCTAGAGTAGCTGTTTTCCAGAAACTATTGAGGTCACTAGCAAAGTCTAGCCAAAACAATACCTTATACCACAATCCCTAGTCTAGATAAAATCTTCAAACAACTGATCAGTTTCCTGAAAAATGATACCCTATTCTAGACCCAAACGCTCTTATTTATATACCCTATCCTAGAGTAAACTGCTTGAAAACCATACCCTTCACAGCGGCACATAGCTATATAGCCCATATATGACAGTGACTTCCCCCCCCCAGGACATGATTGTTACAGCTGTACTGTATGTACTGTGACATTCTAAAAATAAAAAGCAGAGGAAGTGAAATAATGACAATGAACTTACTTCATTCCATATTTTCCCACAAATCCTCCAAGTCTGGTATAGTTGGGACAGTACAAGAAACCAAATAACATCAGAGCTCCTGCACAAATTTTAGCAAACCAATACACAGTTTAAAAAAACAGCTGAGATTACATCCCATCTTAAACTTAAATGTACCATTATTTCCCTGAATAATTAAGTTCCCATGCTCTAATAAGCCCCCAAGTCCCAGTGCCCAGTTGTTTGAAGGGGTGAGATTTTAATCCGGATTAGTTTTTTCTTTTGTTCAAAAGCATTTTGTAGGATAATTTTCTGCATTTTTTTAATAGTGTCCAATAATCAAATTGTTGACAAAATGAATTAAATGTAATTAGCTTTTTAAACCTTTATATCTGAATTCAAATTTCACACTAGCCCTGGGTTATCTTAACCCAGCTTTGAACAACCCAGCCCAGATGGACAAATAATAAACACTTCCATTCCTCCCTTTTATTTTCTTAAACAAGTCCTTGAGGATACAAAAAATAATCGGGGGGAAGGGGGGGGGGACTTCTTGCACACAAAAAAGATTTAGCCCATAGTGGACAATCACTAAATTACTTAAATATTTACCATAAAGTGCCCAGTGTCTGGCTTAAAATTTAAATAAGCCCCTAGGCAGTCATTTGTCTTACATACACTTAAACTTTTTCCTTAATCTTTTTCCTCAGGCTCAGCTGGTGATTTCTGTTCTTAACTTGGCCGATGGGCAAGTGAAGTTTCTTTGGGAACCCAAATTACAGAAGAACTTGTGGTCAATCCTGCTCATCAAATATGTTTCTCAAGCTACATGTAGTTGAAATGACATTTGAGCTTCATGCTAGCTACAGTTTGTGCTAGAGTTTGCCAGAATGGCAAGCTGTAAAACTAACTTTCTTTGCACCCTAATGGGTGAAGTTCTAAACACTTGTAAGCCTGCATTGCAGGAGTTTACTAGGTGGTGCCCAAACAGCAGAATTTGCCTGAGCTGTGGTGCACAAGCTACTTCAGGCTACTTCAGGCTACTTCAGGGTGGGGAGACAGAGTATCCCTCCCCTCACTTTGTTATTTAACAATAGTAATAATAATAATAATAATAATAATAATAATAATAATAATAATAATAATAATAACAATAATAATAATAATAACAATGATTACTATGAGTGGGCATAATTTGGATATGAGTTGGCAAAAATCATCTCATATGCAACAAGCGCGAGTAGAATTATTGTTTTATTAAAAATGCCCACAAAATATCAAGAATTCTTCCTGACTTTATTTGTAAAACCAACTGATTTTTGGCTTGTTTTTAATTTTGAACAGACGCATACAGTTACTACATTTGGAGAGCAGGGTATAATGGCCCATATTACCATGATAGCTAAGCCAATCAGAGCTCTAGAATTGCATTATCTAACGATTCAATTTTTCATAATTAGCTTGATACTTTCTAGATTGTAATAAAAGCTTGATTAAAGACCAAATCTTTTTCACCTGTCCACAACGCAGAGAACCAGTAAATAGTAGTAAATGATAAAACGGTAGCCAAGAAATGGATCCATAACAAAACCTATAAACACATAAAAAATGAACCTTAAAAATGTAAAAGAAAAACATCTCACAGTCTCCTAACACATAAAAGAGACATTTTCAGTTAGTCAGTTATGTGGTACAAAATTCCCAGGTTAGAGAGCAAAGCACTTGGACATGACAAGCCAAAAAGGAAATTACCAGTTTTAGTTTTGTACCATGTGAATGACCAGCCACAAAAGGCTAATCTGTAGGATTTACTGATTTCCAAAACTAACTGTAGCCTCTTAAGCAATGTGAAGACAGATAGTAATTACAATGACAATGACAATGTCTAAAGAGTTTAAACTTTTAGGAGTAGAATAAGGCCCACCTCAAGGTGGTATGTATCACAGTAAACACATTCTTTTGTGACAGTGTCAAGTGCTAGTAACAAAGCAACATGTAACACATGAGTAGTTCCTCTGGGAAGCAGTTACGCCTTCTTTAACACGTTAAGCAATCCAAAAAGTAATTTTAGACTTAAGAAAGACATATTGACTGGTTCCATGAGGGACAGGCATACATGTAACAGTTTTGATAAAGTGATTTGTTATATAGCACAACAAAGACATTTAGATCAGGTAAGATAACAAAGCAGTGGTAGCAATCACCATTTGCAGGTAATGGAACATTTAAGTCACAAAATTTTGCCACATCACTACCTCAGGCACTTTATAGGCAGAAAAAGATTCATTTTTATACCTTGAATGAACCCAGCAAAGATTCTCTCCGTTCAAAAATAGAAACTTCCTTCCTCAAAGCCTTTTGTACATCATCTAGCTCTTCTTGACCCAAGAGATGAGCTCTTGAACTGAAGTCATGTACATCTGAAGCAGCTCCATCTTGATAAAGTGCTTCATTACCATAAACAGTATTGTAGGACTGAAAGATAGAATGGATGATATTTCACGTCAAACAATTTCACCAGTCACAATAATTCTAAAGATGAGTTTAGTTTAACAAAACGATGGGAAAACAGACCCCAAGGATTCAGATGTCTGTATTCTTTGTTGTCATGTCTGTATTCTATGTTGTCATGGCAACTATTTGGAAAGTTGCAAAGTTGTAATGATACATGGTGAGTTTACGCAACAGGAAGGCAGGAAGAAAAGGATGGAAAAACGCTTGTGTCTGACAAACATAACCGGGCTACTACTAAGTAGTGAAGATCAAGTCTTGATCTTCACTTAACATTAATGTTTTCTGGTCTTTTACAAAAAATATCTGTTTAAAGGCAAGTGAAGTTACTTCAAACAAAATTATTGTCATGCTTGTCACACAAGATTTGCCATCTTCTTTCCTCTCCCATCCTGTTGCTTAAGTTCACTATTATGTAACAAAAGAGGTGATTAAACACACCAAATGAATCGTATTTCCATGGCATTTTCAATTTCCTTTATCTCCTAACCATTTGTAACTATGAATGACGTGATAAGAGTTAGGAAATTACAAACCGACTAGATATTGTCGGTTGAAACAATTTTTTTCAGAATTTCACATAATAACCACAACATGAATCTGAAACTAATACATAAAAAATAACAAAAATACTACAACATAGCTTACCCCTCTTTTTCTCTTACTCATTGGAACCATTTTGATAACAGAATTATCCAGAATCCTATAATCCTGAAATTAGGACAAAGAGAATAATATAGAGAAGAAGTCAGTTGTGTGAATGCATGTTACCATGGTAGAAAAATTTCTGATCTCAACAATCAGTTCTTTCTTGACAGAGAAGGCCACTTGCAATGTTGAACAATGGATGATATACATGGGTAATTAATATGATCACCACATTCAGATTTCTATTGTTGAAAAAATTAACTTATTTACAATATTCAAGAGAACAACACTATAGCTAGTCTCTCAGAACCTCACTGTTGTGAATCTCAAACAAGTCAATAAAACAGTGTTCCTTTCAATACAACACATGTACTGTAAAAGTAACATTCTAGAGAATGACACAATGGATTCGGCTTTCATGATCTGAAGAATTATGAAGATCTCATGGGGTGCTGTCATTCACCCTCTTCGATTTCCATTTGCCCGACCAACACGTGAGGATTTTGGGGGTATTCAAATATTACAGAAGAACCACAATCATGTCATCAGCCCATCAAAACTTTCTTTTTTTGGTGAAGAGACCAAAGTAAAAATGATTCTTGGGCGGAGAAAGAAGCAAAAACATGATTAAAAGCTAAAATCTTGTGCCTGAAGGACTATCCTTCAAGAGCAGATACCTTTCCCACCAAAATGGCTCTGTTCTAGAGAAAGGTGAAGGGAGGAGAGAAAGCGAAAAGTAAAAGTCAAGACTGCTGTGTCACTTTTAAAGCCAAAAAAGGCATCTGCTTTGCATCTGGATCAGACAGTCTACAAAAAGAACTGTCAAACTTGAGTAAATAACTTTCTTCACAACCTTGATCATACTCAGCCTTATCCAATTGCTAATTTTTCCTGGTTAATTACCTCAAAAGTGTAACCATCTCTGAGATATTCTCCCTTGAATCGGAAGCGAAACTGATGCTCAGCTCTTCCCAGCTCATACAAAATATGCAGCATCTGTGCTCTTGCTCTTGCGATGGTCTCATGTGGGTTACACACCAGAGTAAAGGTCTTACTCTGCACAAAAAAAAAAACATAACATAGTTGAAAACTTTTGCTGGTATGTGCAGTCAAGTCTGTCTGTAGGTGGAAATCCATTCTTAAGGAGATGTCTCCCTTATAGAGAGTCAAAGAATCACTGATGAATGCAGGGGTGTCATTAAGAGCCAAGGGCCAGGGAATACTGGTGACTATGAATGTGGCCCCCAGCTACTTTCATAGAAAGCAAAAGAAATCCCTTGCTGTTTGATTTCCCGCCTAGCTACAAGTGTATTTACCAGGCAACTTGAAATCTTAGTGACAATTCTGATAAATGGCTTATTGGAACTGTTCAAAAAAATAATAATTAAAGTGCCATTCCAATAACTTATTAAAGTCCAGCCCTGGTTCACAAGACTTTCTGAGGAGGCATAACAAAGAAAATTGGAATGAGGTCATGAGATCGAGGATGAATGAGAAATGCAATAACTATTTTCTGAAGAGTTATTAGACATTACAGTAAATGTACATGTACTGGACACATTTTCTGAGGAGACAAATAATTTATTATAGTGTATGAATGTTCTTTTAGCAGGTGGGAAGGAATTTTTATTTTCCTGAGATTTAATCCCTTGCCTACCAAGGATTTATATATACACTGTAAATCCTGTGTGAGGTCAATCAGCGACCCAGGACGTATATGTATGTCCTCAGACAAATGAAATCACCAGAAGTCTGGTCGTTCGAGTTGCTTGAATAAACGAACTCTGGTCATTGAAAAAGGTCGCCAGTTGCTGGTTGTATTTGGCTGTGGTAGGCAAGGGGTTAAGGTTGGCCTTTTTGTATGTTTGGGAAAGAAGAGAGGGATTTGAATACTAAAAATTATTCATGAAACAGCCCCATCGTTCATAATCATGATTCAGGCACTCTTCCCCCTTAAACTTTCCTGGAAGATACACTGTACACGTACCAGACCTAAAAAGAAATGCATGATAGGCCACATGCTTTACAAGTAATCTTTGAGGAAATGTAGAATTTTTCTTAGTGCCAAACTGGAGATGTCTTTCTTCCCGCAACAATGGTTTACGGTCATCTCACCACCAACAAAATTGCCACCAAGAAGTCGACTCGCCACCAACAAATAACTTGGAAATAATTGACACAGTTTAATGCCTTGGGTTACTTACCTAAGATTTACTTTTTCATCAAGCTTATTCTAATTTGAAGTCGATTCAGTTACAAATCTGTCGATCCTAATTGACGTTCCTTGCATTGAACTTCTTATGCTCTTAATACTCCAGATACTGGGTAATAGGTTCAGTGAATGTAAACTTTGACATTTGAGAGATAGAGAAGTTTCATAATCACCAGTCACTTCTTTGAAATAATTTTATGATAATAATAATAAGGTAACGGTTAAGAGAAAAGTTCTGTTCATGAAAGTTTTTTTCATTATTTTGTTGCGTATGCTAAAGACTTATAAATACAATAAAGCTAAGTTCTATTATTGGTGGCGATTTCGTTGGTGGAGAGATGTTTGGTGGCGAGGTGACCATGTACCTTCCCGTGCAACAGCATTCTCTTGTTGCGAGATGTGCCACATACTTCACGCTTCACCATAATCAATATTTTCCCTCTTCTATAATGTGCCTACTCCTCCGTTTTATCATGGTTATAACTACAAAATCTCCACGCATATTTTGTGCATCAAACAATGCTTTTGCGAGCATCCTGCAATTCATGTCATATGTTTTCACACAAAGGACGTTTTCAGGTTTCAAGCAAGATTGCAGGAACTATTTCATGCCAGAAAAACTCTGACCTCTGCAACCGGCTATGATATTGATCCAAAAGTAAGCTTAAGTTAACCACTTAGTTGTATTAAAATTAAGGTGGAAGCAAAGATCACTTCGCACGCTCCCCTGTCACTAAGAAACGTACAAACAGCTGAACAAACCACAAACCAAAACATGGATTTTTTTTCCACGCATATATCTCCTTCTTGAGCTAAGTAAGCATTTCATACATTCTACTTACCGGAAAAGCTTTGCTTTCAACGTAAATCAACATGGCTGCCAGTTAAAAGTTCACAACCTTGAAACGAAAGTCAAATCATGGAGATTAAGGAATTCTCGGTCGCCATGTTTGTATCGATTGACGTCAATGAGCAGGACAAGAGTAAGACTTACTAGGTCCCCCTGAGTACTCCATCCCCGATTGCGCGGGAAATGAGCGCGATATATAAGCGCGAAATATAAGCCAAGCTCCAATAAAGGGGAAAATGTTGATATTTATTTATTGGCTTTATATCACTGAATTATCCAGGGCCTGAGTTCCCTCGTCCCCACTATCTGCCCCTGGGTCTCCGAGGATGGAGTTCATAGGGTAAAACTTTCTAAAGTCTGCTACAGAGTCGTTTTTTGTGTCGTCACGCAAAGCTCCTCCACAAAGGGAGGAGCGTTGCGTGACCAGCAGATAAGCCTCAAACATGGTCCTAGAACGGCTGGATGCCCGACGGGTGCCTCTCTTTCCTCGCTCCTCCACTTTAATCGTGATTTTCACGATAATCTAACTCGTTTTCGTTTTAACTTGCATAAAATTTCTCTCAGGTATCAATTTTCTATTTGTTCTCCCCGATTATTTGGAACGATATCCTCTTGACTGTCCGTAACAGCGTTTATACCACCACTTACTTTAAAAAGAAACTAAAACTTTACTTTTTAAGCCTGAATTGAATTAGCGCAGGATTCTCATAGTGTATTGTTAGTTTATTTGTCACTAGTCTTGTCTCTGTTATAGGACTGCATGCTTGTAAACTTACTTAATTTCAGTTTATTTGTATCTTGTTTTTGTTTCGTTATTTGGCCGACAGTCTTCAATTTCTGTCATTCTGACCACAGGCCGTGTAAGCCCCCGGCTTTGGCTTTACTGAGTTTGTACTATATGAGCGATGGAATATGATAATAAAGTTAAAGTTAAAGTTAAAGTTAAATCTGGTTTTTCTTTGTTTTTCAGTATTTCTTTATTTCAGAAACGTCAAGAGAGAACGCGGAGCGCGCGAAGGCAGTGAATCTGCGTAAAAAAAACTGCTAAAAATACCAAAAGCTACCCAAGGTACTTGAGTGGCAAAGTTCTACGGAGTTGTTATAACCCAACTCACTGCCAACTGAAGGAATCTCATTCTCGTTCCCAGAGCTTCGATCCTTTTGCCGCCGCTGACCAAAAGGATCGAAGCTCTGGGAACGAGAATGAAGGAATCTGGTAGGGAGAAGAAAAGATTCCATGCGCGCGGCTAAGAATCTGCCAAATGACGTAAACAAAGGTTGCTCGGTTACGACAAAATAACGGCTTTTCACTTTGTTTTGTACAAACCAAAGTTCTTTAGTGCGACGTCTCAGGTGGCTTTCACGTTCATGGACAAGAAAGAAAATGACGGCTTATCCCGAAATAGCTGGAAATGGTCGGTAGGTAAATCCGTTCATATATATTCTTCTAACATAAGGCAATTTTTTTCAAGGTTGCATATGCTAATGAAAAGGAGCACGTCCATTCTATCTAATCAGGTTTACAGGAGCATTATTCACACACCTAAAATATTGCCGCAGAAGCATTGTTTCCTTCTAATGTGTTTTAACTATTAATAGCCCCAAAACAAAAATTTTGCAGACTGAACTGAGAGATAGCGACAATAGCTATAGCCCGCTAAAGATCTCTTGGTGACATCTGGACTTGAGTCAAGGGAGGCCAGGGACGTGGAAGGGATAAGAGCCGAAAGAGAGCTTTCACGCAAGCGGGAAGCAAAAACGAAAACGTTTTTTGACTTGACACAACGAAAAGGAAGCAAGGCTGATTTTACAGCGAGGAATATAACTGCCCATTCGAGGGGCACTACGTTTCCTCTTCAGGGTGCCTTTATATTTATTTGTCTTGATTGCCGTGCGACTTCTTCCATCCCGGAAGCAAAATTTTTATCCTCGGTGGTTTAACCGGTGCGATTGAACTTGAAAACACGCAAGTCACTCAAATTCTGCCTTGATGAGCAATAACGTTTTCTGGTGAAAAAAGGCCCTTACATTCTGATGGAACAGAGGTGCTGCATCGGTGAGGCTGTCGTATTTACTTTGGTTCTTTTGGTTTGCCGTGTTAAATAAGGCGTCATAGGGCAAGTAAAACAAGCAAAGAAAAAAAAGGGGGTTATGACGATGTAACATATCGACCCAGGGGAGGTTTTGTTTCCAGCAGTTTTAGTGAAAAGAAGGGTTTGTGGGGGTTGCTCAGTCTCGCGGGCTCACAAACCTCCCTCAGGTCGATCTTAGTTTGTATTTGTCTTTCTTTTTCCTTTTCCCGCTTTTCTCCAATGATTAAACTGCTCCACTATTTGAGCTTGGGCTGCCTGTGGTCTAGGTTACGTATATCCCTAATCTGAATTTCATAATATTTCATTTCACGTATAGTGGAGAACGCCATCACGTGCCTGTTGGTATTTTTCTGTTGTATTTGAGCTTCTCTTTCTCACTGTCGCAGTTTCAACCCATTTTTGCGTCGTTTGTCACTATTTCATCCGGATTTATATGTCGCTGTCGTAAAAAAGACGGTCATTTGTAGAAAATTCCACCTTAATATGTCCTTATTGGTGAGAGAATGAAACAAAAAACATAAATTGACGACTTTTTATCGCTTGTATTAATTACTTAGCCAAGTCTTAGACCAGCCTTTATCCACATGTTACAGAAGTCTGGAAAAGTAGTTTCACTTGCAGTTTGTCATTAAATTTATCCATTAATTTCTCCAACCACCACACGTGTGCAATATTACAGACGAAAAAGTTATGAAATCATTCTTTTATTTGGCGATAATACCAAAGTAAAAAAGATACATTCATTAATAAATAGATACAACCTTTCATTAGAAATATATATTAATAATTGTTACGTTTGGTCTTGCATGTACAAACTGCTCGCCACTCTTGTTAAACAAAGTTAAAAACGCTTTGCCACGTCTTGTTAAAACCCTCATAAACTTACATCACTTCGGGTATTAAAGATAATGACGGTTGTCCAATACACACAACTAGATTCTACTGGAAACAGAAATAGATTCCACTGGATTTCTTTAATTCTATTCGTGGGAGACGTGAAAAAAATATCCATCATGCCTGTAGGGTGCTTATCATGCTTATCTTGGGTCGTGGTTTAAAGGGTGAGGTATTTCACGACTGACTTCAGGTAACTCCAGTGGACTCTCGTTCAGTTTATGACTGGAATCTAGAGGAGTACATTAAGCGCTTTTAAAGAAAATTCTTCGGCTAGGTTTCTGTTAAATTAAAACGAAACCATTACAGAAGTAAATTTAATAAATTGGGAGAAACATTCTGGCAAAGCATTGCATTTTTGATTATCCATTCCAAAAGAACCTCCGTGACATTTCTGAATCAATAAAAGTCAAACGATAAAAAGACTCGAGCAATGAAATAAAACTGAAAAAGTCCGTTTGATTGATTGCTAAGTGATGATGAAATTCACTATAAAAACACCGTCCTAAATACAAAAAAAAGAATACAAAAGCGCACTAAACAGCTCCCAGGTTTAGCGCTCAAAAGATTTTTTTAAACTTCAAAAAACTGCGCAAAAAGCGCGTAAAGGTTTGCAATTCACTTTAAAAAGTATTTTTTACCAATTTAAGCAATTTATTCAGCAATTTTTCATGCTTTCCTTTCAACAGACTTGCCTTACACCAACCGCAAACAAGAAAATATCTCTAAACTCATCAACTGTGCAAAATTTCTCAGGCCGAAAAGGATACGTTTGAATGAGTCAGCAACAAAAGAGAGCAAATATACACACAAATAGACTCCTACCTTAAAAATTCACACACCAAAAACCTGTTCAAATGTTATTCTAAAAAGTACATTGTTCAAATAAGTTTATTCTTTTAATTCACCTAAAAATAGCTTTAGACTGTACATCATATATTAAATTGGTCTTCTGAAAGTATAAATGGCGTATTGATTTCTCTGATAGTTTTTAGGTCATCAAGTGAAATATTATACAAGGAATGATTTGTAACTGTTTTCATTGTCACTAAAAATAGCTATGTCATCCGTTAGAAACGTTGTCGACGGTCATTATGTACTCTGGGTAGTTGACAAAACTACCATTTCATTTGTAAAAGGTTCGCGCGCTGCGACTGGTCAATTTGCAGGCCGTTTTATATTGAACGACCCGCTAAGTTTTATAGTTTTTTGCAGTTAAATAAGGATTCATCGATAAATACCTCAGTGAAACCTGTATCAAGAGAACTGATATTAATAGTCTCCTACTCAGCCGTTTTTACGTGTTTCTTTGTGTCTTCACGAAGAAGCGTTACACGACGAACAACGGGAACAGGCGGACATCCTGTTTCTTAGTCAATGGAACAGAGTGTTTTTAAGTCCAAACAGTTTCTTTCCATAGTTACTACTAAATAAATCTACGTTGAGCAGCGTCCTCTGTCAAGCGGACGCTGACTGGCGACGGTCTCATCAATAGAGACCTTTAGATTCAAAGACGAGAACGACGAGGACGAGATTTTCATTTTGGCGGGAAAAAGTGATAGCCGTGGTCATTCCAATACGGGTTTCGAATGTCGTAGTGGAGGAATCAAGTTATCAAATGTTGGAGATATTAGAGAGATTAAGATTCACGTTTACCGCAAACGGCAAACGTCAGACTCAAGTTGACAATTTCTCAGAATAGAAAATAAGCAGATAAAAACAGCCCCCGAACGATTCCTCTGGTTAAAACTGGCATAAAACTACTTATTTTTGTATAGAAGCAATGAAGAGTAAACGGAAAATAAGGGAGAAACTTGATCACGTGGTACAAATTCACGTCTGCCGTTTGGCGTAAACGTGAATCTTAATCTCTCTCATCACTTTGCGATCGTGAGAGGGCTTAACCTTCTTGAATAAAAGTAACCGTGTTAACGTTTCTGAAACTTTCCAGGGTGCCTAGTTTTTGAGAATAAAGGAAAAAACTTTTTTGAATCTCATCCTCGCGAGTCGTCGCCTTCCTCGAATCTAAAGGTCTCTGATACTGGTTTCAGGTTACGTGGGCGTTCTCTCAATGCTGGTTTCACTGTATTACTGTAATTGTATTGTACTTTAGTGATAAGGACGCATTAGTGTACCGTACTGCTCATAAGCCCAGGCCGATATGTTCCATTTAGTGAACCATTCAGTGCATTACTGGCCAGAGTCCTTTCAGGGGACCTGTATTCTGGAGAATACAGGTCAGGAGAGGGTGATGAGAAGGACCTCTCCAGTGAATCCATCTGATTTAATCGCGCAAGAGCGTTCTTTAGAACTTGAGAGTCGATGGGTCCTGATGCTTTAGGGCTCGTGTAGGGGCTTGAAAGAAGAGCCTAGAATGAAAAACGCATGACGATAAAACACGGTGGGCGGATTAAAAGCAGAAGTCGTGTAAATATAGCTTGAATGAATAGGACTGTTATTGACATTAAGTAATTTTACGATAAACTGTGCGAAGGTCTCTTTCCCTTACCCTTTTATATACCATCTTTGACAAAAAAGGAACCCCTTTCGTATACCTTCCATTGAATAATGGTGCCCCTTTTTCATACCTACTTAATAAGAATTAACAACTAAAAGGAGAAGTCGTCTTGTCATATTCGTGAAACGTTTAATAAATTTAAAATGGCATAGCCATAAGGCGCGTCTTTTCGAATCATTTCAAATAAAGACCCTTTTAATTATTCAAATGATAGATTTTCCTACCCCTCGGTATACAAATACTAGAACTTTTGATATACCTGAAGCCTGAAAAAGGGTTTCCCTTTCGGGTGTATCTGCGGTTGATAGTATTCAACAAAAAATAGTTGACCTGATTGGTAAAAAAACACGTGATGAGTGTACTGACCTTAACCTTTTCAAGCTCTCTTGTAATGGTAGCCTTTTCTTGTACAAGCAAGTTAACTTTGTCGTGAAGTTCTGTATTCTCTTTCTCCATTGCATTTAGGGCAGCCTCTCTCTGACGTAAACTTCTCAGATGTTCCCGGATGACCTCTTCACTGTCTGTTAATCTGTTTACATTAAACAATTAACCAATCAGAGACGAATTTTTATGGTGGGCATCTAAAGTACCCGCTCGATACTCCAATCTGTTTATTGAAAGAACCTGACACACCCGTCCGTAGTCTTAGGGCCTGTTTACATGGAGGTGGGGGACCCCAGGTAGGTGAGGTAACCCGCTTAGATGGGGCAACCCACCCGTCCATATACTCTCTCATTTTAATTTGATCACGTTTACATGATAAGTGGGGTGACCCGAGACATGTTACCTCACCTATCCGGGGTCACCCACCTCCGCGTAAACAGGCCCTTAATAGAGGCCTCGGGATCCGACAACGGCGACGTGAATGGAAACATCGCTACTGAAATATAGCCTTTTCATCCTTTGCAACTTTTTCGCGATTCTTGCAAGTCAACCAGCTCCTTAAGAAGGGAAATTAGGTTGGAGCTGAGGATCGGGAACCACGTCAGAGCTCAGACAAAGAAGGTAAACTTTATCGCCTTGCTGTTCCTTCCTCAAGTAAAAGTAAAATCGGCCATTTCGCGTCGTAGTCGTGCAGGGACGGCAAAAAAAAACTTGACAAAAAAGCGTGCGTGCAGAACTGTTGTTTTGCTTATTAAATCTTCTCCCGTTGCCATCGTGGGTCGGTCGTAAGGTCCCTATTTCAAGCCACGTACAGGCTGTTTAAAAGTAAGATAGAACTATCCAGCTGATGAATATAATAAGGATAATCAGTTGAGTCAATTTCAATGACGGATGAACAGCGTTATCCACCTTTAGACCGAACAGGACCAAATTAGCGTGTACATTAGCTGAAAATGCTTAGACCTTTGAGCAACTCAACTCACTTGGCAAGCAGTTCTCGTTTTTCTCCCATGAGTTGTTTTTGCGCAGCTTGAGTTGTACCCTTGTATTCCTCTTCTTTGTTCACTCTCTCTTGGGTCAATTCCAGGCTGCTCTGAAGGGACAGTACTGTCGACTCCAGGTTTCTCTTTTCACGTGCAAATCTGTCTCTGAAATTGATAAACGAACATATAAGAACTGATTAAAGACATTGTCACATCCCTCTACAAAAACGATTTCCCAGGTGTTGCATTTTCAGTTGCGTTTTTCTTCTATAATGAATACAATACTTACAATACAATACTTTACAATCCTTTATTCAAGAGATAAAAACTAAGTTACAAAATATCTCTGGAAAGGAGATATCTAGAGGTCAACCCTATATAAAAGATTCCCCAAAATATAAGATGAAAAGGTAAAATCTAGGATCTAAAACATTATATACAGAGAGAAAAATCTAAAAACTAAAAACTAGAATAAAAAACATCATTTGCACATCATGATTAAAACTATTTACAATCGTATCAATTAATATTCATATAAATCCTTAATCTGTTGCGAAATAAGGTCAGCGATCCTGCGTGTGCAACATCTTTAGGCAAATTATTCCACGCATTGACGATCCGTACAAAGAAAGAGTAGAAGAATAGATCTAGAAAGAATAGAATGAACTAAAATGACATGAAATAATGTACTGAAAGGTCACTTTGAATAGCCACATCATAGGATTTTGTCCTCAGACTCAAAAGTTAATTCTTATTTTCCACAAAGCTGTGCCGCAACAGCTTTTAAGTGGCAGCATCATAATAGGATTATGATCTCTTGTTTTGGGTCGTATGTTGCTCAGTTTTCATTTGTTTCAGAACAGTCAAGGCTGTGTGCAGCCAGGCAATAGAAAGAAGGGTTGTGGCACGCTCATAAGCTGAAAAGAGAAATCTAACATTGGAAAGGTCAGAAAAATTTCCGAGCTCCAGATTAGATTCCAAATTACGACCTTTTGAATTCCAAATCGGACGATTTAACTACTGACCTACTAAAGGTTCTATTGGGAGCTGGGTCGAAATTCATTTATATTCTGACTTACTTGAGAGTTCTGATGGTAACGTGAGCCTTGGTTTTCCTTTCATCATTTTTTCTCTGTAGTTGATCAATTCTCTCCGCGGCATTAACTAGTTCTCCCTGTAAGTACTCTACTTCCTGTTGCAGTTCATTGACTCGCTCTGTCAGAGACTTTGCATCGTCCTCCTTTCGTTTATGCTGTTACAAAAGTACAATATTTATGACCCTGTTACCATCACAATGTTAAAATGCACTGAATTGCTTGAACTGTATACCAGGGGTACAATAATGGCTTTCTTCGGGAAGTTTAAATGATATGTTTTTACTTAACTGTGACGTACACTCGTATTACACAAGAAATAAGAAATTCCTTTCCATTTGCCCTACTGTAGAGCAATATGAAAGAAATCTTCACTTTGATTTCAAGGCCCCAAATTATTTAATGCCCTAAAACTGACAGGAAAAAAATGTCGAAAGCGAAGAGTGCATGATCGTTGGATACGAAATTACCTGGTTACAGCCAGTTCTATACTCCGCACCTCATTGACTATTTACCTCCTCGTATCCAAGACGGGCTCATGGAAGAATTCTTAATTGAATATCTCCTTTGTCGTGGTGTAAATAAATAGTGCATGCAAACAAGATTATGTGTACTTTAGAAAAGAACTAGAGACCACTCCCTTGAGTAAATTTGTCCACTGTACTGAAAAGGCCATTGCCAACCTTGAGGCAACGCGGTCGTTTGTTTTTGTTTTGAGATCGCGCTTGTGTGAATGGGGCGCTCTGATTGGTCAACACTTTTGCCAAGCGTTGTTTTTCGTTATCAAATGGTTGCACCCTTCGCCTGTAAAGTCATTAAGGGCAATACACCATTTTCGCATAGACCATAATGCACCTTGTTTACCCCCCAAATTTTGCATAACCATTGTTTTAAATTTCTTCTGGGTATTACGGTCGCCCGGAAAGAAATCGAAGACAATAGTTATGCAAAATTTGTATCGGCAATAGCATGATTTGTAGTGATATTTGGCATAAATACCACGAGTGATATTTCGAAATTGTTGTACGTAATTTCACGAGCCGTTTAGGCGAGTGAAATTTGAGACAATTTTGAAATATCACGAGTGGTATTTAGGCCAAATATTACGTACAAGTCATGCTATTATTTGTTTATGCTACCCGCAAAAGGTTTGTAATTTTCACATGTAGGTATTTCAAATTAAGCTGAAATACCACTGCTCTAAGATAATCAAATTGCAAAAATTTCTCATGTAGTAGTATAATTGGGGGTAAACAAGGTGCATTATAGAAAATGGTGAATGGTGAGGAATAGCTGTAAGTTGACGTTAAGTGTCACCTTATCTCCAGTGTTTTTTAGCTTGAGTTTCAAGGCTTCTATCTTAGCTTCTTGTTCCTTAACTGTGTACTGTAGCTGGCCATCTCGCTCACGAAGTAGTCCCACCTGCCTCTCCAGTTCTTGCACTGTTTGATGTTGAATACCCCTGCGAACAACCGCACGGATTAAGAGTTAACAGAGTTAAAGAGAGTTTAAGCTTCACGCTTACGTCAAACGGCAAACGCGAATTTGTACCACGTGACCAAGTTTCCCTTTAACTTGTCGCTTGCTGTCCATTGTTTCTTCGCATAAATTAGCAGTTTCAAGCAATTTTTTATCTATAATAATTGTTTTGAACCGTTTTTATCTGCTCGTTTTCTATTTTGAGAAATTTTCATCTTGAATCTGACGTTATTTGTATTCGTGAAGCTTTGATGAAGGCTAACTCTCTTTAGAGAAAAGGCTAAAATAGCCTGCGGAACAGAAGTTTCTTTTTTGCGTTTATCAAGCGAGCTAAGCCAAGCGAGAGGCGTGCGTAGAAGGCGAGACGCATGACGGGGGAAGGTCCCCGTCGCGCGTGTCTCACGCTCCACGCCCGCTCCGTGCTTGCCTTCGCTCATTTGATAGACGGGAAAGAGTTACGCCTATATTCTGCAGGGTGAGGCAAATGAAAAACGATGCTCAACGGAAACGATTGCAACAAAGACGCAAAAATCACGATGAACTCATTTAGAACTAAGTGTCCTTTTGCGCACTTCAAATTAGTTACATCCTGCCCTGCCGTGTGCGGCCTGAAAAGTGCTAAACAATGAGCTTAACAATATTCAGCGACATTGCTTGATTTGCCTTCGCTTCATTCAAAAGCGCAAACAGCCATTCAATCTTTTTAAGATATTTTTTCTTTTAAATTTTATATTGACAAAAAAGGGAGTCTTTCATCAGTTTACCGTTTAGATTGTCTTTTAGATTTTCATTTATGAACCGGCAAAATTCAACCTCTGCTGTGGTTTCATTCTTCACATAGTTAAAAGGGCAAAACTATTTTGTTAAAAGTAAAAAACTTTAGAAACTAGTTATAAGAAATGGAAAATCAGTATCATGCGTCAGTTTATTAAGTATTAGAAATTAAAACTTAGTTATATTTACCTCAGTATCTCCTCGATTTCAATAACATCACAAGCAAGTCTGATAAGGTTTAGGCACATTTGTTAGTAACAAAATTGTTTGCAGTCCTGGCTCTTTTCAAGTATTAGTTGGTTTATCATTGATGAGTTGATGTTTTAATATTAGATTAGTAACACAGTTTAATTTTTATTTTATGATTAAGACATCAGAGGTTGCAACAAAAATTTAGTTTACCAATTGAAAGGTAGTTTATTAGAGCGATTTAACAGGTTCAATGTCATTTAAATTTATTCAAGAAGCATTAAATAAGTTAGGTGTGGAACGGTTAATAGGAAAATGGTGGAGAAAAAAAAGTCCTTAACTTCGTTATTAATTTAATGTCCTTTTCAGGTTTACCGTTATTTCCATTCAATCAAGCTTAAAACAAAAAACTTAGGTGCTGAAAGATTTATAAATAGTTTTTATAGCAGAGAAAATTAAGTCCTTAACGTCTTTATATATTTAACTTCCTTTTCAGGTTTAACGTCATTTTCATTTATTTAAGCTTATAACGTAAATAAGAATATATTTTTCACGAGAAAAATAACGTTTAGTTTCTTTTTATTGGTTATAAAGATGGTATGATACACGAACATACAAGATATACAAATCCCATAAAATGACGAAATTAATAACCGCATGCAGTGAATAAACGCACAGTATATTATAAACACACCTTTTGTCATTATTGTAAAAAAAAAAAAGCAAGAATAAGCTTGAACAAAAAAAAAGCACTCACTGTATCATCTTATAGTAAGTAACTGTTGATTAGTTTCAGAAATATATTTGTAAGCGACCAGTAATAACCTTTGGAGTGTAATCAATGCTAAAAGTTGGCTAGTCCCTGTTCGGCGTTTTCCCAGGCCTTCTCGGTCAATCCATTTCGGTGAAGTATCCGCGGCACTTCTTCGCTCGGACCACGTGACCCAAAACCCATTGACCGCGGAATAATGGGGTTTGGGGACTAGGCAATGCTAAAAGGAGGTTAACTGAGCGTAGTGGCAACTATAACTAGTCTCAATGTAAGAAAGAAACTTTGCTTAGCGAAAGTGAAACTGAAAACTACATGCAAAGCCTCTAGCCCTCAATTTACCGCTAAGAGTTTCTGCTAAACAAGAAGAATAAGGATCTAAACATGACTTTAGGGGCTTGAAAGATCGGTAGTCCCAGAAGAACGATTTATGTTGACTATAACTCAATAACGAAAAAAGGTGGAGCTGAAGGACCAGCCACCCAATCTGGGGATCACCTTAGCCTAAAAGAAATTCAGAACAGATCATGATACGTTTCTGGGAAACTGCCCACCTACCCCTCCCCTAAGCCAACATTAACTAGCGCAAAATGTTGGCTTAGGGACCCCTTATAGGCAGTCAACTTAGGCAAGTCTCTAAGTCAAAACAACCTATCATGAGGTCAAAAGAGAGCTTCGGACTGACATACTGGTAAAATCCGCTTTGTAAATCAATAAACTCACTTGTTGACTTCCTCCTCTTGTAGGTGAACTCTCAGAGTGTCATTTTCTTCACATGTCAGCTTCATTTCAGCCAGCTGCTCATTAGCATTCTTTAGTTCCATTTGTGTGAGCTCCAATTGTTCGCTTACTCCTTCGAACTCCTTTCTTAACCCTGCCAACTAATTCAACAAAGCAAACCTTTAAATATAAAATGAACTTAATTTTGAATATTGAGAAGTGGAGAGAAACTTTACAAATCCTTTTGAACCGCAAGTTTTATAAAAGAAAGTGAGAAAAACCAGTATTGAACACACAACCTCTGGGGCAGATATTCCAGCGCTCTAACCGACTAAACTCCAAGGCGATTTGGGAGCTTCCACACTTTTTCACACTAAAGACGTTTTGTGGGGACCCTTGGTCTCCAACATTTTTGGAGTGTAAATTTTGGAGTATAAACGATTTTCGAGGTGAGGTGGAAGATAATCGAAATTTCACTCTTCTTACTTCATTGTTAAGAATATAAGGGTGGACAGGGAGAGGAAAATTCCAATAAAATGCGACTATCATAGGTATTTCAAATATCAGAATTCTTATTCTGATCAATGTTTAGCCCCCTTTTTATATCTAGTTTGTATTTTGTCTTTATGGTCTTTGGTGTTTCGAAAAACTGCCCACCGTCCTGTACTCCCCCAGCCCAACAGAATCTTACACTCTGCCCACCGCCCTGTCCTCCTCTAACTCCACTCTAACCTTGACGGCTCAGTAAGGGCAAAATGTTGGGTTAAGGGAGGGGTAGGTAGGTGAGCATTTCAGACATGTATACCTTGGCTTCAGCCTCCTCGGCCTGTTGTTGGGCGGTATCCTTAGCAACCATAACCGCTGTATGTTCCGCTTGTCGTCTGTGCAGTGTACTCTCTGTTTGACGCAGCTGTTGGATTTTCTACCGTAGACAATCAAGGATAGAGAGATTTAGAGTCACGTTAAGGCAAACGGCAAACCCAAGTTAAGAATATCTCAAAACAGGAAATAAGCAGATAAAAACACTCTCAAATAGTTCTTATGGATAAAAGTTACGTGAAACTACTTAATTTCTGCGTTTTTATTTTTATTTTTAAGTAAAGGGTAAACTTGGTCACGTGGTACAAATTGCCGTGAACGTTACTCTAAATTTCTCTAATATCCCTCTAGTTTTATCACCAAGTAGATTTATACTTTTAAAACGCAGATCACTCAAGAATGTTTTCTGCCACACAGCTATTTGGAAATTAACGTCGATGGAAAGCCTACGCGAAGAGACCATAGCAATAATGGTTTTTAAGGCTTGAGGCCTTAAAATCCGACAACTTTAATGTAAATAATAAAAAATATCAAAGAAAGAAATCAGACTTAGCGACATGTGTTGGTCGCATTCCACACTAATTCCGGACTATAAAGACCGAAGAGTTAGCCAGGAAACCGCCAGGAAAAGCGTTTGCTCGCAAGCTAGATCACAGGAACCCAATCCGTTGCCATACACATTCTCCGAAACTACCTTGCAAGGGCCGATTTAGGGGTGGGCCTAGGAAGCCCCGCCCCCCCCGGCCCTATTGTCCTGGAATTTTGTTCTTAAATATTTCAGCATTACATGTTCAATATGGAATCCAAGCATTTGCTAAATTTAAGCGTCCAGAATGCACTAGATTGCATCTCAGAGAACTTCAATCTCAAACATTTTCCCGGAGGTGCATGCGCCCGAATCTCCCTAGAAAAGTGCGCCGTTCGCAGTACTATATCTCTAGGCCCCCTCTATCACAAAATCCTCCATCTGCCCCTACCTTGTGCCAAATCTGCACAATAAGATTTATGTACCTTATCCAGTTCAATTTCCAAATGTCTCTTTGTCGTCTCCAGCATGGATGCTTTCTCAGACAAATCCTTTATTTGTTCCCAGGCTCTACTCAGCTCAGACTCAAGCTGTGCTGTCCTGTTCTCCAAGCTTCCGCGCATTTTGCTCTCAAACTCAAGAGCTGTTGAGGCTTTGGTTCCAGTGTGACTAGCATTGGTGAGCTCTGCGCGTAGGGCAATTAATTCCTGCAAAAGGACAGCATGCAAGTTATTTAGAAAAAATGCATGTTAAGGACAATTTTCCCGTGGAAAGGCTCTATCCCTCTTAAAACTCAGAAATATTTTTACTCCGCCTTCCTTATAGCCTCCTATGCAGTAGGCTGAGGTTCATTTCCAGAGTTCCTACTCTTTTAAGTTCTTCGAATTCCACGACTTTTCATGACCTTTTCAAGTTTTCCATGACCTTAGGTTTAGCTGTCACTTTCGAGGATTTTCAAAATCGTCCGTGTTTTAAGGTATTTTACAGACACCAACTCTGGTGTCCAAACGTGTCCTATTCGCGCTGTCTAATTACTCCTCTTTATGTTACATTTTCCTTGCTTTGTTATCTGCAGTAATTAATCTACCAAAAAAAACTTTCATTTCCCATGACTTTCAAAGATCGACAATTAAACTTCGTAAATTTCAGGCCTGGAAATTGAATTTTTTAAATCCCATGACTTTCCAGGTTTTCCATGACCTGTACGAACCCTGAATTAGCTGGTCACAAAAAACCCGCGGGGAAAAACGCAAGCTTCTTTTGACTGTGTAAGAATGACCTACATCTTAGTACAGGTTAACGGGATAGAAAATAGGGTTAAAGCCATTCATATAACCCCCCAACTTTCTTTGCAGATTCAATTTCCAGGCAAAAATGCCTTAGTATGAAATGATCCTGTTAGCTTTTGTCTTTTTTTTTTTCTCAGCTGCTGTAAGGTTACCATAGTTAGTATGCTTTGTGTGTCCTTGATATCTTTTCTCCCCTCGCCCTCCTTGTAGCCTGTTCTACTGACGAAACTAAACTCTGGTTAGGTCCGTCTGCGAATCAGCGCCGAAATCCTTGTTCTGGGTCCCCACCTGTCTGCCAAGATTTAACATGATTGGTCTGTTAAAAATCCCATTGTCGATTTGCCGATCAGGTTGAAGGGAAATACGAAACGCACTTCCGGTTTTTTGTTGAGTCCGTTGGGTTCCCAGAACAAGGATCTCGACGCTGCCTCGCAGACGTTACTAAACGAGGTTAAATTACTTCTGCGATGCAGGCTACCACCTTGTACAGGTTACCACCTTGTAGCTTTCACTCTCGTTGACTGAAGGGGTACATTTCCGGTATGAAGCTTGCTACATGCAAGTTGGCAAAACATTAAAACAAGGGGAACATTACCTCATCTCTTTCTCTTAGAAGAGAGCTTAAATCTTTGCTTTCTCTCATAGCCTGTTCCATCTGACTCGCCAGGGAGTGGCGCTCAGCAGACGATTTCTCTCTTTCTCTTTCTATCTCATTACGCATGTCAACAATCAGCCTTTCATATTTAGCCTAGAATGGAATAAATTAGCTCATTGTTGTCACCGTTCCGTTTGGAGCATCCAAACAAACAAGCAGTAAGTAAACGTGGAGTAAACTTAAGTGACACTGCGCAAACTTTTGACACAAGCGCAAACGAAGCTAGGCATATCCAAGTTAATGAATTGCAGATCATCCTTTAACTCTACGGTTAAACGCCACGGGCGACAAAAACCTGAAAGTTGTCTTGTAAGTTGCTGCAAAAGGAGTTGAAGAATGTATTGTATTAAATCAGGTTGCTGCAGTTTTCGGTATACTGATTTCTGATGGGATAAAATTACGCAGGAGTCACGCCATACACGGGGATTACGTCACATGCTAGAACAAAGTTTGCCTTGGGCCGGGAAAACGCGCAACATTAACAGATTTTGTTACAAAAAGTAGAACTACTCTCTACTTTCTGTCACTTTTGCAACCAGCAGCAACCTAGTTTGTTGCAAGACAAGTGATTCTTGGAGGTACAAACGCGCAACATCCGGCGCTATTCAACTTGTTTCGTAGCAATGTTGTAAATAGGTTGCAAGTTATTTCCTTGTCGACGAATAAAGCCTCCATTAGGGCCACCCATACGCGCTTGTTTGCCCATGATAAATGACTTTTTTCCAAAACTGCTGTCTGGTCAAGATTAGCGCGTAAGCTTTAATTTTCTGGAAACTAAGTGTCTCTGTGCCACGACCAGAGCTTAAATAAGTTGCAGTGATTTGGTTACCTCTGCGTCCTGCGTCCCTGACGCATAAAAATCCTCAAAGACGCAAAACAGTTCATGCCATGCGTCCCGTAGGACGCAAAGATCGATCGATCAATGTGGTTTTGTAGAAATATCCCGTTCGTGTAATTTCAGTAGCGGTCATTATGGCTGTTGTTTAACGATGCGTATTTCTTCTCGCCTTTGTTGTGCTGTAAACTAGAAGGACTATATTATAATTTCAGGATACATCTGTCTTCAGATTAACTGTCTGGTCACATAAAGGCCAAAGCATTTTTAATTTCCGATCCGCTGTTTTTTCTTTTAACTGGGACTCACTGGTTCTAGATTGGGACCTGTGATTTTTCACAAAATGAGTCCTAGGACACACCATAACTATTTGTAACAAAATCAATGAAGTTGGTGAATGCAAGACACTCACCTGACTATCCAGTGAAGCATTATGCTGTCTCATAAGCTGTGCAGACATGACTTTAACTTCTTCCCTCAGCTGATCCACTTCCTGCTTAGCAGAGCTACTACTCTCTTGAGTAAATTCATATCTTGTACTCAGCTCTGTTCACAATAAAAACATAGAAAACAGTACAAGGTTAGTGTCCAGGGGTACTTACCAGTTACATGGGAAAACCGGAAATTCCAGTTGGAAAATCAAATGGTTTGCGCCATCCCGTAATGAAAGTTTCAGAAAATGAGGGTTGGGTTTTGAGGTGACGAAATTTTCTTCTCTTTTTAGTTTGTTCAGCTGGTTTGGATATACTTTGTAAAGGGTCGTTCGCCCACCACGTCTAGACTGCAAAACAGTCCGTATTCTTGCGTATTCAAGTAGGCGCGAGCAGTCAAACAAAAGGTCTGGAACGAGGCTGAAAACAGAGAGCGAGACTGGGGAGAGATGCTTTTTTTTTTCTCTCGCCTCACAGACCCTACGGTAAACGGGCGTGTGTTTATGCACGAGATTTCTACCCGGGTGGTTCGTGTAAATGGTAGAAGCCCTCATGTTCATGAAGTGACTGCTGTTTTAAAGAAATTAAAGAAGCACCCCAACCTGGCTCTTTGATATACTGGACAGCTTCTTAGAATAATAAGTCCTCCACGACAGATGACGTCAGAAAACAAGGAGAAAATTGTCTCACTCTGCTTGAAGACTTAACAGCTGGGCCCAGTTCTCGGAACACGAACATTCAGAAGCTCATCATTATTTTCTAACTAAGAGTTTTTAACATTCCGAGACTCTCAGGAAAGAAATTGATAGGAAAACCAGACTTTGTGTCCTATCCTGTCCCAGGCTGCAAGATAGTAGTGAAAACTGGTGCAAAAAACATGCCGGGGGCTGGGGAACAAGAAGGCGGCGCTCTCCTGCCGACCACCCATCCCGTTCCTATCTTGTGCGCATCTTGTTTATACAACTTCCCTACCATCTGAGAGCATTACTTAGGCTATACTGTCGATGATACAGTACCATCGTGTAGAAATAGAGGATATTCACCGCGCAGGGATACGAATGTTATCTTCGAGTGCTGAAAGTATCTCTCACGAGGGAGCGAAGCAAACGAGTGACAGATACTTTCAGCACTCGAAGATAAAATTAGTATGATCCCAAGCGGCCATGTAATGTTCTGTTTATTTTATAGATACTGATGAAATTCCTACATAAAACACAACTTTTTGCAACTCTTGTTATTCTTGTAATTGGGTAATCATATTAGTCACCATGGCGACACCAATATCCTCACAAGTGAAAGATAAAAATAGTATCTTCGCTGCGTGCGATGAAAATATGATTTTTTAGTAAAAGGAAAAATCCTGGTATTTCATCAGTATCTATATAATATATGACTGTTTTTCGATCACAATGAGGTTCGTTTTGTACGTATTATGCCAAGAAAAATGCTTTCAAGTGGTTTACCATGGGTATGTGGGCACTCTCTCCCATAGGCAAAATTCAAACGTTACTCACTAACTCTGATGCATTTTACCTACCTAAACTCCTGCTTTGCTCTCTTTGTAGTTGGTCTTCAAGTTCAGCACACTTCTCATCCAACTTCCCTAGCTAGGAAGGACAAATACATATGACTAGTTACTAAGGAACCATAAGTTACACCCAGGACTCCCTTTCATGGCCTATTACAGGATGTGTCACTGGAAAGGGTATGGTTTTTGATCTCCCCGTCCTTAACAGGGTATATAATTTTGTGCAAGCCTGTCAACAGAATATTGCCTGCACGATTGAGATTTCATTTACTCCAAGTATACAAAAGCAATAACTATAACTTGAATTGGCTCTATTGCATTTGTCAATAAATGGCTTTAACACAAGACTGTGAGCATTTTGTCCTTTGCCCTAAACAGGGTAATAAAATTGAGGCAGTTGACGTAAACAAGGTATGTATTTTTAAGGAACTTTTTATCCTAAAGAGGATTAGGGTTTCCAACCCTCAGTGGTTCACCTTTACCCAAATATTGGTCCCCCCGGTGACTTTCAATTCACATTGACACCCTCTTGAAGTTCATGAACAATTATTTACCTTGGTGTTAAGATCACTGATCTGTCTTTCTTGAGTTGATACAACCGCATGAAGTGAGGTTTTCTCATTCTCTACGGACTGAAGCTGCAGGGTAAGTTCTTCAGTCTTCTTTGACTAAAATACAACAACAACAATTAAAAAATCAATGAAAGAAAATAAAATGATCGAAGAATAAAACAAAAAAGGTGCATACAAGCTTGTTGTTGTTTTTCATCATAGAAGAAAGTGGACTCTTTGTAATGTTGGAAAATGAGGTGTTCTTCTTACACTCAGTCTAACATATTATGGCAGAATGATGTAAAAGGAGAACCAAGAAGAAAATGGACACTAGAACAAGTACCAGGTGCTGTTTCGTTAACAGAACCGGAAATAAACTCGTGATTACAAACATTGATTTAGTTAAAGATTAAGGACATTGATTAACATTTTGAGATTACTAGGTTTTATACTGTTTTTACACATTGTCGCGTTTCAGTCAGAAGTATTTTGCTAACCGGTATTGCTCACCAGTTCAAGAGATTCAGGCTAACCAGTTTAAGGCTAACCCGTTTTAAGCTACGATCCGCCACAGAAGTGAGTAAAGCATGATTGTGAAATTTGAGTTTCTATTTGAGGTATTTTCAAAAAATCATTGTTCTAGAGATTATAAGTAAGTTGCGTAACGATGAATTGTATTGCTCTGTTTCAGATCGACTAATATAATTGCTTCAGTTGCTACAAATTTTAGTATCATTCAATAAACATCAAGTGATTGATTATATGATATGTGGTGGTCGTTGGAATACGCAGTGTATGACTACGTAAAACAGGTGCACACTGTTGCCTTCCTGCAGTCAAACCTCCACGTGTGACCACCTCCTGTTAGTGGCCACTGGCCATAAGTGACCACCTTTCCAAAACATGTACCTAAAATGTTCTCAGTCAAAGCCTTTCACTGGAAACTCTCGCAAGCGATCGCCAAGCCTTTGCATTTTGAGTGTTCGCTCACGGGAGATTAAAGTTAATTTTTTCTGATTGGTTGGGCCATTTTAAAGGACAAACTTGCAACTTGATTGGTCCCTGGGCGTAATCATTTTGGTTCACTTTTAAAAAGACTGCTCTCGATTGAGAACTTATGAGAGGCTGGCATGATTACCTGTGGTACTACCTCTCAGAAATTACCACCTACCCATCCCAACCTTGCCAGGAAAGTTTGATCATAACAACCGTTCTCTTTCTCTTTGTGCCTTGTTGATATATGAAGCAAGCTCTCTGGCCAGAGAAAGTCAACACATGCACTGATCAGATGGCATGATTACCTGTGAGACTACCCCTGAGAAATTACCTCCTACCCATCCCACCCTTGCCAGGAACATTTGATCATAACAAACCTTGTCTTTCTCTTTATTGATATATGACGCAAGCTCCCTGGCCAGATTTTCCTTTTCTTTCTCTAAAGTAGCTGTCTGTTCCATAGTCTCCTTCTCTCTGCTCATACTTGCTGCAAGTGATGCTTCAAGATCCTATCACACATGATTGACACAAACAACTATCATGTTAAAAATTACTAACTTGCAAAAACCTTTTGACAGAATCATTGCCCAGCCCACACTCAAATGTAATAACTTCTATGCTCATCCATTCTTCAAACTGTTGATTGCATGAGTATGTGGATATAAACTGCTACAGGTATTAATTTGTCCATAGCATTATACAAGGTAGCTCCAACATTTTAGCTCAAGTATGATCTCTCCAAGGTGGCTTTCTCCAAAGATTTACACTGAAGCTTAGCTACTGAACAACACATGACTAAGAAGCGTCAGCACGACCTGAATTAAATGGGATCAGATTAACTCATTGATCCGGTTTTGTCAATGGCTCTTGATTATCCACAACCACATGGAAGCTCTTAGGAATGTCTCAGCATTGTCTACTGAAGTTTATTTACATGCAAAGAGTTGGCTTAAATTTTAAGTTTTCTATAAATTGTAGCTGTTAAAGAAAAAATATGCTAAAATACACTAGGTCATTTTATGACAGTCAGCTCTGTTTTACTAAAGTTTATGAGCTTTCTTTACTTGAGGAAAAGGACATTTTATGAGCTTGAATAAATAACTCAGTCTATAACACTTGTGGTCAGCTTACAGTCATTTGTGGCTAAAGAGGTCTGATGGGTGAATGCCTTTTTAACTATGACAAGTTTATATACCACATTTACTGATTGACAAAGGACAAGAAGTCAAATAAGCATAAAAGTCAAACAACTGCAGCAATTATACTGTATATAGTTAAATGGATTCCCTACAACAGTGCTCAACATCCAATATAAACAGATCTTGATTTAATAAATTCCTGTTTCACTAAGCTGATACCAAAATCCTTAAGTAAAAGAGAGAGCAAGTACCTTAGTTTTTTTCTTAGATGTTTCTTCAATTTTTGCATCTTCTAGCTTGCAACATTGTGATATAAAATGGCTCCACACAAGCTCCCCAAATTATGCTTAAGCTCAGCAGGGGGTATCAGTGATAATGAGGTGATAAACTCTTTAAGAATTTTTTGTTTTGTTGACAAAGTAATGGCTTTAATGGACTGTTGTCATTTTGTGATCCACTTTGCCTCAAACAAGGGTAAACAAAGCTTATTGAAATAGGAATCGAGCTAAGCTTTAGAATTCAGTGCAGTCATTTCATTATCAACAAAAGGCTCTGTACAAAATCCTGTAATTTTGCTAATTCAAGTATCTAAATGTCAGTTAATGATAAGCCATTGCAAATTAACTAAATAGCAAAATCCATAGTTAACCTTATACTGGCTTTACAAAACAAACTCTAGGTTATTTGCATAAATCTCAATCACTTTTAGTGTTATTCATGATGATCAAAGCCGTTATAACAAAATTAATCGCTTAAGAGCCAATATCAAGAATTTATTTAAAATATATTTGCATTTTTGAGACTGATAACATGCTTCTTTGGTCACAACATTTACAACTGTGGGTCAATGCATGGCAATAAATTTTTGTTAATTAATTTTATACCGCAAAGAGTTCAAAGAACCCTACAAACTGCAGGCTATACGATAAAATAGTTTTGCATGTTACAATCAGATCACCTAAATTAAATTTGCACACAGTAAGTGATCTGCTTCAAAAGAGATGATAAAATTAATATTACTTTTGATAGACGGCATCATTCTAGTCTCAGTGATTAATATGTGTAGCATACATGGAAATTCTTTTTCTTATTTCATATTAAATTGCATATCTAGATATCTGAGACTTTTTGACAAAAGATTTCATACCAAAATAAACCAAGAGAAATGAAAGTAGTAATGAAAACTGAGGCAAATTATACTACATACACTGTACACTATCTTTTCATTAGTTTAATGTGTCATTAACACACACAAGGCTAACAAATACATAAAAGTCTTGCTCATGTTAGTTCTGAAAATTGGCTGAAATTCAGTGCAAATGAGTTTTCTAAAGTTTGTTGAACATTAAGTTGTAAATTAACCTTTCTCAAGTCGACAATCTGTTCCCGTAGCAGTTCTTTCTCTTCCTCTGCACTCTTGCTGCGGCCAAACTGAGCATTCAACTTTTCCTGATAATTTGTCTCATTAGCTTGGTGATCAGACATAGCCTATAAACAGTAAAATGACAGGAATCAAGATTTTTAACCTCTCAAAGTACAAAATTGACAAGGCAGACGTGAACACAGTCTGTGCAATTGATTTTGCATAATCCTATTCAAATATTTCAAATAATATTGATCAGACTTGACAATATCACAAGCTAAGGTAGATGAATGGAATTAAACAGAACAATTATTGATTCGTCATTCTTCCCTGCTCCTTTCAACATTCAGTCTGAATTAGCAGTCTTAAATCTAATAACAGGAGGAAATCTTTTAACTTAGCTCTGCAATACAGTTTTTCGTAGATGATAGAGAAGTGTTGCCTCAAATTTCAGTTTTAAAAAAAGCATTTCTGTTGCCAAAAATGAGTTGAGTGCAAATACTGTATACAAACTTGTTCTCGATATCCACAAGTAGTTTTTTCAGGCCATTTTGGCATGTATCACCAAGTAAAGGTATTGCATTTTCAACAAAAGTCAGTTAAGTACTACATGTACAAATAAGGCTATAGCTTACAATAAATAGTCACAGAGCTCAGGGATACAGGAATAATCAACTGAACAATGACTGATATTGGTTAAGGCTAACACTTTACTGTCCATGCAAAACTACATTATACACCCCACCAGGGGAGGGGGATGAGGGAGGCAATGCACTGTTATTTGAGGAGGGTTTCTACATATATCTTACCTTGTTAAGTTTGAGTTTTGTTTCTGACAGCTCTTCTCTTAATTTTGTTGCTTCATCTGTGGCCCTTGCAAACTTTGCCTTCAGTGTATTAAGCTGATAAAGAGCAACACAATATTAACGTAAGTTGGATCAAGTATAGCAACTTTCACAATTTTTCCAGTTATTTAATAACAGGAAGAATTATATCTGTGCAGCCAAAACTTTTGAGGTTGCTGAACTTAAAAGTACATAGTGTTTTATCAGTTTTAGTTTATGAAATTGTCCAAAACATAAAGATAATTACTATTTTTATAAAATTATCATATAAGAAAGGGTCAGTACAGATCTGGGAAAATCCAAAAATTCAAATATATTTATTTATAATAATTATTTGGAAACCATCAGCATAAACTTATAAGGTATTAACCCAAAACCTGTCTTACATAGTCAGTTGACTTTCTTTTTGTTTTTGTTTTGTTTATTATGTTGAAATATCATTGTATACCCCCCTATGCTCAACAAATTATTTGGTTCGTCCAGCTAATATGGTGATCTGAGCAAACGATGTTCTTTCTAAAAATACTTCATGCCTGTTTTGAATTTTTCAGTCAGAATTTAGAATGACTGCTAACCTCATCTTTCGAAGACTTGTCCTTTAATTCCATATCCTCTTCTTTCTCTGCGAGTGTTCTCTCTGCCTCTCCTAGCTGTAACGTTAAATTCTCAATCTGCTTAATGTGCCGTTCAACTGTATCATCTGCTGTTTTGAGACGTTCTTGGAGACTGTTTTTTTCATCAGTTAGCTGTTGCATCCTTATTTCCTGTCTAGAAGATTTACAATATTCTCAGAGATACATGTAATTGACTACTTAAACAGTACTTAAATGTACATAGATAATCAAAATCCCTGAAATAATCACAAAAAATTCGCCAAAGAAACAACTACTAAATTATTAATTGTTGTTTTTCAACAATTATTGTTGTTAGTAGTGTTATAATAATTATTATTAATTATTGTACAAATACATAACACAAATCTGTAACTTACTTCTGAGTTGATGATTTGGCTTCACTCAAAACACTGTTCTGTATGTACGAGATTAAAACAGGTTTAGTGCAATATTAGATAAAAAAACTGCATTAGCTTTGCCACTTAATCAAAGATCCCTTCAACGGGGGCCAACACAGAAGAAAATGTAAAGTGGTCTCAACCTGGTATTAAACATGCATGGCAGATACTTGTATGACCTTCATTAATTAATTCCTGAGTCATGGGAAAGATACCGTAAAATTCCGAAAAGAACCCCCCGCCTTATATTTTTCAAAGGCTCTTTTTGAGGGGCTTATTTTTGGAGGGGTTTATCTACAGAGGGAAATTTGCGTTTCAAAACCGATTGGGCTAGCCTTATAGTTGGAATTAAATTTACCATTTTTGCTTTGTTAATATTATTTAGTATTTGAGGGCAATTTTCCAAGTACAAGCCCCCTGGGGGCTTATATTTGGAGGGGCTTATACAAGGAGGGGCTTTTTTTTCAGAATTTTACGGTATGTCATTATCATTTTGAGACAAGCAAAGTGATATATAACAATGTTTAAATAGCCTGTGCCACAGACGAAACTAAACCCTGGTTTAAAGTCGGTCTGCAAAACAGCGCCAAAATTCTTGTTGTAGGCTCCCACCTTTTTTACCAGGATTTAACTACGTGTCATGATTGGCCTGTTCAAAAAGCCACTGTCGATTTGCCAGTCAGGATGCAAGGCAATTTGAAATGCACTTCCGGTAATTCGTTGAGTCCGTTGGGGGCTCAGAACAAGGGTTTTGGTGCCGCTTTGTAGATGTTACTAACCAGGGTTAAATTACATCTGCGACGCAGGCTATGTTTATAGTACACAAGAAAAAATTAGCCCTTCCAAAAACCACAAATGTTTATAGTCAAGAGGAATATGGAAATTACAAAGCACCTTTTCAGAAGTAAGTTGAGCTTCTCTATCCCTTATAGTAGTAAGATCCTTCTGTGCTATTTGAAGCCGGCTTTCAATGGTCTTCCTCTCTTCCTCTTGGGTTTTCAGTTTAACCTAATGATGATGCATGTGCAGAGCAAAACACACAAAACAATATTTTGGCAAATGGGCAACAATAAATTGTTACTGTGAGATGCAATTGTAATACACAATATTATCAGCTATTGTGACATAACTAGAGGGAATTTTCTCTCTCCTGGTGGGTCAATCACCCAAAACTACATTCACTTTACTAAACAAACTATTTCATGCAGTGAATGAAACAGTATTTTTATTTTTTTGGTTCTCTAAAAAAAGAGGACAGCCTCATGAAGGAAAATCTTGAAACTTTTTGTTAGGAAAATCTGATTTTGTCATTAGAATGTTTGGTTGAAAAATATGCCTTTGCAATTAAAAGTAAATTTTGTCCTTTTAGGCAAAACTTCTCAGGAAATAATTTTGCTCCGTTTGCTATATGCAGCTACTAACCTCTGTCTCTTGAAGCTTTTGCTTTGTTCCGGATAGTTCAGTTTTAAGCTTCCTGATGGATGCTTCTTGGCTGATTTTACTCTTATTTAACTCTTCTTTTTCTTTCTCAATTTCTTCCTCTAGTGACTGCACCTGTACATCAAGGGACAACAGACATTAACACTGTACACATACATGTACACTCTATGCAAACTAGTATTTTGACATGCCCATTGAATTTTAGCCTGCACTGGAAAAAAAAACCAGGACAAACTTCCTTATGTTCCTTACTTGTGTCTTATGAATTGTCCGAATGTAATTTCAATGCATGATCCATTAAAAAGACTCTTTAATACAGGGATGAAAAATAATGATAATGTTGCAAAAAGAACTTACAGTGGTCTGTAAAGATGTTTTTTCCAATTCAATAGATCTCATTTTGCTCTTCAACTCCTCCACTTCAGCCATAACCTTGTCAGCTTTAGTTCCATGGACAGCAGATTTTTCTTTCTCTTGTTCTCTCTCTTCCAGCAACTTAAGTTTCTCTCCTGTGGAGAGCGTAATGGGTGAGTCATACATTTTTTTTTGACATTACTGTGCTTTTCACAAACATGCGAACTTTAAAGTTTAAAAGCTACCTTCCCATTTACGTTTCACACTGCCGTGAATCATAATTACATTCACAAGCAAAGAACCTTGAAACATGGAAACACACTAAACAGATAGAAATCCACCAATCACAGATCACAAACCATGACCTTTTGAATATTTTCAGTTGGCATTTGGACTTCAGAGTTCACGTGTTTTTGAAAAGTGCAATAAATTAACAAAGTGGAGAGTAATATTATTTTGCTCTGCACTTAATAAATGATCCCACATACATGTACATGTACAGTGTTCATTCCAGAGCTCCACTCAAAGGGAACTCAGGGATACTAAAGGGTGGGGATTTTATGAGCTGAAGTACTGGTATGTAAAATCATAAGGACTTTTCATCAAAATATTTTAAACAGATGCACTTTTTTGGTGCATCATTTATATTTTGTTTAATACTGTACATTGTGAAGGAGACTTCTTGCTTAAGGTATGTGGAAGGGGTACCACTTTTAAATTAAGGTATACAGAAAGAGTACATTCTCTGTCAAAAGTAGTACAGCAACAGGTAAGGGGTTAAACCTTGGAGCTACAACCGGAAGCCTCCCCTAGCTTCTATTTAACTTTGTTGAGTAGCCCTTACAAAATATAAATAAAAACATACCTTGGTGTCTGTTAATAAGTTCTGTCATATCTGAATTATGTTGTTTCTGTGCTTTCTCCAGCTCTGATCTCAGACCATCATTTTCCTCTGTAACCTTCTTCATTTCCTGTTCATGAATCTTCCGCTCCTCCTGTTTAACTTGCTTCATCATTTCACGCATTCTATTCATCTCGTCTTCCATGTCTTTCCTCTCCTCTTCCATAATTTTCATCATCCGCTGGTTGGATTGTTCAGCATCTGTATTCTTCTTGAGATTTTCATTGTCAAGTTCTAGTCTACGTACCTTTTCGGAGAGAGATGCTCTTTCTTTAATCAAATAATTGACTTGTTCTTTCACAGGGTTGGTGTCTCTTCCAATTTGTGTCAAACCAGACTCTATGAGCATGTCACAGATGTCTTCTGAAATATAAGCCCCAGCTTCCTTTTCCACCTTCATTTGTTCAAGCTCTGCTTTCAGCTGTTCATTTTCAGCCTCCAAGTCTTGTGTTAAGGCCTCTCTCTCATCTGAAAGCTGCCGGATGTGTGCAACATAGTTTTCCACTTCAATCATTTCCTCACCATGTTGCTTGCGGAGCTGTTCAACACTCTCAAGAGAGGACTTGAGACTGGCTTCGGATCTCGTGAACTGCCTCCAAAAGTAACGAAGTTTGTGTTCAACTGGGATGTTAGTTCTATAACCATCTTTTTGAAGCCTGTCATCAATGTCTTCAAGTTCCCCTGCATCCTAAAATGGAAAAAAAATTGAACATGTCATGAAAAGTTAGTTTAGTCAGGTCAAGTGCTTACTAGGACAACATGGATTTTCTCGCCCAACTCACTTTAGTCTGGCATTGCCATTCTGAGTTCTCTGAGAGTGGCAAACCCAGTGTCCTGAAGCAGAGTGTGTATATCCGTGGTCCTAGGTCTACTCATAACATACATGTAACTAGCCTGAAGTTCATCCGATTGCTTCGAGTCGTTTTCTCCTCTTACTGAGGGAGTAATAACGACTCGAAGTAATCGGATGAAATTCAGGCTAACATGTAACATGTCATACTCTAATATTACACTACCCTTTCTTCATTCTTAGCTTATTCTAACATGGCCTCACATATTATTTTCAAATAAATACAATTTTAAAAGGACTGTTTTCATGATTTTCAAGACCTTTTTCAAGGGTTTCAAAAGATCCAGTTACCACGGGTCAACCACAACCCATAGAGGACCTCTTATCACTTATTAAAACTTTTATTCCTAAGATTTGTAATGGTCTCTTTCCAGGTCATAGCTGCCTATCCCACCATTGGCAACCCCTTACACTGGAAAAAGAAATTAATTCCCCTGCTTTTTGCACAACCAAATGATATTTAATAAGATCTTTTAGCCCCTCTCTAACTTGCTGGATTAGTTTTTGGTAGTACAAAAGTTCAACTCAACAGCAACGGAAGTGTAAATAGACAATTTAGTGCCCTGGGCCAGTTGGGATTCCTACTTGTTCAGTTCATTTCAACTATTTCTTTCTGTTCTCATTTGTGAGGTACAGTGTACAACATAAACTGCTGGATTACCAATTCTCTCTTTAATTTTCTTCGGGAAAGGCAAGTTGGCAAATCTGACTATTCTGAAATTATTCAAAACCAATCACAAAATGTTTGGGAAGCCATGTCCTTGTTTGTAGTTGTCTTTTATACCATCACCATTTTACTGCTGACTGTTTAGTGGGAACGATTTACATACATTTATTATTCTGTCTATTCTTGAAAGGTGCAGTCGCTATATTTGAATAATCTCTTTATTCTCCTGATGTGACAATCAGAATATGAGAAAATTAAGACACAAGCCTACAGTGGAAAACACATCTGGAGAAGAATATTACAGCTGAACAGTTAGATCCCTTTCATGAGGCGACTTGATAGGAAATGAGAATTTTAATGAGAAATGCAGCATTTGATGAAAAAAGAACTACGAAGCTGAAAATATAAAGTTATGTATTTTAATTCACTAGTTGAATTGACGGATATTAATCTGTTTGTTTGTTTTCGACATTCAATTGCAACACTACGTTCGCACAATCAAGCGATAACATCAATATCAACCACTTTATTTGAAGGTAAAACATCTGAATATTGGCGACCCGGCGAGAAAAGTAACCGCATCATACTCGTGATACGTCACTTTCATGAGCTTCCTTCATCACTCCATGACAGCCAGATGGCTTCCAAAGCGTCGCGGCGTTTTAAATTATTCAGTATTTTGTAAACCACTAAGTGGCTGCAAAGAACCTGTACAACTGTCAATAACTCAAGGTATTAACAGTTTACCTTTAAAAATGATGAGTTACTATGTCTTACACAGCATGAAGAAAAATAACAAACGAGAAAGGAATGTGAAGTTTATAAGAGCAGTTCATTAGCTTACCGACTCCAATATTATGAGGCTTGACATACTAGCCGCGGGATGCTCTCGATTGTTATCCTACATTGCCACTTCAAGCTCAGATAGCCATTCTCGAGATCTATCCATTAAAGGGACGCTATATCGCTGGATTCTACTCTATATTGAACATTAAACTTTTGTAACCAATGTCAACAAATGCACAACTGAGTGCACATTCAACATCACGGGAGACAAGATGCCGTAAAGGCGCAAAAGAGACTGGGGACGATATACAGATTGCACCCATAACGCACCGCAATCGTTTCCCGCCTAAAAATGATTATTGCGGGAAGCTAAGCACGTTTTTTGTGAAAGTACCACCCCAGGTATGTATCGATCGTCCTTTTTTGTCGCGTTTAAATGGCTGACAGATTTTCGGCCAAAGGAGGATCACCAAGACTTGGCCGAAACTGGACACCGCGCATGAAACTCTCTGACACCCAGGGTAGGCGTTTTGTGATCAGTTGGAGAGACCAATATAAGCATCGCGCTTACGGCAAACGGCAAACGTGAGATTCAAGTTGAGAAATTTTCAAAACGAGAAATGAACAGATAAAAACGGCTTAAAGCAATTGTTATGGATAGAATTGGCGTGCGTGAATCTACCGATTTTCGTGTAGTCATAATGAAATTAACAGTAAACGATATAAAATAGATGGGAAACTTGGTCACGTGGTACTAATTCACGCTTGCTGTAAACGCGACGAGAAAATAGCTTCTAAATTTCTAGCCTGTTCCAAGCGTTCAGATAGTGGAGAGCGGTGCGAAGTAAAGAAAGCGATGAAAAGTAAAGGGGGACTGGGGAGAGAGAGTGCGGGAACTCTCTCACCTCTCCTCCTCCCTCGGTTTTATTTTTTCGCGCTCCTTTTTACTTCGCCCCGCTCCCCACTATCTGAGCGCCTGGAACAGGCTACTAAATTTCCAGACCTGCACAGGTACTCCCTGTGATGATTATGATGGGCTTAATATAACGGGGATTCTCCCGAACGTCTGGCTAGAGTAGGAGCACATAACTGAGAGCTAGAGCAACGCATATATTATGGGTTGGTCCTGAGGAGGTATATATCTATTTTGGTTCAAACACTCATTGTAAAATCCAACTCTACAAATTACTGCTATGGCTTTGGCTTGCTTTTTTGGTACGAACCACCTTAAGCGAAAAAACATCAAATATAAAAACCACAGTACTGCAGTTTATGTTAGAAGCTCCCTGAAGGTGCACAATCCTTTGTTTTCCGTGTTGGCAAATTGCGACGGGATGAATTTTATTGGTCAGTATGGGTCAGCAAGATCAAAATGATGGGAATGCTATTGAACGTTGTGCACCGTCAGGTCCACAAAAAACATATCACAAATGAGTCTGTTGGGTTTCATAACAATTCCAATCTACTAACTATGATTGTGGTTATTTTTCACTACGTCAAGGGATAAGGACAACAGCATTCAACAAACACTTTATTTGAAATACTTTCCATACACATCCTTTTTGTGCAAATTTTTATTTGTAAATTCCCAATGAGCTGAAAAATTATGGGGGAAATGCAATTAAATCTGTTAAAAAGTTTGATTTAAAAAAATAATAACTCTTAATTCTCGCAATAAGATAGGGTAATAAGTCTTTTTTTTCTCAAACAATAATGACTTGATGATACATACATTTATTTATTTATAAGATAGTTGCACTACGCGATTGTTTAGGAGGACGAATTATGACACAGTTTCCAGCAAAGTCTCGAAATAGCCAATAAAAAAGCGCCGTTACTTCCCCAAAAACAATCTCACTGTGCAATTCGACACAAAACTGACCCAGTCTCACAAACAACCTCAAATGGCCACTGATGAAGATCAAAATAAGACAACATGTTGGTGTGTGGTGCTTTGCATATGAAGTTATTCAAACCACCAGAATTTGGCAAAGATTCGTCTAGAATGTTTCCAATTACAAACACTACGGATTTTTTAAACTAAATGAAAAAGCTAAATGAAACTTTATATCTTGAAGTCATATTCCAACCACTTTTACTGTCCCATGGCCTTAGATAGATCTTAAACGCGTTTGAAATATTTCCGACAAGCGCCATATCTCTCAACATGTTTAATTTAAGCGATAAAAATAAGTAGGGCTCACTGTAAGAGAGCTACAACGAGATCTAAATTTGGCATCTTATCTTACAGCCTTACTTCTATATGGTAAACTCCCAAAAAATCCGGTATACTTTTCAAGCAGCTCCTCTAAAGCCCACAATCTTTTAACATACTTTACCCTTCTGAGGTATATCCTTTACCAGAATGAGAACTGACATCAAGCGTTTCATGATATTAATTAAGTTATCTTGTGCCAAATTTTATCTAGTCATTCTGAAAGTTTTCTTAAGGAAACAGGTTAGAGCATAATGTAGACTGTCTTGCATAATAGAGTTTAGACTATGACATCAACGGTTTTTAAAATTCCGGCGAATCAGACAAGAATTGATGCGGGCTGGCAGTTGGAGAGACCACCTTCTCCTCGGAGATACTTGTGTCACTGATGTCAGATACCCTGAGCTCTTTCTGCATGCTTGCGATATCATTGTCAATTTCCTCTATTTCGGCCTCGAGGTCCTCTAAAACAAAAGGATAATTAAAATAACCAAGTTACATTTGTTTTCACCCTAACGACTCATCACTTAAAGTTTGGTTGGGGTAGGTTCATCGCTCAACGTCGAGCATACCGTTCTCAGGTTCTATTTAACAGTGAAATATCGACTTGACTAGCAAATTTCAACGGTGGGTTATTTCCCGCAAATTATACACTGTAAATCAGAAAGATTTGTTTTAGCCCGAAAAATGGGGCCGTGCATGTTGGTGAGTAAAATACAGTCCTGTTTTTGAGTCTAATTTGGCTCCTGATCAGGGCCAATGCAGTCCAGCTACCTAGGGGTGATGCTGATTTGGACCCAGGGACTGAAGGGGACCGAGTGTGGACTAAAAGAGCCTTTTGATGGGGCTGTTTTGGCTTAAATGGTGCTCAGATGGCTCCAGGAGGGGCTGAATCAGACTTTAACCTGCAGGGCTGAATTGGTACTTTAGGGCTGAAACAGGCATTTTAATTTTCAGTGTATGTTCTGTCTTTACGAGTACTTTCAAGATTTAGGGAAATAAAAAAATATAGTAGGACACTAGGTATATATTTGCATGCTAACAAAGGGTCCATTTTGCAGAAATCTAAGAGCTATCGTCGGAAAATGACATTCTAACCTGGTAAGATGTCAGTAGCTTGATGACGTTCAGATTCCTTTGACTTTTCACTCTGAGAATGAACCATTGTCTGTGGGGATTTGCTCTTTAATTTCATTCCTTTTGTGGTTCCAGGTGGTTTCGTTTCTGTGTTTGACTCTGCTTTTGTTTCACTTTCCTCCTTACGAGGATCGTTTTTATCTCCTTTCGTTATGGCAAGCGCTGGGCTAACAAACTGGGGTTTCAAAAGTTTAGGCATTTTTGGTCCCTTGCCTTCCTTCGCTATGGGAGGCTTAAAAGCTTTAACTAACTTCGGTAAAGACTTCTTTAGAGTAACTTTTTCAGTCAAGGATACTGGCACATCTGTATTGGCAGAAGATCTTTTAAGAGTAAAGCCTGGTTTCTGGGGTTGTGGATGGTTTTCTGGGTGCAAACCGTCTCCAGATGGTTCTTTTTTACCAGACCCTTCTGAACTCGAGGCTAATTCTTCACTACCATTTCCTGGCTCCCGTCCTAATGAACTTCCGGCTGTTTTCTTCTTTAAATTTTTATTTGTCCCATTCTTTAGACTTCCAGAATCTTTTTTCTTATATCGTCCATTTCCCCCGCTTTCAGGACATGGACCTTCAGCTTTGGTGCTATCTCCAGTAGGCCTATCCCGTTCTTTGGTTTTACTAACGGCTTCTTCTCGTTGGTTTTCTATGGAATCGCCAAGATTAGACGTGCTAGGTGAAACAGAATTATCTCTTTTCACCTCCTCCCGCGCAGCAATGTCAGGAGGATCATTTTCTATCCTCGCAGCAACTTTTTTCTTCTTTCGATTACTTTCTACACACGCTGTTCGCTTCTTTTGCGTTTTCAGTAAAGTGCTTAAACTCATGACGTTAGCATCTGCCTTTTCGTGTTGTTTGTTTTTAGAAGAATTTTCCAAAAGGCTGATATTAGAGTTATCCTCCTTGCTTTTCTTAGCATTCTTTCTACCTCGCACTTCATCAGACTTCTTCCTGTTTTTAACAACTTTTACTTCTGAACTATTTGATTCAACCAACTTCTTGGCAGTTGGTTTAGTCGTACTCCTTTCATTCTCACATATGGTGTCCTCAGAATATGTCTTACTGTTCAAAGTGTTGGGAACAGGGGCCTCACAGTGATTACTGAGCACCATTTCTGTGTTTTTATTCTTGCCTTGATCTCCCTCTGTAGGTTGTTGAGTATCCATTTGCATCTCGATATTCGTACTTGTACTACTACTTTGAGGTGCTAATTCTACGAGAAATAAAAAATAAAGCGACGCAAACATTAGAAAACGTACTAACGTGTATCTAGGCTACTCTTTAGTACAGTGCTGGAGAAGTTACTAACTTAGACTGTCCAAGTGAATTTAAGGCTAGGTCACACTTTGCTTTTTCTGTGTTGGTGGGCAGGGGGAATCCTAGAATAACTGAGAACTCGTGACAGGGTCAAAATTCCTTGAATAAAAATTCAGTTTTGAAAGAGTACTATACTTTCAGCATTACAGTGTTACACATACTCCTCTTGTTAAAAATCAAGTTAATAGAAATAATTTTCATGGTGTAAAGAACTGAAGCCTTCAGTCCAGCATTGTCTGTCGAGGATATTTTAATTGTTAAATCGTTTCTAGGTTTTTTTTTGTTATTACATGTGATACGATCTAACTATAATTTCCAACAATTTCCTTAAATTCACAAATATAAGTTAATGTACCTTTACTTCCATTAGTTGTTATAGAGGCGTCCGTGGTGGCTTTCTTCGCTTCCTTCTTCCCTACCTTTTCCTTTCTGCCAGCAGAATCGGCTTGTTTAGTTTGTTGCATTTTCTTTTTCTCACTCTTGATCGGTGTTTTAGCTGTCTTTTCTTTGCGTGTTTTGGACTTGAGTGGGGTTTTTGGTTTCAATCTTTTAGGTTCATCTGGACTGCTATAACTGTTTTCACTGATGAAACTGTTTCCGCTGCTACTGAAGTCCTGACTTGATGAATCTGTAACTGTAAATAAAACATTCAACTTCTACCTCGTTAGACATGAAAACCCAAAATGTAGAAGTTTTTTTTCTATACCCCTTAAAAAAGAAACATCATTACTTAGCATTTATCGTCACAAGTGAGGATAGAGGTCTTTTATCCTCTCGTGATCATGAGAATCTTTACAAAACAAGTCCACATAAACTAAAGGCATAAGGTGTCAAACTTTATCTTTCAGGGTAATTCATGGAAACCAATTTTACTGCCCCACGATGTTGTCTGCCCTATTCCTGTCTCTAGAAAGAGGTGAACAACGCCAGGAAAGTACTATCAGATCATTGGAAATGTCTAACATTTAATTCGAATGCATAGGCGAACGGAAACTCTTTTAATCATTAAAATTTAATTCCACCGATTTCCTTTTCCTACCCGAATCACTAAGTTCTCCTGTCTCTAGGCTGATCGATCGTTTACTCTCTTCAACTGCTTTTCTACCAATAGGTCCTTTGTAGCGTGCTGCAAAGCCATATTCTGCAAGCCGACGCTGTAAATGAAAATAACTTTTTTCATGTTAAGAGAAAAAAAGAAGTACTTGTTAGTTATCCATAAAAATTAGGGACCTTATGTCAGGGTGGTATCTGCCGATCAGGGCAGCACCAAAGAGTTGGCATATATAATGAGAAGAATCAATTTTGCTAAGCCCGGGAACGAAATTTTCTTTGACGCACCTCTCCTGACTCCCTAGGAGTTACGTCATGTTGTGGCTATTAAAAAGGACATACTAAAATAATTTTTAACAACTGAGAAGCACATGCACCATTTGGCAAATGTATGACAGTGCTCCAAGCCCAGCCTTTTTCAAAGTCGCCTCTCCGCAACCTTAAATTATAAAATGGTCGCCAGGCATAAAATATTTTTTGTGCAACACTACATGAAAGTTTGAAAGAATCAAAATGGCTGCCGAACCATCGCAATCGAATTGGGCAAAGGTACACGCGACAACTCAAGGCTTAATACAAAAACGCGTCTCGCAAAATCTCGGGAATTTGGCACATGATCGCTGAACACAGGCCGCCATTTGGCGACTTTCACTGCAATTTTAGTCGCCATATTTTTTCTACTCGCCCAAAACGGTCACAGCTTGGAACACTGTCCAATGAACTCCTGCTCACTAATAATAGTTTTGATACCGTGACTCCGCATCATATGATGAAAACCAGCATTACCTGGTCACGATCTATGAAAAAGTTACTGTTTGGCGAGACAAACGAGCTTTAGCCTGCGTAACAAGCGTTTCTGTTTGGTTTCGGAGAAAAGAAAGTCCAAGGAAGGGCATTTTCGGTTTTGACAGCCCGAGAAATAAAAGAGGGGGAAGGGGAAGGGGAAAGGGAAGGAAGGAAACTTCTTCCCAACCCCTCCCGGCTCTTTCACTTGCGCCATTTTTCGCGCGGTCTTTGACTCTCGCTCCTCGTTGTTTGCTCTGAAACCAAACGGAAACGCTTGCTACGCAGGCTAAACGAGCTTCATTAGAAAAAGGTATTGACATAGCATGGTACCTGAAGAGGCAACTGTGCTGCCCTCCGTGCTGCCAGGGTAGCTGCGGTGAGCTGTCTTCTGTAATTCTTCCCTTTAAAAGTAACCTGGATTTCAAAGTATTTAGAGAACGTACGAAATAATTCGCAAATCCGACCTCCTGAAAGATACATTCCTTGCGAGAGTAAATGAATCCGGCACCAACCTGAAAGAGACGCTTTGGGACGCCTTAAGTTAAGTTCAGAGCTTTCCCTAACTTCCTTCTAACCAGTGGAGGGGTGAATATGTTTCTATGTTCATAATTAATTTGTTCTGGATGGCAAATCAGGGCGAAAACAAGAGACGTCTACAGCGTCTTTGAGAAAATACTTTATTTGCTGAATGATGTTGCTAGCATAATATAATTATGACAACAGAATTGCATATATCACAGTTTTCTGTCCACTACTTGAGTTATTTCAACCCTCATATAATACAATTTGACGAGTGAATTTCTCCAAAACACTAACAGTACTGTCAACTCTCCCGGATAATCCGGGAGACTCCCGATTTTGAACCGTTTCTCCCAGTCTCCAGATTAGAGTCGATTAGTTGCCAAAGTCTACAGTTTCTTGTAGATGCGACTTTCTGTCAATGAAATTTCAAATATTTTGCGTTGTTTGAGCTATTTAACCTTTAACATAGAACGTTTCCTCAGATACCCCGGTATGCCATTGTCTTATAAGCAATAATGTGATTGGTGGGAAGTAAACCAATCAGGTACAAATGTTACAATTCCAACAACATCTTTTTCCCAAGCTTTTTTTTACACAAATGACATCATATTTCGCGCATTATGACGTCATCTATTATCCTTTCCCTGACAATTCCCAATATTTGAAGATGGGGGCCTCACAGTCCTGCACTAATCAAACCACACTACAAGAGAATACTTGTAGAGTAGTAGTTAAACTGACCTTCCCCATGTCCTCTGGGTCGTCATCACAGGAAAAGTTTCGGATACAAACGGCATTCACCCAAGTTCTCGAAACTTCTTTATCGAAAAATACCACGTGGTACATCTCCTGAAATCAGATAATTCACAATTATTAGATGATGTCTTCAAAATACACTGTATCCGAACTATTCGGCAAATCTCAAAAACGTTGCCTGGTAGCTGTTTTATTATACATCTTTTGCAAAGGAAATAATGACGTAGCACTGTCACAAGGAACAGAGTTTAATATTTTCCAAAACAAATTAAAGAGTAGAAATGATATAACTTGACATGGCTGTTGGAAATCATGCACTCGCTGATTTCCAAAATTAAGTGTAGGCTCTTAGCCAATGAGAATTCGGATTGTCAGAACATCTTTTTTACGTCAGTAGAATTATGATGTATGATAATAATGTATTTTAGGTAAATGCTATTCAATTCAGTAAGGGCTCTTCTGTATCTACTGAGTTATGGTAACAGATATTGCTTGTTATTAATTCCCGACGTTTGGTATTTACCGGTGTGACATTGTCTTCACCCGTTTCACAGTAGTAACCATAATCTGGGTCGTCCTCCATCATTGCTGGCCACCTGGCAATGAAAGGGAATTATATTGAGACTGTTATTGCCACCTTTAATTGAGATTTGCAATCACAACAGAAATCATCCACAGACAAATACGTGACTATCTTCAGGACTTACCAAGTAGAGTTTTTCTTTTACCTGTTTCTAAATACGGGTGAAGATCAGCTTAGGTTTACTGACAACTTAGTGGTTATTAGAGACGTGCTCTTCTTTCAACAGCAGTTTAACGAAAAGAGTTTGAAAACGCCCCTCCCCCAAAGCGGTTCGTTCTGTTCCGCAGGATGCTCCAAAACCTATGTCCGATTGTCCGGGACAGGGAGAAATTCAGTTCGGACATGTGAACCTTTGACATTTATTAGAAAAAAATACAGAAACAGTTGAAGATTGACTTTAAATTACAGTAGAGTTAAAATGTATCTTATAGTCATAAAAGCAAAACTCATATTTGACAAAATAACGTTAAATAATCCTTTCAAATTTGCCATACCTCACCCATTTTATTTGTTTTTGCGAGCTCCATTTGGCGTATGAACCTGGCAAAACGTTTTGGACAAGAACTCTTGGGTTTCGACAACCAAATTAAATATAGTGCTTGTCCGAGGGACAAATAGATAAAAAAATTTTTCTCTTACTCTGGTTCCGCAAACGCGGACTATACATAAATGTAATTCACAGCATTTACATAAAGGAACATGTAATACCTTTGGCAGGTCTACCCAGAGAGGTCTACCTATGATCAATAAAGTGGGCAATTTTATTTGAATGGCCGCTTACGAGAATGGATTGTAGGAAATGACCAATTGTAAATTAAGAGCATTTTTAGTAATCCGAAGGTGGTCGCACACTGTTAAAAGCATGGTGAGTATGAGGGAGGGGAAATCTAAGCGTTCTGTTTCATTAAGTAAACATCCTCTGGATTGTCTGTAGGTATAAATTTGTCTGAAGACTGAATGTCCTAACCGATGAACGTAACGAGACGTTCTTATGGGTGCTTCTTTGAGCAACAAAACATTTGTCTTTTTTCATTCACTCGATTTCTTTGAATACAAAATCAAACAAGTTTGATCCTACACAAAAGCCTTTTACTGTCCTATTTGATTCTTGAAGTGGTTTCCAAAATCTGTACGTAAAAAAGTCTGAATTGTTAATTTAAGACGGTGCCTTTCTGAATAGTGTATTACGAGAAAAAGGAGAGCAGAATTACCAGGGATAACCAACCATCTTGGCCCACACGATTGCACCACTCGGGTAAGGTGTGTACATCACGTCCAAGTTGCCTTCTTGGCTGTCGAATGTTTCTTCCGATGCACTACACTCATTATATTTTTCATCTAAGGGGAAGAAATTGAGACCCACGTAAGAGCTTTTGAAGTCGTTTATAAGGAAGCTGCAAGTGAAAAAGGGTTGCTTTATAGATTTAGAACAGACCCTATGTTGTAAACAATTGTTCTAAAGGCGAAGTAGAGGGAAACAGACGTTCTAGAACAGTTATTAGAGTTTTGTTTGCTCTAGGGAGTTATGCTCCATGGGATAACACACGAAACGTTCCCGTCCAATCGGAAGAAGAGAAAATAATTATGCCAGGTAATAGTTCATCGACAGATACTTTAAAGCAAGTTTAATAGTCAAACAAGAAGTACTTTCTAAGAATTAGCAAGCCAAGAGTGACCTACTTTCGTTCATCGCACACACCCATCTTTCGGGCAGCTCATTTGGGTCAACATTGCTCTGAAGAAATCTCCATTTACCACAACTAGGAATGCTGCACTGAGCCCAAGTTCCCTGTTTGCCTGTACCCTGGAGGTCAGCAAGGAGTTCAGAGTTCTGTAATATCATCAAAAAAGTGTTAAGACAAGTCTTTTTTCTAAGGCTTATCTTAATTGAGTTAAGCATTATCATCAAGTTCCTTTCTACATTTTCCCTAATCTGAGATCAGGTTCTATTTTCGCTTCGCTTTGTAAATAACATTCCGTTAAAAATGGGCCTGATCTCAGGTTACATTTTCCCTACCTCACTGGATTCAAAGCTATTAATCAGAAGCAAACTGTAATCAAACCAAGCAGTCTCTACTGGTTATTCACGTTTTGTAAAGATTTCAGAACATCCTGCATCCACATAGCTCCCTTCACCCTTCCATTTTTCAACAAAAGATATTGATATTCCGGTTTCCAGATACAAGTTGAACAACATAAACCAAACCTACCTCTTTCAGTGTAATGGTATTTTGTCCTTGGTCGATGCCTTTTCGTTTTCTGACCTTTCTGGGTTTTGCTAGTTTTCTTTTTTGCTTTGCTTGGCTTCCTGTATTCGATAGTTGAGAATCATCTTGACTCTAAAATGATTCAAAGGAAAATAAAATTGAAAAAAAAAAACCAATAAATTTCCATACTTGTCATACTTTACTTTCTCAAGTTTTCAACTTGGCTACGATTTTCATAGACTATGACTGTATAATTAGAGTTTTTACCTGACTCGCCACAGGGTCATCCTGACTGTCATTACAGCTAGTTGGAACACACTGCATATCCTCATTGTCACATCCAGGCTTCCTAACTGCAAAGGAGCCAAAATTGATTTTTATTGGTAGGTTATCGAGGTGAATGCTTTTACTACATGGTTGTCTTGTCATGTTGATGATTACAGATAGTCCAGATTTTGTAAATGTTAAGGCAAGGTCAGTACCAAAAGACGGTACAATACCGCAATAATATACATGAACATTACAGGAAACTTGCATTAGAGTGAGACAAGTCTCTTTCATGCAAGATCAGTTTTCTTGAAACCAATGCACAGGTAACTTAAAGGAGTGAATAGAACAAGGCAAAAGGGAAAAACTGAAGCTAGATAGTTGCACTAACAAACATTTCTGCACCTGATTGAAAAGAAAATCCTATGATATATTGAAGAGGATATAGATAAAAACGACTGACTATTGACTGAATTAAAAAATGAATCTTGATGACTGAATCACCAAATGGATGAAGAAAGGACAGAAGGAAGGGAGGAAGAATGAAAGGAAATAGAGTCAATCAATGATAAACAGAATGATGAACAACCTAATAAGCACACAAAAAAACCCATCAATTTTTTGAATATGAATAAAATACAAGAATGAAATTGTCTATATTCATTGCATATGTCTCTCTCATTTCTCTTCATTTACTTCCCTTTTCCAAGAAGCAAAAAATAGGAGATGTCTGTACGTAGTCAAATATAAAAGATAGACAGATAATTGAACAATTAATGACACCTTTTGCAATCTCTTCTTGCTCTGTAACACTATCTTGCATGTTTTGTAAGGATTCTGACAACTCAGGATAGAGATCTGGAACTGGTACATTCAGTTCCTCACTGTACTCAATATCCCACACTGGCTCTTGTATACTGGCTACCAAGGACTCGGAGGAAGGAAGCTCTGTAGAACTGTTCTATCATATGAAATGTCAAGAAGATGTACAAAAATTAGTAAATTCAGTTAAGTTAAGATTGGCATTCAGTGATATCCCTTTCGACTATTGACACTTTAACTGTAACTTAGCCAATTTATTGTAAAGCTGAATTTGTGAGCAGGCAAAATGAGGGTAATCTTGCACTCTGCTTGGCATCTCCCCATCTCTCCCACTCGGGATTTCCCGCATTGATTCCGCGAGAAAAAGTTCTCTTTTTGCTCATAGAATAAATCCTTTCGCAAACAATTCTTGAAAGGACCACTTGGACAAACAGCAAGGAGAGAAAGACGGATCTTGGTGTAGATCAGGATCAGGAATATAAAATAACACTTAAAAATTTAGGACAAGGCTGATCAGATAGATAAAGGTTGGTAATATATTTGCCCAAAATTTTGACTAGACAAAACTAGTTTTCCTCTTTATTGACCAAGCACGATGGTTGTATATTAGCCTTGTTCCTTTTTGTATCCTTATGGACAAAGATGCAAAGAATAATTTGGTCAATGTCCAGCCATCTTGACCTCACTGAGCTTGGTCAATAATGCAAACTAAACAAAACAAAGTGGCAAAATACTCAAGGGGCTCTTAAGAACAACTTTCCTACTTAAAACGGTCCACATATTCATTTTGCACATGGAGTTACGTTGTTGCAATAACCGATTTACAATACTAAGATATATGATATATTCAATGCCACCTTACACCATTTAACTTCATGCTGTAACAAGAAAAATAGGAAAAAATTTCACTGACCTCAAACTTTCTAATATAATGTCGTCCACCTTGTACATATTCCTTCATGTAAAGTCATTTTATTCCTTATTTTTTTTCTTTTTTGTAAAAACAGGTGGATCTAATAGATGGCTGTAGAAAGAAAGCCATTTTTAACAATCTATCCTTACCTTGAGAACTTTGCTGTTAGATTTTCTCTTTGATTTCAAGATCTGTTCTTTGGCTTCAGAACCTTTGTTTTTACGTTTTTCTGAAGAAACAAACGAGAATCATAACATGAATTAGAATCATTGATGCATGAAGTCTACAGCAACAAAACACTTTAATAACAAAAGTCTTCAAATATTGAGACCCAGTGGTCACTTGGCAAAAGTGAAGTGATTGATGGCTTTTTTTGTCGCTCTCAGAAATAATTTTGCTACTCGTGATAACGCAGTCTACATTACTTACAGAAACATTAGGGACGCGTTAAAAAGCTTATCCTGTTTGGGAGGATATCTTCATTTTCTGCTAAATAAGCACACCCGTAAATAATAACTCAAATTTCCAATCAGTATGTCCTCAAAGCAACTGCTCACTAGCCAGTTGCAAAATGCATGTAACAACTAGTGAGAGCCAACGTACTTTATTGATGTCCCAGAGCTTTGGCATGATTAACAGATTGCTACGCTGCTAAATTTAACTGGCTTCCGGAGAACTCAATCCCGAGGATAAAAGGATAAAACGGGCTATGTAATAACATGTCAAATGAGATCACTTAAAAAAAAGATAAAAAAAGAAGAAAAAAAGAAAAAAGATATAAGATATAAGGTTAAGTCGCTTGACGCCGGCGGTGAATCTGTATTTCTTGAAAGTGTGAAAATATTGTGACTTTTGACAGCTGGACATAAGAAAAACCACAAAAAATGTTCTTATAATTTCATTTTTATCTTTTAAAGATGTAATTTGAACAGCAATTCCCGGCTCTTACCTACTGAGTTCTTCTTAAAAGCCGAAGTCTCGCAAAATGACGGAGAGGTGGTCGCCATTTCTCATTTCTTCATCAAAGTTTCCCGCCAACTGCATGACAGCCGCGTTTTCCCGTCACGCGTCACGTGGTACTACAGTTTCACTTTTGCTCTTTTTTGCGTCTTTTCGTTGCAGTTTTAATTTTTTAAGTCTTCGCGCCGGTATTTAATATGCGTTTCAAGGAGCAAGGAAAAAAACGCCTCTTCATTCGGTTTTCGCTTAAAGGGCAAATAAGAAAAAATGACGTCATAGACAAGTAACAGCTCGCGCAACTAGCGTAGACAATATCGCGTGAAATGTACTACCACAGAGGTTTTCACTGTGTCTTTGACACTATTTATCGTAGTGAGAATGGTGAATTGTATAGCCTGCGTATCTGGCGGTTTTTTCTTTAGTGCTGCGCAATGTAAGAGTTACAGCCCTGCGAAAGCTGAACCGAGAACGCAACAGAAAACTACGGGGCAGAAGGCAGTGAGACACAGCGTTTCCTTTGCCTTCCTTTCCCCTCTGGCCCTTCCCCTCTTTATCTCGCCCCATTTTCCGCGCAATCGCTACTCAAACGCCAATCTAAAAAATCACGGTTTTTTCCGCAATGACGTATACGTCTAATCAGCTTGTGTTTGGTTCACGTCCTTGCTACAAGGTTTTGCTCGACGGTTCTTCAGCTTTGGCCCCTCTACCCAGACACCAGCGTTCCCATCCTCCAATGACATCAGAAATTTGGTAAATGAAGTACCACTAAGAAGACGTCTTACAATTAAAACATTACTTTATTTCATTCCACGCGATTTTTTGAACTTTCAATGGTAAAATACCGAAAGCATTAACCTTATGGCTGAGTACTGACTGACTACTACTAAAACTATAATGGATCTTATTTTCATAAAAAGAATTATCAAAAGTAAGACAGTGCACACAGCTTTATGCTCTTACAGTCAGTGGCGGATCCAGGCCTTCAGATAAGGGGGGGGGGGGCGGTCATCCAGACCCTGAGATAAGGGCGGGGGGGCGGTCTCCAAAAAAATTTTTTTCGGCCCTTCGGGCCTCATTTTGGTCGAAAAATAAGGGGGCCCCAAGGTCCCCCGGGCCACTTCCCCGAATCCGCCACTGACATGTACCAAACGCAATAAATATAGAGCAGAAAGGTAAGCCGTGAAGAAAACCAGCATCAATATAACATCCTGGGAAACAGCCCAAGTCTACCCTTCAACTAAGTGAACGTCTCACCAAGGGAAAAATTCTGGGTGAAGGGAGGGTTAATGGACAGACTCCTACAATCTTATACTAATCTGAAAATCCTTACTCTAGTTAGTAGGACCTTACGAAACCACGACGGCGACGGCAATGTCAAAAAAGCAGTGGGTTTTCAAACAAGCAAAACGACAACTCTGCACGCTTTTCTGTAGATTTTGTAGTTGCCGTCCCTGCACAACTACTACATGAAATGATCAAATCTTAAGTTTACTTGAGAACGCAAACAGCACAGCTGACACGGCGATACATTTTACTATCTCAGTCTGGAGCCGGACGCGGTCCCCTATTAGACGAAGTCCCCTCTCTTAAGCTCCAACCTACAATTGTAGCACATAACTGGGTGACTTGGAATAAGTTTTAAAGGATGCAACGTCTATATTTTACTAGTCTCCTACAAAGCCGTTCTTTGTGCCGTCACGTAACGCTCCTCCTCACAAACTTGTTTGCGGGGAGAATTACAGCGTTGTGTGGCGACACAAGGAATGGCTGTTTATAGCAGACTAACATCTTAGTGACATTTCATTGGCGTCGCAGTTGTCGTATTGTAACGTCCTAAGTATACCTGTAAACTACAATAACCGCCACTTTTTTGGGACACCTGGAAATCACCTTAGTGATCACAAATCAAATTTATAATGTATTGTTTTTAAAAACTAAAGGGTTTTGTTTACCACTGCAATGGAAAGCTACGGTTTTTATAGACTTGGCTGTTCTGTTGTTTCGTTCTGTTGTTGTTGTCCTTTTTTTAAGGCTGATAACCTTTATTTTGATTTTTTTGGTGTTAAAACACACGTTACTCTATTTATATGTGTCTGTAAGGCACGGTTTATATGGGGGGGGGGGGGGGCGGACCCTGCCTGGATAGAGAGGTTCACCCTCGAAGCCGAGTCAATGTTATTGAGCGTTTATATAATGAGAAAAAGGTTGACCTCTTCACCCAAGCCAACAGCGCTAACGCATGCTCTGATTGTCTCGCTTCTTAACAGAGTTGATCCGGCTGGGTGAGCCAAAGTGTTAATAATTATAGAGAAAAGATGGCCCAGCTAGGAGAGTAACCCTTCTATCCGAGCCAACTTCTTGTTTCTCAAGTAAACGGGGCGCCAAGTTTTGTAAGGAAATGCAGGAAAAGTTGGCTCGCCCAGGGTAGCTCGAGTAGGCCGGTGATCCTTCTACCAGTGACACGTTTTCTCCATATAAATGGGGGCTAAGAACCTGGGTGCATTAATAAAGACACACTGAATAATCCCTTTTAAGAAAGCGGTTTCTAAAACAGTGTATGTTTAGCGCTAGTTGGCTTGCTTGCTCCAAAATTAAGGTACATTATTTACGTACTAAAAGTTAACAAAGAAAAATTGAAATGCTGGAAGAAGAGAAAGCTCGCAAAAGTACCTAACAAGGAAATAAAACAGGCCACCAAAATGCGAAGTCCAGGCGACCAATCAAGTGACTCGCGCACTAGAGTCCGAATATAACTTTGACCCTGTTTAACCAGTTTTTTTCGTCCAAAGACTGAGTAGACAAAATTCACGTCAACGAAGTCCACATTTTTATTATGCCTGTCACTTCATGTGCAGTAATGCAACCACTTCATAGACGAGAATCTGATCCAAGAAACGGACAATTCAGTGCACCCAAATTACTAATATTTGCTTTCAGTCTGGACGAACATCAAAGGTACTCAGCGGAATAAGTTTAAGCGACAAAAGAAAACAAATCAGATTCAGGACGACACTTTCGTAGAGCACGTTTCATTGAAATTACGCAGCAAGATTGCTGTGTTCGCTCGTAGAGTCCAAGAACGAAAGGATATCGACGTATGCTCATTAGGAGAAATCGACCAGTTTCCTATTAGTAAAACACGGACCGGAAAGCCTTTCCGAGCTAGTAACAAAGATATGCCAAATGCAACCTGGACAAACAGGGCGTTCGACTGACCGTATTCCGGATTTGAAAATAACGCTACGTTCACACAGGACCGGAGGAATTTGCGACCGGTTGAAAATTTGTGCGTTTTTAATAAGTGTTCCGTTCACACGGAACCACCTTAACCGTACGAATATTTAGACGCCTAGCCGTTCAAAGTTCCGTGTGAACAGAGCAAAATATCGAACAGTCCCGTGTGAACGAATTGTCCGGTCAAAGTTTTAACCGGTCGAAAATTCGTCATGTGCCGTGTAAGCGTAGCCTAAAAGCCACTTGTTTTCAGTGGCGGATCTAGGGAAAGGGCCCGGAGCGCCCCGCATCCCCTCTTATTTTTAGATTAAACTGAGGCCCGAAAGGCCGAAAAAATCTTTTTGGTAGACCGGGACGCCCTCCCCACAACCACCACCACCCTTATCTCAAGATCTGGATCCAACACTGGTTTTTGCTTTCGTTGCATGCAGCAAAATCCAGAAATCTGGTGGACATTAAAAGAGATTTTTCACAAATTTCTACGTATTCTTATTTCGGAATACGATCAAGTGAAGTCACTCTACAGCATATACGAGACTACCTCGTCAACGTTCTAAATATGATAAGTCATTCCATCGTGCCCACAAATCAGTCACGCTCATTTTTCTATTTGTCGTTTCAGTACGTGCAATGAGATGTTTGCATTTCTTTTTGTTTTCTTGTTTGTCTGCGAAGACTGGTTATTTTCGTCAATAATAAGAATGAAAAAGAAAAATTACATATTTAGAGAGGCTTTCAACCTCTTGTAAAAATGACTCTTTGTTTCAAACTAAACCTTTTAACCCAAAAAAGGGTCCTGAAAAACTACAACAATGATAACTTTGAAGCAAAAAACATACATGCTGTTCTTTTCCTATTCTCATTACTAAGCAAATAAAAAATAATAACAGTTTTTACAGTTCTCTCCACAAAAGGTACAATCTACCTTGATCGACCAACGCCGAATTCCCCTCATCCCGACCCAAATTTTCGTGCAATCCCGTGATCTCGATGGTTATTTGTGGCATCCCGCCTCCCATGGATACTTTCGATCCCGAATCCCCAGCTTTAAATAAGGGAAATCCTGGATCGCGAAAAACATATTGGGGACCCTCTTGGTCAGTAACAGTATTTACGGTACAACACTACTTTTAAGTCGTAGCCGGCGAGCAAGCTCTCAAGTTGATCTCACCTTCGCTACCCATGAAATTTATTCCAGATGACTGGAAACATGTCAAGATATTGCAGCTAAAATATTACGAGACAGCCAGTCTCTGGGAAAGGGGGAGGGGGATGCCTGGGGATTTATTAATATCTATGTCAACTTACATATAGGTGATTAAAAACTCTGGGTACGACTGGCCATTTTCAAAGACAACAAACAAGGAGGGGTTGGTTTTGTTATCACAGCAGGAGTCAAACAAAACGTGAGGGGTAGAAGGGTCTTTTGCTGGTGGACGAGTCAGTGAGCTGTTACCATTGGTGTAAGAACCAACCAATACTCTAGCCAGGAACATTTGCTTGGAACTCCTGGATGTAACCTGACTTGAGGTGCAGCGATCCGAGTAGTTGGCCCTACAGGCAAAATAACTTCCCTTCCCGTACGTTGTGCCGTGCTTGCCACACATTCGCCAGTCAAAGCCCTGCTGGCAGATGGCATCGACGGTGTCTGATTTGGCTCCGTGAAACAGCTGCCGTTCTTCGGGTTCTTTGCCAGCCACTTTGGCCATGCGACCTTTTTCCCTAAAAAGGAAAAAAAGGGTTTTGTCTTACGTTTAACTTTGCCTAGTGCCTAGGACTTATTACTTCGCGCGGACGATGCATTTTGGGTCACGTGGTCCGAGCGACTTTTTCAGTCTCCAAGCCGTTCGTCTCGGATACGTCACCGAAATGCATTGACCGAGAAGGCATGGGAAGACGCCGCACAAGGACTAGGCAACGTTTACCTAACATAAAGCGCAATTTAGGTTTGAGATTAGGGCATTTTCTCCGAATCCAGCAGGGTCACTATCTGAGCTACAATCGGCGACAAACTTAGTTGAGACACTTTGTCCAAAAGGGCCTCTCTGGCGTTTCGCCAACTTAAAACAAAAGGGGAAATAAAGCCTTCATTCCCCCTTACCCCGTCCATACAATCTTGTGCCGCTGTTCGAGCAACATGTCAAAAACAACAAATACTCCAAATTTGAAAGGAGAGGAGAGGGACGGGTGTGGACTGGATTGATTTGTTCTTCGAAGTTGTCCCATTTGAGGAGAGTACACAAACAATTTTGTCGCCGATTGAAGGTACCTGTCAATACCACACCCATTCTCTCTGAACACGTCCCCGAATGGGTTGACGAGCTTGTCGTAGCATGAGAAATTTGCTATTCGAGGATTACATGACATGCGCACGAGGAAATAACTGTCAAAATCATTGGGAAAACATAAAGGCAAACTGCTCTGTTCAGTTTCGGGGAATTTAAGCCAAAGTTTCAGAGTTGGCTATTTGCTGAATTTGCAGAAACCATAGCTTTTTGTGTATCAATTCAGCAATGGCCACTGCGGAGACGGTTTGTCCAATTTCCACCTTAAAGGACCGTTAAAAGGCGCATTCAGGGAATTGTAGCCTTTTCAAAATCCAAGCATACTCCCCTTTTGATTAACAACTCGGTTAGTACACCATTTGCTTATCACAAATGCTTTGAATTCAATATTGTCTGGCCTTAATAGGAGTCACGACCTCTGTTATTACAGCAAATATAGAGAAGTGAAGTGTGACGTCACAAAAATTCAAATTTGTAAAGTTTAGGAAGAGATGAAAAAGGCCTCTCTGTCAAAAATCAGCCCTTCAGAGCAAGTTGGTGAAGAGATACAGCACCGATTTGCTTCGAGGACCGCATACAAATCCTTCTAAAATTAGCTTGGATCGCAACGTTAACGATCCAACCCTGTTTAAGAGAAATTATAAGGCGTCCTCAGAGCATAACATTGCTTATATCTCCACCAACAGGCTGATTATTAGCAAGTGCCACATTTTTCGTCTTGCTCTTTCTGGATATGCCAGCCAATCTCAAAATTTCCCAAATTGAGTTTCTGTGACGTCATCCCTACTCTCCTCTATAGAGGGGAGGATGAATAGGTTTTTCAGTAGAAGGAATGACATAAATCACATACTGATTGTATCGTATCCATAAATCTGGGTTCTGCACTCGCTCTATCTTGATAATTATATGACGTCCCTCCATGGTATCCTGAAATTTCTTTTCGGTCCTCTGGTATTCATCAGATATGGTTTCCAGTTTTACACATGAGAAGTCTTCACCAACAGAGATAGGACGCCAGTGAGATGGTAAACAATCCAGTTCTGCTGACGCTGAACTTGATTTTGGACTGGCCAAGGCAGTTGCTCCACACCTGATTAAATAAATGACCAGAGGAGTACTAAAGTTAAGCAACGGTTACAGGGTAAGAACAAAGTCGTCCTACTCTTTTGCTTACACTTCCATAATGCCAGCACGACTGTAGACTAGGAGCAGAGGTTTCTCTCTTGCATGGCTTTTAGCGTTTACGAAGTGTTTCGCGTAGCTTGTCTACGCGACAAACAAGCCACGCGAATGACTTCGTAAACGCTAAAAGCCATGCAAGAGAGAAGCCAGCCAGTGAGCAGGCTCCGCAGTGGGGTAAAAGGCTAAAAAGGGGATGAAAAAGGAAAAGAGAAACCTCTGCTCGCAGGGTATTACGACCGAGGTGCGATCGCAATGACATTTTACTTATCGAAGCGTAGTGATCGCGATCGCGATTTAGTAAAGTCAAATCCGTCATCTCAGTATCAGGGCTACGATCCGGGCGTTACAATCACGATCGCACATGATCGTAGTGGCGTTGTATTCTATATCGCGCGATTTAGTGAAGTTGCATCGGCGATCTCTGACTGCCATGATTTACATGGATAAGTTTGGGAAAATCCTTCGACACTACTTGAAAGAGCGCCATAAAATTAGTAAACTTGCCAAGTTTTAGGGTGATGCGTCTTGAGCGTGGGAAGATATGGTTCCGCAAATTTGCGAAAATTTACAGGCCTTTGTATGATGGGGGGCAAGTTTGTGCTGTGTAAATTTTCTGCGCGGAGCTATATCACTTTCCCACTTTCCAACTTGGCAAGTTTACTAATTTTGAGGCGCTTTTTCCAGTGGTTTCGACAGATTTTCCGTAATTGGTTCATGTCAGAAGGACCGGACGAATTTGCGACCGGTTGAAAATTTGTGCGTTTTTAATAAGTGTTCCGTTCACACGGAACCACCTTAACCGTACGAATAGTTAGAAGCCTAGCCGTTCAAAGTTCCGTGTGAACAGAGCAAAATATCGAACAGTCCCGTGTGAACGAATTGTCCGGTCAAAGTTTTAACCGGTCGAAAATTCGTCATGTGCCGTGTAAACGTAGCCTAAAAGCCACTTGTTTTCAGTGGCGGATCTAGGGAAAGGGCCCGAAGCGCCCCGCATCCCCTCTTATTTTTAGATTAAACTGAGGCCCGAAAGGCCGAAAAAATCTTTTTGGTAGACCGGGACGCCCTCCCCACAACCACCACCACCCTTATCTCAAGGTCTGGATCCAACACTGGTTTTTGCTTTCGTTGCATGCAGCAAAATCCAGAAATCTGGTGGACATTAAAAGAGATTTTTCACAAATTTCTACGTATTCTTATTTCGGAATACGATCAAGTGAAGACACTCTACAGCATATACGAGACTACCTCGTCAACGTTCTAAATATGACGAGTCATTCCATCGTGCCCACAAATCAGTCACGCCCATTTTTCTATTTGTTGTTTCAGTGCAATGAGATGTTTGCATTTCTTTTTGTTTTCTTGTTTGTCTGCGAAGACTGGTTATTTTCGTCAATAATAAGAATGAAAAAGAAAAATTACATATTTAGAGAGGCTTTCAACCTCTTGTAAAAAATGACTCTTTGTTTCAAACTAAACCTTTTAACCCAAAAAAGGGTCCTGAAAAACTACAACAATGATAACATTGAAGCAAAAAACATACATGCTGTTCTTTTCCTATTCTCATTACTAAGCAAATAAAAAATAATAACAGTTTTTACAGTTCTCTCCACAAAAGGTACAATCTACCTTGATCGACCAACGCCGAATTCCCCTCATCCCGACCCAAATTTTCGTGCAATCCCGTGATCTCGATGGTTATTTGTGGCATCCCGCCTCCCATGGATACTTTCGATCCCGAATCCCCAGCTTTAAATAAGGGAAATCCTGGATCGCGAAAAACATATTGGGGACCCTCTTGGTCAGTAACAGTATTTACGGTACAACACTACTTTTAAGTCGTAGCCGGCGAGCAAGCTCTCAAGTTGATCTCACCTTCGCTACCCATGAAATTTATTCCAGATGACTGGAAACATGTCAAGATATTGCAGCTAAAATATTACGAGACAGCCAGTCTCTGGGAAAGGGGGAGGGGGATGCCTGGGGATTTATTAATATCTATGTCAACTTACATATAGGTGATTAAAAACTCTGGGTACGACTGGCCATTTTCAAAGACAACAAACAAGGAGGGGTTGGTTTTGTTATCACAGCAGGAGTCAAACAAAACGTGAGGGGTAGAAGGGTCTTTTGCTGGTGGACGAGTCAGTGAGCTGTTACCATTGGTGTAAGAACCAACCAATACTCTAGCCAGGAACATTTGCTTGGAACTCCTGGATGTAACCTGACTTGAGGTGCAGCGATCCGAGTAGTTGGCCCTACAGGCAAAATAACTTCCCTTCCCGTACGTTGTGCCGTGCTTGCCACACATTCGCCAGTCAAAGCCCTGCTGGCAGATGGCATCGACGGTGTCTGATTTGGTTCCGTGAAACAGCTGCCGTTCTTCGGGTTCTTTGCCAGCCACTTTGGCCATGCGACCTTTTTCCCTAAAAAGGAAAAATAGGGTTTTGTCTTACGTTTAACTTTGCCTAGTGCCTAGGCCTCATTACTTCCCGCGGACGATGCGTTTTGGGTCACGTGGTCCGAGCGACTTTTTCAGTCTCCCAGCCATTCGTCTCGGATACGTCACCGAAATGCATTGACCGAGAAGGCATGGGAAGACGCCGCACAAGGACTAGACAACGTTTACCTAACATAAAGCGCAATTTAGGTTTGAGATTAGGGCATTTTCTCCGAACCCAGCAGGGTCATTATCTGAGCTACAATCGGCGACAAACTTAGTTGAGACACTTTGTCCAAAAGGGCCTCTCTGGCGTTTCGCCAATTTAAAAAAGGGGGAAATAAAGCTTTCATTTCCCCTTACCCCGTCCATACAATGTTGTGCCGCTGTTCGAGCTACATGTAAAAAACAACAAATACCCCAAATTTGAAAGGAGAGGAGAGGGACGGGTGTGGACTGGATTGATTTGTTCTTCGAAGTTGTCCCATTTGAGGAGAGTACACAAACAATTTTGTCGCCGATTGAAGGTACCTGTCAATACCACACCCATTCTCTCTGAAGACGTCCTCGAATGGGTTGACGAGCTTGACGTAGCATGAGAAATTTGCCGTTCAAGGATTACACGACATGCGCACGAGGAAATAACTGTCAAAATCATTGGGAAAACATATAGGCAAACTGCTCTGTTTAGTTTCGGGGAATTTAAGCCAAAGTTTCAGAGTTGGGAGTTTGCTGAATTTGCAGAAACCATAGCTTTTTGTGTATCAATTCAGCAGTGGCCAATGCAGAAACGGTTTGTCCATTTTCCACCTTAAAGGACCGTTAAAAGGCGCATTCAGGGAATTGTAGCCTTTCCAAAATCCAAGCATACTCCCTTTTTGATTAACAACTTGGTTAGTACACCATTCGCTTATCACAAATGCTTTGAATTCAATATTATCTACTCCTGCTTTGAACTGACTTTCCAAAGCATGGCCTTAATAGAAGTCACGACCTCTGTTATTACAGCAAATATAGAGAAGTGAAGTGTGACGTCACAAAAATTCAAATTTGTGAAATTAAGGAAGAGATGAAAAAGGCCCCTTTGCCAAAAATCAGCCCTTCAGAGTAAGTTGGTGAAGAGATACAAGCACCGATTTGCTTCGATGACCGCGTACAAATCCTTCTAAAATTGGCTTGGATCGCAACGTTAACGATCCAGGCCTATTTAAGAGAAATTATAAGGCGTCCTCAGAGCATAACATTGCTTATATCTCCACCAACAGGCTCATTATTAGCAAGTGCGACATTTTTCGTCTTGCTCTTTCTGGATATGCCAGCCAATCTCAAAATTTCCCAAATTGAGTTTCTGTGACGTCATCCCTACTCTCCTCTATAGAGGGGGAGGATGAATAGGTTTTTCAGTAGAAGGAATGACATAAATCACATACTGATTGTATCGTATCCATAAATCTGGGTTCTGCACTCGCTCTATCTTGATAATTATATGACGTCCCTCCATGGTATCCTGAAATTTCTTTTCGGTCCTCTGGTATTCATCAGATATGGTTTCCAGTTTTACACATGAGAAGTCTTCACCATCAGAGATAGGACGCCAGTGAGATGGTAAACAATCCAGTTCTGCTGACGCTGAACTTGATTTTGGACTGGCCAAGGCAGTTGCTCCACACCTGATTAAATAAATGACCAGAGGAGTACTAAAGTTAAGCAACGGTTAAAGGGTAAAAACAAAGTCGTCCTACTCTTTTGCTTACACTTCCATAATGCCAGCACGACTGTAGACTAGGAGCAGAGGTTTCTCTCTTGCATGGCTTTTAGCTTTTTTTATTTCGGAATACGATCAAGTGAAGTCACTCTACAGCATATACGAGACTACCTCGTCAACGTTCTAAATATGATGAGTCATTCCATCGTGCCCACAAATCAGTCACGCCCATTTTTCTATTTGTTGTTTCAGTGCAATGAGATGTTTGCATTTCTTTTTGTTTTCTTGTTTGTCTGCGAAGACTGGTTATTTTCGTCAATAATAAGAATGAAAAAGAAAAATTACATATTTAGAGAGGCTTTCAACCTCTTGTAAAAAATGACTCTTTGTTTCAAACTAAACCTTTTAACCCAAAAAAGAGTCCTGAAAAACTACAACAATGATAACATTGAAGCAAAAAACATACATGCTGTTCTTTTCCTATTCTCATTACTAAGCAAATAAAAAATAATAACAGTTTTTACAGTTCTCTCCACAAAAGGTACAATCTACCTTGATCGACCAACGCCGAATTCCCCTCATCCCGACCCAAATTTTCGTGCAATCCCGTGATCTCGATGGTTATTTGTGGCATCCCGCCTCCCATGGATACTTTCGATCCCGAATCCCCAGCTTTAAATAAGGGAAATCCTGGATCGCGAAAAACATATTGGGGACCCTCTTGGTCAGTAACAGTATTTACGGTACAACACTACTTTTAAGTCGTAGCCGGCGAGCAAGCTCTCAAGTTGATCTCACCTTCGCTACCCATGAAATTTATTCCAGATGACTGGAAACATGTCAAGATATTGCAGCTAAAATATTACGAGACAGCCAGTCTCTGGGAAAGGGGGAGGGGGATGCCTGGGGATTTATTAATATCTATGTCAACTTACATATAGGTGATTAAAAACTCTGGGTACGACTGGCCATTTTCAAAGACAACAAACAAGGAGGGGTTGGTTTTGTTATCACAGCAGGAGTCAAACAAAACGTGAGGGGTAGAAGGGTCTTTTGCTGGTGGACGAGTCAGTGAGCTGTTACCATCGGTGTAAGAACCAACCAATACTCTAGCCAGGAACATTTGCTTGTAACTCCTGGATGTAACCTGACTTGAAGTGTAGCGATCCGAGTAGTTGGCCCTACAGGCAAAATAACTTCCCTTCCCGTACGATGTGCCGTGCTTGCCACACATTCGCCAGTCAAAGCCCTGCTGGCAGATGGCATCGACGGTGTCTGATTTGGTTCCGTGAAACAGCTGCCGTTCTTCGGGTTCTTTGCCAGCCACTTTGGCCATGCGACCTTTTTCCCTAAAAAGGAAAAATAGGGTTTTGTCTTATGTTTAACTTTGCCTAGTGCCTAGGCCTCATTACTTCGCGCGGACGATGCGTTTTGAGTCACGTGGTCCGAGCGACTTTTTCAGTCTCCCAGCCATTCGTCTCGGATACGTCACCGAAATGCATTGACCGAGAAGGCATGGGAAGACGCCGCACAAGGACTAGACAACGTTTACCTAACATAAAGCGCAATTTAGGTTTGAGATCAGGGCATTTTCTCCGAACCCAGCAGGGTCATTATCTGAGCTACAATCGACGACAAACTTAGTTGAGACACGTTGTCCAAAAGGGCCTCTCTGGCGTTCCGCCAATTTAAGAAAGGGGGAAATAAAGCTTTTATTCCCCCTTACCCCGTCCATACAATGTTGTGCCGCTGTTCGAGCTACATGTAAAAAACAACAAATACCCCAAATTTGAAAGGAGAGGAGAGGGACGGGTGTGGACTGGATTGATTTGTTCTTCGAAGTTGTCCCATTTGAGGAGAGTACACAAACAATTTTGTCGCCGATTGAAGGTACCTGTCAATACCACACCCATTCTCTCTGAAGACGTCCTCGAATGGGTTGACGAGCTTGACGTAGCATGAGAAATTTGCCGTTCAAGGATTACACGACATGCGCACGAGGAAATAACTGTCAAAATCATTGGGAAAACATATAGGCAAACTGCTCTGTTTAGTTTCGGGGAATTTAAGCCAAAGTTTCAGAGTTGGGAGTTTGCTGAATTTGCAGAAACCATAGCTTTTTGTGTATCAATTCAGCAGTGGCCAATGCAGAAACGGTTTGTCCATTTTCCACCTTAAAGGACCGTTAAAAGGCGCATTCAGGGAATTGTAGCCTTTCCAAAATCCAAGCATACTCCCTTTTTGATTAACAACTTGGTTAGTACACCATTCGCTTATCACAAATGCTTTGAATTCAATATTATCTACTCCTGCTTTGAACTGACTTTCCAAAGCATGGCCTTAATAGAAGTCACGACCTCTGTTATTACAGCAAATATAGAGAAGCGAAGTGTGACGTCACAAAAATTCAAATTTGTGAAATTAAGGAAGAGATGAAAAAGGTCAATTTGCCAAAAATCAGCCCTTCAGAGCAATTTGGTGAAGAGATACAAGCGCCGATTTGCTTCGAGGACCGCGTACAAATCCTTCTAAAATTAGCTTGGATCGCAACGTTAACGATCCAACCCTGTTTAAGAGAAATTATAAGGCGTCCTCAGAGCATAACATTGCTTATATCTCCACCAACAGGCTGATTATTAGCAAGTGCCACATTTTTCGTCTTGCTCTTTCTGGATATGCCAGCCAATCTCAAAATTTTCCAAATTGAGTTTTTGTGACGTCATCCCTACTCTCCTCTATTGAGGGGAGGTTGAATAGAATATTCATTAGAAGGAATGACATAAATCACATACTGATTGTATCGTATCCATAAATCTGGGTTCTGCACTCGCTCTATCTTGATAATCATATGACGTCCCTCCATGGTATCCTGAAATTTCTTTTCGGTCCTCTGGTATTCATCAGATATGGTTTCCAGTGTTACACATGAGAAGTCTTCACCATCAGAGGTAGGGCGCCAGTGAGATGGTAAACAATCCAGTTCTGCTGACGCTGAACTTGATTTTGGACTGGCCAAGGCAGTTGCTCTACGCCTGATTAAATAAATGACCAGAGGAGTACTAAAGTTAAGCAACGGTTAAAGGGTAAAAACAAAGTCGTCCTACTCTTTTGCTTACACTTCCATAATGCCAGCACGACTGTAGACTAGGAGCAGAGGTTTCTCTCTTGCTTGGCTTTTAGCGTTTACGAAATCGTTCGCGTAGCTTGTCTACGCGACAAACAAGCCACGCGAATGACTTCGTAAACGCTAAAAGCCATGCAAGAGAGAAGCTAGCCAGTGAGCAGGCTCCGCAGTGGGGTAAAAGGCTAAAAAGGGGATGAAAAAGGAAAAGAGAAACCTCTGCTCGCAGGGTATTACGACCGAGGCGCGATCGCAATGACATTTTACTTATCGAAGCGTAGTGATCGCGATCGCGATTTAGTAAAGTCAAATCCGTCATCTCAGTATCAGGGCTACGATCCGGGCGTTACAATCACGATCGCACATGATCGTAGTGGCGTTGTATTCTATATCGCGCGATTTAGTGAAGTTGCATCGGCGATCTCTGACTGCCATGATTTACATGGATAAGTTTGGGAAAATCCGTCGACACCACTAGGAATCCGAAGAGCGCCATAAAATTAGTAAACTTGCCAAGTTTTAGGGTGATACGTTTTTACCGTGGAAAGATATGGCTCCACAAATTTGCGAAAATTTACAGGCCTTTGTATGATGGGGGGCAAGTTTGTGCTGTGTAAATTTTCTGCGCAGACCTATATCACTTTCCCACTTTCCAACTTGGCAAGTTTACTAATTTTGAGGCGCTTTTTCCAGTGGTTTCGACAGATTTTCCCAAATTGGTTTATGTCAAAAGTTGAAAGACCCCGTGAAAGGGTCTGGAATCCAAGTTCCATTGACAAGGAATCCAGAATCCAAAACTGCCTCGGATTACTTTGCACGGGGCGAAAGCTTTTAAAAACAGTATGGTATAAAGAAACAGTTTTAGTTTTTCAGCTTTAATGTACAGTACCTCTGAGCAATATCTTTCATATTCTGTTTGGTAACAAACTCAGCAGGCCTCCTTCTAACAGGGCTTTTGGTTTTATGAAGATCATTTTGTTGGTACCATCTATTGAGGTACACAGTGTAGCTTTGGTTCAGCGCACTGAAGGAATGACAATCCTTATCTAAGAAGAAGAAAAAATGAAATGAATTAAATTGTTCTCTTGATCATTCCATTTCTGAAGGAAAAACATCAATTAAAGATTAAAAAAGAAAGAAAGAAATTGTTTTTAGTTGCCGATAAGAGATGACGACAGATCCAGAACTTAAGGTAACTGGGGGCCCTCTTATTATTTTAGAGCTTGACATGAGGATGAGGAGGGTGGAGACAGGCTCTTCAGTTTCTAGCCGTGGTTGTGCCAATGCTCCCACGATTCTCCTGAGACCAAGCCTAGTGGGAAAAAGGCTGGACAGGAATCTTTTTTTTGGTCCTGTGGTCTTTGGTTTGTTTTCAGAGGGAGTTGATGGACCTCCAAGGCCTCTCCCCATGGGCCACTTTTAAACTAAATAATAGTGCAGAACTTCAACAAGAAAACAATGTTAGTAAGGTATGCATTTTTAATTGTATCTCAGCTGTGGATGTTTGAGTAGGATCTGAAAACAAATATTCATCCATAGACCCATTCGGCTAACTCAATGTTGTACCCAATTCAAACCCTTTGGGAATAAAACGTTTTGTTTCAGGAATTTCCATATCATTTAAATGTGAATGCCACATTATAATGCAAATGCAATACACAAAGAATCTTATCCCCGGGAGATTTGAATTGGGTACAACATTGAGTTAGCCGAATAGGTCTATTATCCATGGTATGGCCTGCTGAAATTATCCCCAAAAAGGACAAAAGGTTTGAAATATATATGAGATACAAGGAACTGATTATAATAAATTAGAGGAAAGGGGGTTTCTTACCTGCCATGTATTCCCTCTCAAGACATTGGCTGCTTGTGGTGTTAATGGCATGTCCATCAGATGGAGTGTCGTACGACTGCCACTTGTTATTTTCATCCTGCCAGTACCAATGCCACCTAGTGCTAAAAACATGGCCTGCTGCTGCAACCACCGATGATACAGTGGACAGTCGTCGAATCTTGGGAGACTTGTAATTCACTGCTGATAGAACAAGGAATAATACATCTTCACTATTTTTTGTTCTGTTAACCCCTCCTCGCCCCATGTAAGGGAATCCGGAATCCGGGAAAATTTTGCTCATGGAATCCGGAATACAGCTCAGGGAATCCGGAATCCCATTAACGATCGGAATCCAGTACCTGGAATCCGAAATCCAGAGCGTTGAATCCAGAATTCAAGACTGTCCAGGGGCCCGTTTCTCGAAAGTCCCGGTAACTTTTCGGCCCGCAAAGAATGAGAACGCGGGTCCTGGCCATTTTGTTTCATTAACTGATAGTTTTATCATGTTAGATGCAAAACTATTGAAACTTCGATCTTTAATGTAAACGCCAACAGCCTACAGGGGCCGTTAATTATCGGGACTTTCGAGAAACGGGCCCCTGGATTCCCTTTCATGGGTTGACCCTCTGTTCCCTCAGAGCTCTTCTAAGCGTTCACTTTTTAGTTGCAGCTGCTTAAACATATTTTTTCACTACTAGTTTCTAATATTACTACTACTACTACTACTACTTTCGAATCCTGTTACTTCTACTGCAACTGCTACTACCTATAGTAGTGTAATGCTGTACTTTAAAAAATCCCTCTTCCCTATTTCTCAGTGCATGTGAACTCTTGGAGCCCAGTTTCCATGTCAGATTTTGTTTTTATCACACACTATGCATGTTTCAAACACCGGGTGGGATACTTTAGGAACAGTTTAGCTGATTTTGCTACCCTATACTAGACCAAACTTTCATAAGTCACTATCTTCCGGACAATACTGAGGTCACCGGCCCAGTCCAGTAAAAACAAAGCTTACTGAGTTGCGGGCAAATTTAAATTTGCCAGTATATATTTTTTGGTAACAATTCCTAGTTTCCCTAATCTAGACTATTATTATAATCAGTTTTCCAGAACAATGATACCCTATTCTAGACCCAAACTCTCTGATTTCTATACCCTATATACCAGTCGAGACAAAACTACTTGAAATCGATTCCATACCCTTCACAGCAGCACAATTACCTGTATAGCCCATACATGGCAGTACCCCCCAGCTGTCAAACACAATTATATTCTTTGTAACTTTCAAATAGGAGATACTTACTATCATCTGATAAAACCGGTTCAGCAGTTATACTGTCAAACTTAACGCAATGAAGAGTTCCTCTGATCATTGCTGTACAGCTGCCTTTTTTAACATCACAGTAGGTTTGCTCTAGCATTGTATTTAGATCACTTGAAAAGCTCTCCCACTTTTCGCCATGTACAGAAAATTCCCACAAGTAAGGTAGCTCTGTGTGATGATGGATACAGTTGTTGCCATAGTTACACTTGCCACGCAGATTAAATCCACAAATTTCAGTGTCCTTTTCCTTTTCATCCTTTACTTGGGTGGTAGGAACCAGGGCATTGAGATTTGCTGTTTTGGGAAATACTGTCACGAGGTTTTCAACGTCAGAGCTTCTACTGACTGTACGCTTTCTTTCTCTGCCATTCAAGCGCTGAAGCACTTTCAGCTCACTGATCCCATCCATGTCATATTGTTTGAGCACTTTTTTGTTATGAGGGTCAGAGAAATCATGCTCCCTTTTACAGCCTTCGCCAAACTTACAATCTCCATCAATGAAACGTTCACACACGTGCAAGTATGGACAATTGTCCCCTTTTTTACAGGTCGCTTTGTTATAGAATTTACAAATCTCTGGAACAGATCTTTTGGCAGCAGCTCGTTGTAGTTCACTTTCATCTACGATCATTTTGAAAATCCATTGTAAAAGGGAATGTGAAGGATGCTTCGTTAAGAAACCGAGACGGAAGTGATTTAGAACACTAACCGTATGTTCGTCACCATAATTGTGAGATCTTTTGCACTTAAAGCCGAATTTGCAGGTTCCCTTGATAAAGAAAGGACATAAATGAAGAGCAATGCACCCTTCTGCAACACATCCGCCCTTCTCTCCAGCTTGAGAACAAAATTCTAGCGGGATATCTAACTTAACCATTACTTTCGGTTTGGACTTCCCTATCCTAGCCTGACTAAAAAGCTGCGGAAGGCGTTTCACGAAATCCAACGCTCCGAAATCTGACACCAAACGACGGTTGCGTGAACTGAGTTGCAGTATTAGACCCGCGAGTTCTAATTCTCCTCCATTTTCCAGGAGCAGTTCTATCATTTCCTCCACTGCTTCTCTCGGAGTGCTGGAGTTCGCCATGTTACAGGACCCCTATTGAGAGCAGGTTTTATAACTGAAATGGTCATCCTGTTTGAACATGTTATTATTATTATTATTATTATTATTTCGATCGTTTGCTACTTCCGCATTTAGGGGCCGACCATTTAACTCTTGAGGGTGGGGTGGATGATTTCTGGTCATCAAGAATTTTTTTGCTAGCAATCTGGTGGGTAGGATATTTTTTTTCCCTTTTTTTCCCATAAGCTTTCTATTACATTTGTGCTGCATGGAATTTTTTTCTTCCGACAAGCGCTTGCAGGAAATTTTTTTTCAAAATCACCACCCCCCCCTCCCCACCTCAAGAGTTAAATGGTCGGCCCCTTATGAGCCTGCACTATTTTAATCAGTGGTATGTAGTCCTGAAAATAGAGGGTGGCGCCTGGGTGGGGCGAAAAGCGGTGGTCGGGATGGTTGAGATGGCACTTTTTAAAGCTATTTTATAGCGGAGCTCTCGTTAGCGCTCGCAGCGGAGCACCATGGGTAAAGAAATGTGGTAAACTACCCATCCGAGAAAATTTGGTAATCACGTGACCGTACACCGACCTATCGCCCGACCGTCCGCACCACAGGCATACCAATGTAAAATAATTCAATCAGCAGGTATGGCAACCCAAATGCAACTCAAGGTTTTATTTGGAAAGAATTCGCATGGCCGCCCGCACTTTTAGAAAGAAAAACAACAACAAAGTCGTGTCTTTTTCGCCGTTATTTGAGAGAAAGAGCTAGGGCGAGTGATTAAAAACAAAAGAGACGAATTTTGTAGGAAGAAAAACATGAAAATTCAAAGCGGCTGTGAGACAATGACAAATGATAGCGGCCAGCAAGGTGAAAATAAGCGGCAGCGAAAAATAAAAGCGAACATAAACACAGGAGACAAAATATTGGGTGAGCACATACGACAATTCGTCCATAAAATAATGTGTAACCAGGAAGTTTGACGTTTTAGTCCTACAAAACAGCGTTGTAGTTCTGCAAAACAACGGCAAAGAAAGACAAAAAGCATGCTGCACGTGCAAATTTGTTTTTAAGCTAATTAGAAAAAAAAGTGTGCTGCACGTGCAATTTGTTCTTTGGCTAATTAGATCTATTGATCTTGATGCTATTTTCATTGCCCTCCCCGTTTTTTTTGTTTACAAGTATTTTTAACCAAAGCGTCGCTTTTAGCCCTGGCTAAATCTATATATTACAAAGTTTTGACGAGATCAAATTTTGGAGAATTTAAAAGGTAAAATTGTTCCATCTAACAAGCTTCGCCTCTGTGTTTTGTTGAGGTGTAAGGAAGACGAGTAGGAAAAAGCTACAACAAAGATCAGCAACACTGAAGAAAACCCCTCCTAATATATAGATAAATTAGCCAGGGCTAAAGGCGGAGCTCTCGCTAACGAATTACTAATAAACAAAAAAATAAAATCGCGTAATGCAAAACGGCGACGGCAATGAGAACGGCAACAAAATCATTATATCTAATTAGCACAAAAAAAAATTGCACGTGCAGCACAGTTATTTGTACAATCCTTCACCGTTGTTTCGCACGACTACAATGCCGTTTTGCACGAGTAAAACGTGAAACTTCCTAGTTGCACATAATTTTTTTATGGAGGAATTGTCATATGTGCTCACCAAAAATTTTGTTGCTTGCGTTCATTTTGTTCGCTTTTATTTTTTGCACTGCCACTCATTTCCACCTTGCTGGCCGCAACTATTTCTCATTTTCTCACCGCCGCTATGAAATCTTCATGTTTTTCCCAACGAAATTCGTCCCCCTTGTTTTTCATCTCTCGCTCTAGCTCTTTCTCTGTCATCCACGTGAGTTGTAGACATCAAAAATAACCTCGAAAAAGACTCGACTTTGTTGCTGTGTTTCCTCTCTAAATGTCCGGGTGGCCATGCGATTTCCCGCCAAAAACACCTCGACTTGCCTGTGTGTCATACCTGTTAATAGACCATTTTACAGTTATCCCAGCCTTTGAATGAATGTGAGGCTAAGGTTGACCCTGTTTTGGTACAAACCTCCTTCCTTTTCGTATGGAAATTATGCTTAAGTAATACTAGTTAGCATAAGAACGACGTGATTTACATAACAAAGCAGGAAGGGTTGTATCAAAACAAGGTCAACTCCAGCCTCGTTTCCACCTGCAACTGCAAAATGGACTATTGTGTTATTTTTCATTGGTATGCCAGTGGTGCGGGCGAACGGACGGTCGGTCGTACGGTCACGTGATTACCAAAATTTCTCGGATGGATGGATTACCAAATTTTCTTAGGTATGGGGCTCCGTTCACCGGCGAAAAATGTCTACGCATGCTCTGGAAAAAATGACACCTGATCGATTTCGGGTAATGACATTGGCTCCGAGGCAAAAATGCCCGCGAAATGTTGTTCAGATGAAAGAAGCGATGGCAGCTTTTTTTTGGCAGTGACAGCGTTGCAATTTCTCGCCACTGTAAGAGATCAAAATTTATTAGGTCAAAGGTTTGACGTAAGTGTGTTTTCTAGAGAATGCAGCGTCCTGAAACTGGCGAAGAATCGCATCGGCATGGTCTGATTCAGTGTTATTGACGTTGAGATCGCTGGTTTGCATGTGGAAGACATGCCGAAAAGGTGGGTAATTTTTGCTCTTTTTGTTTACTGCATGTTCCGTGCAACTCGGTACAAAAAGAAATTATAAAGTAGTGGAAGAAAAATTATTGGGCTTTGTTTTGGTATATAAATTAGCTTGTACCGAGTTGCACGGAAGCGACAGTTCTGTTAAATGTGTATCCCGTTTTTGTGTCAAAATTCTACTTTGATTGCGAATCTAACATTCGATAACATTCGACTGTTGATGGAAGAGCGTATTACAATGCTATCCAAAATGTTTTTGTTGTTTAGATCAAGTTTCTTATCACGGATTCAAAAAAAAAAGAAGAGGGACAGACATTTTTGGGCTTTATTTTGGTAACATGACTTAGCGTGTACTTTGTTGCTGGAAAAACTGTATTTAGATGCTTAATTTCCGCATGTTTACACTGTTTATGGCAGAAAAATACGCTAAAAGCCTTACGCTTGGTTCAACTTAATCTCGTATCACTCGGTACAAAGGGAAATTATAAAGAAGGTAAAGAATTTCTGTTAGCCATTGTCCTGGTGTGTAAATTGTCTTGCAGCTAGTGGATCGAAAGCTAAAGTGCGTAGTTCGAAACGTGATTTTGTCCATCGATCCACATTTCACTGTTGTTGTACATTAGTATAGCTTTTTTATGTTACAGAAATTTGAGTTTTATCCGAACTGTCGAATGAGAAAATGTGAGAGTGTTTTGGTTAAAACGCTAATACCGTCTTGGAGCTACAGTTCGATAGATCCAGCAACATTTGATTTGTAAAAAATATTCTGTTTACAATGTGTACAGCTACTGTACATTTAGGCTTGCAATCAGGTATAATTGAAGGATGGAAGTTAAGATCATTTTGCTCATAACTTTGGCTTGGGATTATCCAGAACGAGGCAGTGTTGAAGTATCTGACATGTTAACATACTTTACTTTTCATTTCTCTTCAGAAAAGATTGATTGTTCCTGAATCAAACAAAGTGCAGCCTCACAAACAAGATTTTTTTGACGAACAAATGTGTAGTCAAGGAAAGCATATGTCCCTGACAGGGTCAATAAAATTTATTAATGGAAAGATCTGGGTTTTTACTCCTTTGTAGCACCTTAGACTATATGCATCACTTTTTTAACCTTTATGTACTTTAAAAAAATATAATCAATATTTTTTCCAACTAACAGTTGAATCAAAGTTCCGTCTTTCTTTTAAATACAGTATTTCCCTAATTTTAAAAATTTCATTATCTGATTCAGATTAAGCACAGTAACCATCGAAAAGAATAAAAGAAAAAAAAACCTTGCTCGGTCAAAGACGGCTTTAAAGTTTTGATATTAAAATTGAAAAGAAAAGACTGAATGCAGACACTAAAGTTCATTTAGCTCATGTTCAAGCTTTTTTTATAAATTGGAAAGTGCTACTGGCGAAAAAAATTTTTTGCTTTACCTTTTCGGTAAAAAAATAAAATAACTACCAGGTGTCTAAGCAATTTCAAAGGACCCAAAGTGTCTTATTTATCTGCTGCATTGAGCTATGAACAAAGGCCGTTCTTTCTAGTGACCCTGCTTTTTTCAGAAACGTTGTTGTCCTTCGTGATCCAAAGTTGAACCCTTTACCCCTATTCAGACTGGGCTTTTTTGGTCAATCTGTGACTGGGGGGGGCCTCCTCGGACCCCCCCTCTGTATCTCTGGAACCAATAATGCTAGGGTGATGAAATTTACACACAATGATCATCTCCGTACAAAGAAGCCCCACACCCAGTTTTGACTTGCCACGTCCAATGATGACGTCACAGTGACGTCATATTCCGATTTTTCAATGTTTCTTATTATTTTTCCACTTAGATACGTAAAATATCAATAATATTGGTAAAGTCATCTCTTTGTTATCCTTTCTTATGAACTAGTAACAAGGAAACACTTGTACAGCGAGAAAAAGCAATAGGAAGCAATAAAATTTAAAATTTGAAATGGTTGTCCGCCATCTTGGATCCGCCATCATGGATTTCCGTTTTTTTGTTAAAATTATAATTTAAAGCAACTTTCAAAGGGGAAAAAGCTCAGAATGTATAAAAGAAGTATCAAACTAATGTTTATTACCCAAACAAATGACTTTGGAAGTGTTATTTGGAAAATAGAGCAGCATTTGTCAAAGCAAAAAAGTGACAAATTTTACCCCACCTCTCCCCCCCAAATATTCGATGTTGAAACATTTTGATGTAATTCAAAAACTAGTCCCAAGCAAAGACCATTTTAACAACAAAAAGCACTATAAGTGTAAAAACGCGATCTTAAAACCAAAAAATCACCATTTTTTAAATTTTCCAAAACGTATGTGTCAGAAACTGGTTGCCATGGCAACATGATTAATCACATGGACATGGTAATTATACCAAAATGTTCCGAGATAAATTTTAGGAAAAGTCAGAAAATTTGAACGTCATAACTCTTTCGGTGTAGGAGTTATCACGATTTTGCCGGAGGGGGGGTTCGAAAAGCCCCCCGCCAGTCTGAATAGGGTTAAAACCGGCGAAATCGCGAGTATCGCAGGAAACGAATCCCACAGGAATAGGTGAAAAAAGATAATAAAAAGTCTAGGATATTCTAAAAATATCCGATATGCATTTGCAACTCATATTAAGCCGCAATTAACCTTCTTTCCACTGGAATAAACAAACTATGGAGGTATTGCTGCCATTTTGAATTTGGCACTGTCACGTGGTCGCGCGACGACCAATCAGACATTTTTCGCCGGTGAATAGGGCTCCGGTCGCGAGCTTTGCGCACGCGTAGAGCTCCGCAGGTAAGCCTCTCTTCTAGGTTTCATTATTTCGGCTTTTCCCCAACCTCAGTCAGGACTGATTCACCTGTAAATGTCTCTCAATTCTAATAACTTTACTGTCCGTCACTGTATCAATACTGGAAATTGACTCAATACTGAGCAAAGTTCCCCAGGGGCATCCCTGTAAATAACAATTATTCACCGAAGTAGAGGTAGCCAATGGTGTATATCCACCACTAGCCACCGACACTGAGGTGAATAATTGTTTTAGTATATACTCGAAACAGTGAGATAATTGAGCACAAAAATGATTATTTTAAACTCATTTACTTTTGCCAACGATTACAATTTTGGCCCACACTGACCGAGCCGGTGGCCGTCGCGTTTTCTTGCCGACAAATAAAACTTTTGAAGGAATTTGTTTAGCTCCTACGGAAAAATTTCTTCAAAAAGAGTTGTGAATTCTTTTTGTATTTAAAACCATTCTGTAAAAAAACTATCAAATCTAGTTTTAAGCTTATGTTTGAACCTTGTCAGCTAAATAAAGTAACGCAAGCCTTAATTTGCATTTGTAAACAAAAAACTTTTTCACCGGTTTCATCGATAAATTCAAGTCAAACAAACAAAGCTTTACCTGTAAAAACTTCCGAACCAAATTTCGTGACCTTCCTCGTGTATTTCGGGAACAGCTTGTTTGAGTTTTTGTGAAATTTCTTTTGGTTGTCTAATGGAACTTGTTTTAAAAACTGTCATACTTTTAATTAACTGAGGGAATTATTCTACAGAATTGAGTGGACATTAAAATGCACATTGCAATCCATATAACAGCTCGATTTCTTTTCCTGACTAATATTAAGTTTTCTCTATTTTTAACCGAAGGTACAAAACAGCCTACCGGCGAGACTTCTGGGCTTGTGCCAATCGGTAGTGATGGTGCTTTCTGATCTGAAGCAGTTGAAGATGAGAAGTCATTGCTGACCGGTAACACTGCTGACATAGAAAGAAACGAGTATGTAGTAACTTCACCTGTCGTTAATGCACTCACCATAAAGAACTCACAGCAGATAAAATCACTCTACTGTACATGAATCGTGAAACCTTAATTAGGATACACCTAGCTGGCGGACATGCTTTATACTTGCTGACCTTAAACATAACGATTTTATTTCTGTTATGTCGAATACTAATTGTATTTCTATTAATGTTTCAAATTATAAAACATAGCTATATCCGTCTATTTAGTGCAAACTTTTTCAGGAAAGCGATCGTGAGCTGGGAAGATTCTGTTTTGCCCTCATGTTAAAGACATGCCCTACAATGTGTACCTGTCACTAAACTCTGTCTCATTTGACCTATGTTACCTGCTGCGCAATATTATCAATGTCACCAGAAACAAAGAGCCAATTAATCGGAGTTTTCAGTAGAGTGGGTATAACCTGACGAATTCACCCACACTGAGCAAACCTTATTGATTTAATTAATTTCCGATCCGATTTCAGGTTTGAATTGTTGTAGTGTAAACTCCAGTCAATTTCTTACAAAGAGCTCACCAGATTTACTTATGTTTTCAGTTAAAATCTTTTTGCAAATCCGGTAGTTCTGTTCCTCGATAGTAGTCTTCAACTTGACATTCTCCAAGTTGACTTTCTTCTTCATGTCCTCGGTTACAAGGTAACTCTCAGCATTGCTGTTTAGGTGGCCTGAATGAAAGTCCGTCCACAAACGTTCAAGGCTTTCTAGAGATGGGCACCGAAACGTTATTTTTAGAGATCCTAGACCCACAGATTCCAAGGCCAAGTTGACCGTAAGTTGTACGCCTTCTTTATGTGATCAATTAATCCAGACACTCCTCCTTCGGTTGAAATTTTGCAATGCTGGGTGTACAGTTGTATTTTTCGTGCTAGAGTTTCATGGACTATGTTGCTTTGTTCATCATTTAGTTCTAGAAAACAGTGCTTTGTACTAACGTCTGAAAACAAAAAGCCCCTGATTTTAGTCTACATAGTTTGAGTGTGTATAAAATCTGGTCCTCAGATTTGTAGAATTCGCCAGCACAAAGTATAAAATCTGTTCTTAAATCTGAGTTGTCAGTCACAGCGAGTAAAGAGTAACACGTCTACAGTGTGAAAGGTAACAAGTACTAAAGGAAAAAGGGCTTTTGATCGATGAAAGAATCACTACACCCTTTAGTTGTCCTGGTGGGCAATAGTAAGAAAATGTTCTTCGTACCTGGATTACTCGAAGATCCTGAGGTTTTAAGCTTACGGCTAATTTGCGACTCATTATTAGGAGATTTTTCAGTTTGATCTCCCGCAGCAGAAGTAGCTTTCATTTTAGAGCTTCTTTTTTCTATGGGGTTCGTTGGTGGTTTATTGGGCATTTCAGTAGAAGGCCCTGTGAAAACAAGCGTCAGTTAAAATTACATTCATTTAAACTTGTTAAAGGGAAAAAGACAAATTTTTCATTTCCAATAAAATGCCTATAAAGTACACTACGTGTATTGTGTGGCCATTCATGGTCTCCGATGAACAGTCATGGCTTGTAGGCAAGGGTACAACCCAGCAGAACGTGCCAACTGAGTAAACCTTAATGGCCTTATTTTCAAGCTTAAAAAGTATTTTCATTGATCAGAGGTTGAGACTAATTATGAGACTGTTGCCATTAACTAAAACTTGGAGAATCATACATTGACAGACAAATTATTAACCCCACTTTGGTTCGGGGTAGGGCAGCGATGCTCTCTTTCACTGAGTCACTTGGATAATAAAACATATTAAATTAATCAACTTAATTCTGCATGTTATCTTTAAACAGTTCGTAAAATTCATACCATTGACCATTTCCCACATTCTCTTCACAAGGGCTTCGCATTGTTCCTTCCAACTGTACATATCCCCATAAGATTCTCTCAGTGATTTAATCTCTTGAAGCCTCACTCTATGCCTGAGACGAACAGCGTCTATTGCTTTTGCCCATCCTGCAAGATTTAAATCTGAATTCACAATGCATGTATGACCATGAGGAACATTCTCTAATGCCTTGGCAAATCCTGACCTACAACCTACAAGAATGGGTAAACCTGCAGACAAGGCCTCAAGTGCAACAAGTCCAAATCCCTCTGATTTTGACGGCAGGATGGCAAGGTCAGCTTCGCACAACAAATCTTTCAGTTTCTCTCTACTTTGTATAAATTTTCTAACAGTCAACTGTGCTTCTGCAATACCGCTCTGAAGAAGTTTTTCTCTAACTTTTTCTTGCTTTCCTTCAGGTGCTCCGACAAAAACTAGATGGTAAGGTTTGTGTTTTAACCGCTGATCAGTGAATGCTTGAGCAGCAATGTTGTATCCTTTGAGTTCAAAGTCCTCATCATCCCCACGACCAAATAACAACACTTTGAATTCGCCATCCTCGTTAGGATCTTGTTTTGCCACTAAATCCCCAAACTCCCTTTGGAAAAGGCCTGGAGTAATGGACAAAATGTCTCGATCTGTCTTACATCGCCGTAAATATGAAGAGTAGGCTTCTTTTAGTCTGGGTCCCACCGGGACAACAAGATCAGCAAGTTTGCAAAGCTCAACTTCTGATTCGTGTTTTGTTTCACCTTTTGAAATGGGGTCACTGTAACACTTGTATCTGCTCAGGTCCTCTGGAGCAGTGTGAACCACTTGTACCCACTTACAATTTGGAAATTGAGCAGCGTCTCGAATGAATTGTACTTGCCGACCAAGTTTTGCACCATGGCCAACAACGACGTCCATGGAGTGGTCCTGGGGTGGGATGCTCAACCAGTCAAGACGATCATATGCTGCACGTTCTTTCGCTTCAACAATGGTGATTCCATAGCCATCTGCTTCTCTTATTTCTTTAGTGTTGCAAGCTCCCTCTGGGACTAGTAAAGAAACCTTCACCCCTGAATGATTTGAAAGGTGAATAGCAAGCTCTCTGTTTATTGTTGACAACCCACCAGTAGACGAACTCCACTCACCACAAAGAAGAGTAACATGCAACACTGGAACAGTGGTCTCAGGATAGCAAGCCTACAAAAACAATAACAATAAAAGTGAACAGTTAGAAGATACAATACCAAAAGACATAGCAGGCTTAGTAACTATTAGTCAACTGCTAGTACATAATTATTATTTGTAAACTAAGTTGTTAGGGGTAGAATAGCCAAATTTTCTAATCACTCTGATTCCCTACCATAGTAACACGTATAACACTGTGTCTTTAGAAATAAACCCCTTCTATCAAATAGGAATTAATCAGGCATATCGACAAAATTCTCTGATTTTATAATTAATCAAACAAAGAAATGCACCAAATGTAATATCCACCCCATTATTGATTTTCACCTCTCTCCGATGCACCAAAAGGACATGATCACGCCATCACATGTAATTTTCTGTTTTCTTGATGAAAGCAGTTTTTACATAGCATTTGGCAACTTTTAATGTTTAACTTTAGGACACATTACCAAATAATCGTAAAGTTGTCTTCAATGGCACCCTGTACATAGTGTAATTGAAAAATATAGCTTTTTGTAAAAAGAATTAAGAAAAAAAAGAATGAACCTTTGGATTGTCCAGACTGCATTCCGCTTTCATAGTCTCAAGTTGACTGGATGAGGCAGCCATGGCTGATGAAGGGAAAAATAAGAAATTCAAATGACTGTCCTAGTAGTAACAATTAGTCATATTACTTGATGTAGGTGTGACTTTCATCATTATGGTTTTCGTGGAATAATTAATAACTGGTTTGAATCCTTTTTGTGCAACAGATCACAAACCCAAGAAATAAACAAACAATTATCTGATGCAGCTCTAATATCTAATGGTGTTCCACAGGGGTCTGTACTAGGTCCGTTGCTTTTCCTCTTATATATAAATGATATTTATACTTGTTCTGATACTTTTAATTTCTACCTCTATGCCAACAAGAACCTAAGGTCACTTGAGGAAACAGTAAATTCTGAGCTTAAAAAGTTGTGTCTTTGGCTGCTCTCAAATAAATTAACCCTTAATACCAAAAAAAACAATTTTGTTATTTTCATCCTTACTAGAAGTCTGTTGACTACCTTCCTCAACTTAAGATCTTCAATACTGATACCAATCAATACGTTAGTTTAGAAATGAAAAATTATGTTAAATATTTAGGCATTCTGATTGACAAAAATCTTTCGTGGAAAATACATATTGACAATGTAGCTACTAAATTAAGTAAAACGGTTGGTTTAATCGCTAAATTGAGGCACTTTGTTCCTCAACATACCTTGCTAAATGTTTACCATGCGTTAATCTTGCCTTATTTATCTTACGGTTTGATAGTTTGGGGGCAGGCGTCAAAAACACATTTAACAAAATCTTATTGCTTCAGAAATAAAGTTCTCCGTTTCATATTCTTTGCCAACAGGAAAGTTCATGCCATTCCTCTTTTTATTGATGCAAATATCAGGACTCAGCCAATTAGCTTTCTCTATTTTAAGTCTGTATCTTACCTAATGCATGATATTCATACTAATTCTGAACCCTCCAAAATCGTTAACTTGTTCTCGCAGACATCATCTATTCCTGAATATAACACAAGATTATCCTCTAAAAATAATACGTACATAAAAAAATTTAATCTTGAAAAACTAAGACAAGCCGTCCCAATTTTTGGCGCTTTTTTGGCATGAGGTACCAGGTAGAATGAGAGATATGTCAAAAAAAGTGTTCAAACAAAAATTAATCAGTGCGCTCTTTGAAATATTAAAAGACAAAGATGATTACCTTGATGCAACCATGATAACACGAGAAATAAAATCGCGAAATGCTAAACCTTAGCCTCTTTCACAGGTTGCATTAAACAGTCTTTCGTACTTTTGAATTCATTACACATATTTCTTCTTTTCTTTTTCTTTGCTTAATTTTTACTTATTATATGTAATATCTGATTTGTAATAGAATTAATTTGGCATGCCTCGACTAGCGTTTTCTTGCTAACTGCGTGCCAAAAAATTGTACTTGTAATATTATGATAATAAATGTCTTGTCTTGTCTCATCTTGTCATCACAACTTCAACCAAGTTCTTTACATAATTATGCAATTTTGGTGTTTAGCAGAACCTGGTTATCATTGATTTCACAGTTTACTACACGCTAGCAACATATTATCAGATAACATGTCATTTTATCTTACATGTATAATAATTATCATGACATCATAGTCATCATGTCCATTAATTTTTGTAATGCACATTTTCCATACAAACACTCAAATGTGCTACAAAATTGACAAAGCTAATTTATTAATCTGGTGTCATGTTTAAATCCTACATTATAGGATCCTTTTTTAAGACAAAAACGTCCCTCATAATGAAAGCTGATTGAAAAATGTCATTTATTTAACACGATTAATCTTCAAAACATAAGTTTGCTTGACAGATTCTTTCTGCCTTAAGCAACAGGTACAGGTAAATGATACTGATAGTGGTAGATAATAGGAATACAGAAACTTGTCCATAGTCAGGGAAGGGTTGAAGTAGCCGATTTTGGTGAACCGGTGCACATGCATTGGAAGGATAAGAATTGGGGGTCAAGTATTTACCAGGTAAGAAAAAGGGGAGGGCCATGAAATTTTCCAGAAAAAATAATGAAAAATTCGCCAGCCCTACCCCCAATTAAAAACATACCTTCCCTTATACAACTTGAATCTAACTCACCCAGATTTTCATATTAATTAATTGACCATGAACTTGAGTGATCTAACTCAAGTGTGGAAAGTCAAATCCTCAATAAAGCCAGACTCTTGCCGGGCTGCCTGTTTGAGGGGTGGGGGTGGTGGCAAAGAGACGATGACATTTCAGATTACCTGTTACAACGATGTGGGCATATTTTCTACACTCAGCTCGTAGGGAGGGAGGTTTTGGGGGCTGTGACTATGGAAAGATAGAGGAACCAATTCACAACTACATGAAAGCTTCTGTGAGGCTGTGGAGTGCCAGTAACCAGCTGAAGGCCCTAGCTGTTCACATGTCTGATAGTGTTATACACCAAATAAACAACTATCCACCAAAAGGTGTTCAAACAATTATGTAGTGGAACAGACACCAGCAGTTCTTTTTCCATGTGGGATGTTCCATTATTGTTTACTGCAGGTGCCAGTTGTTCAAAAGGTGGAGTATATAACGCTTTAGTAAAATCCAGCTAGTGGTCTATTATCAATGCTGCATTCTGATTGGTTGAGCTACCACTAGGCTATATGTTATAGCCTACTTTTGGCGGCAAAAAAGGATTAAAGTCTAGCTTTAACTAGCTAAAAGTTTTTTATTCTCAATATTTTTGACCAACTAGTTGGATTTTACTAGAACAATTATTCCTCTTGCCCTCATGGCCTCTGAGTCAATAGCCCATTGACTCAGAGCCCATTTGGTCTCGAGGAATAATTATTAATTATCTACCAGACAAAACATTATTCAGTGGATAGTGCAATTAGCTTTTCTAACATATACTTATCCACTCAATCCGATGGATAGCGTAATGAAGAATTTGTTAATGCTTAGCATGCGTATATCAAGTTATGGATGCATGCGGGAAGTATGGAGAGCACGAAAGATGTGTAAGAGTTGTACGAGGCAATAGCCGAGTGCAACTCTAACTTCCCAAGTGCATCCATAACTTGATATACGCACCGCTAAAAGCATGAGCAAATTCTTTTATAACATAGCTGACAAAAATGCTTGCTTTTTGATTAACTGCAAAATTCTTGTAATGCACGACACAATAAACAAACACTTCTTTTGGTTGATTACAAACACGCCACAATCATCTAGTTTGAATGAAAATTCTTTCTGTAAAACTGAGAAGGAAAATTTGCTTCTTTATTCGTTAACAATCAATGGAAACTAAGCAGAAAGGTGAAATAGTCTTAAAGTTCACCTAAAGTTAAAATACTCACATGGTCGCAAGAAATCGTGGAGTATGGTTTGGATTTGCTGAAAAAATGTTTACGTTTTGCTCGGCAAAATCCAGACAACATGCTTTTTAGCGAAGACAACTGTCATCCTTCTTTAAACCTATATTCATTTACGAACATTGGCTGGTCATTACGGCTTCTTGAGAAGACCTGGTAGCAGTTGTTTTTGTGAGTAATAAATTTATATCTTGTGTAATTTGTCTAACTATTGCAAGAGAAATCTTCCTGCTTGAGTCGGATTGTTCGGCGATAACAAAAGTGCAAAAGTTTTCGTTATTGAGCTTACTTTATAATTTAGTAAAGGATAACAAAC